GTTTCTCAGAAACGCTTAGTAATAACGGACGCGAAAACCAAAACACCGATTGGCCACTCGAGAATTCTTTATTGTAACACCAACATATAAACAATGTTATCATTAAGGTCTGTCAACAAATATTACAATAATAAATCACAATATTACTTCTGACGGTTTTCTACTGACTTCTTTCTGAACAGCGACCGATGAGACGATGACTGTCGTATTGATGCCTCCGCAAAAATTGGGGAAGTTGGTTTTGAGCAAACAACCATCAATTGATCGTTCAATCTTCAACTACATTGACACCCTCTCAGACTTCCTCGTAATTGACCACTCAACTACATCACAATGAGACACAGGATAGTGTCTCCTTGCCGTCTTCCTTTCCTTGGCGTCTGCATTGCTCCTAGTTAACGCTCTGTTACGTGCTCAAGCTACCCGTGCCCTCTCTTCTACAAACTTAACCATATCCTCAAACCCCGCCCGTCTTTAGGCAACTGAAACTCCGTCGGCCGGGCCATCCTATTTTGCCTTAATTTCGATAGGAATCAGCCAAGTTTTGAAGGAATGACCACACAAGCTTCAACAGCCCTTCTCGCACCTCTCCAAAGGAAATGAAGGTTTTTTAACATCGGCCCTTTGTCAAATAATTAGCTCCCAATAATACTTTGAAATTGGCTGGCAAACAAACTATGGTTACTGAAGTTCTCATCAAAGTACATTATATCAACCCTTGATATACACATATTGTTAGCAACAGAACTAAATAATTCTTTCTTGTTTTACACAAACACGTCCTCAAACTCTAACTTCCTCACCAGCTTATCATGATATTGCGCATTGGATAAAAAACCTGAAGATTAATCCGGCTATCAACTAAACCATGCAAACGAACACTGTCATTTTCAACACTCACTCTATCAGCCAAATGTTCCAGTAAAACCAAATCCTCTGGCATCACTTTTATGGTTTTGTGTTTAAGGTAAACGTCGCCCAGAAAAGGAGTTGGATCCCAATCCTTCATACACAGTTTCCGATCATAACATACAGCCAAAATCACGAAATAATCCACAAGGTATCCTCCCACAGTCCAAACAAAAATTGCAGGACTTGTATACTACGCCAGAGCAAATTGAATTGATGCCCTGCCAAACCAAAATGAGAAAGCGGATGCTGGGCCAAACCAATTTGACGGACTTTGTGTTTCATGCACTACATGAATAACCTTTGGGGAGACGGGCTTGTAGTCCTCTACCTAATCCAAAACCAAACCAAATGGTTTTAAATAGAATTAAACTGATAACGTAATGTTATATACCTGCGAGATTATTGTTTTGTTGAACGTGATATATCGGATACAAACGATACAAACATCCAAATATGCGGTTATTCAGCGTCCAAACAACAAGTACACAATGTTTGAAACCAAAATTAGCCTACAATTAACAAACGTGAATACAAACAAAAGTGTACGACAGTCTAAAGAACGAAAAGTGCTCTAATTGGCAGTAAATGCAGACTGGTATATCAAGTACAACTTCAGGGTTTGAAGGTGCAAAATTAGAGGTAACAGTCTCAGCAGGCAGGCTAGGGGTGGTATTGATAAGTAGGTCATCACGATATCCGGTTCCGTTAATTAACTCCCGGTGTGAAGCTTGTTTGTCTTATGAAGACTAATAGAGGGATTCGGGTCTTGTCCTAACGGAGGAACTTGATGTATATGTGTATTACTAGGATTACGTGTTTTGGGCATGTGCATTCATGCTTTTTACCCATAAGAAGCTATGTATGCTCATACTAGAACATTTTACACTATTGTAGATTGCCAGTGCACGGCCCACATTGAGCTGCATAAGTCACTACATCCCTATTTAGAGAGAAACCATACCCACAGAAAATTCGAGAAATGTGAGGCGAAGGAAGTTGTTAGGGAACTTTTGTTCGAAATGCTTTACATTATTGAAGTGTTAAGGACTATTTTGGAGAAACTGCAGCTCAGATTCCAGAAATTCGTCTTGTGTTCCACCACATTTTCCTGGCACGTAGTGAGATTTATGAATTGCGCTTATCGATTGCACGGATCGCTGGGGCCAATGGAGTCAAAAATTCGTTTAAAAAGCTGTCCATCTCGTAAACAGAAATGATATTTCTTGTGTCACCTTTGCTGATAACTGTTTCAAAGTGTTTGTCTCAAGGATCTCAAGGACTTCAAGTATGGTTGAACTTTGGTAAGTTAATTTGGGAAACAGTAAACTGGGGGCAGAAATATTTACTTTTAAAGGAAATCTACATCGGTGGCTGTGTTCGTATAGAAATATAATAGAAAATTTATCAACCCTTCGGGGAGAATATTGACGCCATGATTAAATGGTAGAAATATCTGTAAAAACTAAAGTTAACTATATGAAACAACTTCTGGGCAACGGAAAGGAATGAGCGAGCTGCCAAACTTATTACGTAGGAATAATTTGCGACGAAGTGACGGAATAATTAGGCAGGTAAGATAATGATGACTTGTATATGCCATAGGGGGAAATGATCCGTTTTTACATTCACGTAAGGATAGTCAAAGTAAGCAGGGTGACTGAATGAATTCATACCGAACATGCGGGTTCAGCCTCTTAAGCTGGATACAGATGACTTAAGTCGTCATAACAGAATCCCTGTGCATAGAAGACGAAATCGTAAAACAAAATTAGGAATGCATGAGGCATTTTTCACTTTTTGGCAAGAGTAAACAATAGACACCAAAGTTAAATAACCTTGATTTGACCAATCAGATAGCTCAGCATTACAAATAGTTCCTAGTAATAATCCTCTTTGAAAGTGTCTCCTACATTTGGTTTCTGGCTTCTCTGTAGATAATGTGTTGATAGGGAAAAATAGAACATTCATGTATGGAAGGACAATAACTCTGGAAAAGTATTGCTGGGCTATTGATGGCTTGTTGCGTGCGTTATTTGACTAAACTTGCGTACACTTATATTCTAGTACTTCTTCACTGTTATTAATGTGCATAGACGTTGTGGCTACTCGACGCCCAAAAGGCACTTGCGAAGAGAACGATCGTGTATTATAGCAGTAGTCAAATTTCGAAGCCGTGTCAAGGTAATGTTCAACAGTAAATTGACAAGTGTTTGCGAAGCACATATAAAATCGGTCTGTGTACACATATCATACAAGTATACAAATTAGAATAAAAAGCATGTTTACAGCTGGTATAGAAGTACTACAGGCTATACATTAAGATGCAACCACTTTATATGAGGAAGTCTGCATAGGTTGGTAAGACTTACATAAGTGGTGATTTTTTAGACACTTTCTTCTTGAAACAAAAGCTCTTCCTTAGTAATATATTGCGCATATGCAACCTATATCTGCTACGGCTAGAGGAATAGCGAAAACATTGGTTTGATATGCCTGTAACCACTTCTGTGAGAATCTGGGACCAGTTTTCGCAGATTATTAGATATATGCCCTATATGATTCACTTTTATTTTAAATATCGTAGATACATTTCTTTGCAAATTAAGTATCACTTTTCACTTAGAAGAATCTGATTAGCTGTTTCAAGGTCGTCTGAGATTGGTGTCTATTCTTCACTGTTGCCCACTTTTTTGATAAAATTCATTTTATAATAAGGACCCACAGCGTGTAATGGAACAGAGATATTTATTTTTAAATCAAGTAGTTTAAGTGACCTCACTTAAATTCAAATTCGAGCTCAGAGCGTGTATCACGTGTTCGAAGACTGCAGCGTTTGAGTGGTCTGAGTTATTCTTTGCAGCAGTTATCCTTTCAGGCTGGTCGAGAAGAATAACAGTAAGTGACTAATTAAATGACGGGAACTTTGGTGCTTGAATGAACCATTCTACAAAGTGACGCGCTTAAGTCTAAGCGTTCGTTACTTTTGGGTAACGAGTCGTACCTACCAATTAATTGATCAGTAGGACGAAGAGGGTGGGTTGTATGTGAAAAATGAAATCAATTAATACTAGCTCATAAAAACGATATTGGATCACTTAGCTTGAATGCTCGCGAGCATCCATTTGCAGATTAATGATGTTCTATTATGTGTATACACATAATTGAAGTGGACAAATTTTAAGGTATATATACCTTAAAATTTGTCCACTTTTCCTGATTTGACATAAAATATATATGTGACTTAAAAGTCTTATACAAATGATGTCTTCAGCTAAATGAGATATATCTGATGTATATGATATTAATTCTACGAAAAGCGCGGTAATGCACTTAGGTTAGTGGTCTTTTACGTTGTACTCCCGATGTTAACGGACGGAGGGACCTAGGAATCATTGTTAGCAATGAATTTAAAACATCTGCAAATTGCAAAGCAGTCGCAGCTAAGGCTTTTCGAATGCTGTGGGCTTCCAAACGATTAGACGAGGGTATGCTCCATGTACTCTATACAATATATGTCCGACCCCACCTAGAGTACTGCATACAAGCGGTGAGTCCATGCTTCAAAATGGAGGCGCATATTCTGGAAGGACTACAGAGGGTAAGAACTAAGTTATTTAGTGGTATCCCACACCTTCCTTATGATATGAGGATGGAGCATTTAAATCTCTTCCTATTATCACACCAAAGGAGGAGAGACGACTTAATTTTGGCTTACCGTATATTCAAGGGTGATTTAGGAATTGACCTTTCAAACCTTTTCTTTCCCTCTAGGATACATATACAAGGTCACCACAAAAAGTTGCTCAAACTGAGGACGACTAAAATACGTGCAGTAATTAGATTCTCTCACAGAGTGGTCAGCGACTGGAACTCCTTACCTGATTCAGTAGTGTCGCTTTCGAAGAAAAGTTAGATCTCTACAGAGATATATTTTGCAAGGATTAACACATACCACAAGAGCCTTCTATCCTTATCATCTGAATCTATATGATACGATATCGTATCATAGTACAGTACTAATTTCATTCTTATTTGCTTTTATACATAGGTGGTGTGATAAGCGTTTCCGCCTAAAACTGCGTTGAGCCATGAATGTTGATTGTGAAGTTACAACTGTCCCGCAATTGGAGACCTCTCTTTTTTCTGAATCTGACGAAAGTGACTGCACTACCTCGGAACGCTTTTCATCTGAATCAAAAAACATCTCTAATTGGGATAATTATTTATCATTGGTCAATTGTAAGAATTTAGAAAAAGACCAGTTGTATGGTGTACTTACCATTAGAAATTGGATTATTTCAGCAGTATGTTTCAAGTAGTTTACTTGATGTGTTTCTTATATTTATTTAGGACGATGGTTTTCTTACGAAAAATTTTCCCGAGTTACGCAAACGTGTTATTCAAAAAATTCTCGAAATCATCTATTCTCCTGAAGAGGGTGATGTATCAGTCCCAGTATCTACGAAATTGCATGAATCCTTGATATGGTTGTATTTCAAAACACCGAAACTATGGATACATCCATTAAAGTGGATGGTGTATGCATTTGTATACGGTAATTTTTGTATTTTATTCTCCTTGATATTTGCAATCATTTCTAGAGTCCAGTTCATTAGTAGCCTTACTGACTTAGGAATTTCGTTTTGAAACATTAAGTTACTTACTGATTGATGGTTGTTACCTTGCGGTAGTGTTGGGGCATGTCTATTTCAGTGACCCAAACAGCTATACTAGTCGAAGAGATTGTTTCATCGTGCAACGGTTGGTTTGACATTAGAAGGAACAAAAACAATTACTATTTATGGTGTGAGTTGTTGACACAGATTGGGTTGTAAGAGTGAAGTTGTACGTCCCGGGGGAGAGGAATGTGGTGACAGTATTGTAGTTATCTTTTGGGACCCTTTAGCTGCCTGCGTCACTTATCGGGTAAAAAGTTAGAAGACGTCGGTCCCCAAAATTGGTAATGCTAGAGTACCCGAAACCGGCATTGAAGTTTTCTACAAAAACAATACTTTACAAATACTATCACTTTTAAACAAACTGACTGGGACCGATCTTATCAAGACATTTACAGTGGCACAGAACTCATCACTCACCTTCAAAGACTATGAAGGAAAGTTAACGTGGAGAGTTTGAGTTATTAGCAAGTACTAATTGTGCCAAGCCTTCCTGTGATAATCACAGGGGGATCAACGTGACTAATAGGGTACCTAAAGTTCTAAGCTCAGTAATCATGTGTAGACAAACACGAAAGAACTAGTCAGGCTTAGAGCCAGGAAGAGGGTCAATTTGTTATACCTTCCCCCTTTGAGAGATTCTGGAACATAGATATACTTGCCGGCGTCATATTTCTTGGCCTGAAAGTGCCATTCTGTTACGTCGACCGAGAAGAACCATGGTTATATTTGGCTGTGAAGGGAATGCCGAGAAAATAGATCACACAGATCAAGGCACTCTACTGGAACTCATGCAGTTAGCCAGATGAGAGCCTATGGGGAGGTGTCATCTGAAGTGGTAACAACCAGTGGTATCTGTCAGGGATTCCTACCAATATTCCTATTTCTCTTTAATTTCACCATACTCAATGAACTGATGGACTTAACCCTAAGTGACTTCAGCGACCCAGGGATTGACTTGCTACCAGGGAATAATCTCGTTGACTTGGAATATGCAGACGATATAGTCCTCCTGCGGAACTGACGAGGATATCAAAACAAGGATCGGGAAAGCAAGGCGAGCCTTCATTACTCTCATGTATGTGTGGAGGTCAACACTCAGCATGAAAAATAAGATCCAGATTTTCAACTCCAATGTGAAGTCAGTGCTAATTACTGTACGGATCAGAGACTTAGTGTGCCAAACAAACTACAGACTTTCATCAACAGCTGTCTACGCTCAATACTACTCAGGATCAGATGGCCTGCCGGAAAAGATCAGTAACAGGGATCTCTGGGAGCAAACCAACCCAGTAGGAACCAATTGTGCAACAAATGTGCAGGGATAAATGGAGATGGATTAGCCATACTCTGAGAAAACCATCAAATGACATCACTAGACAGGCCCTCGAGTGGAACCGGAAGGGGAAGCGGCGAGTTGGTCATCAGTGCGAGGGTGACTTGGAGGAGGTCATGTGAAGAGGAGATGAAAGCATGTGGGCAGATGTGGAACCAGGTGAGAACGGCGATATATATATATATATATATCGCTCATCCAAAGTTCACATAATTTCTAAAATCATTAGGTAACTTACTTTGGACATCTGGAAAAATAACCCCAAGTTACTCACAATTTGTTTTTCATTACTTTGAGTTTCGACTAGAACATAGGGTTCCAGACACAAAGTATTGAAGTTCTAGTAGCCGTCGTATTGTCTCTTTCTGGGAGGTGTGGGGTTACCAGCCTCACGCCCAATCTTCCCACTTTCCCATACTACTATCGATTAATAAACTAGGCGAATTGCAGATGATGTGTATTGGTTGTGAGTTGTTGAACCTCAAACCACCTGTGTGTGTGTGATAAGCAAGAAATTTACCATTAAACCACGAACACACATTCATAATGGCCGAGATATATTTACTTTGTCATCTTCGAAGTGTTGAACTACCTCACTACTCCTCAGTTAAGTGTTATCTTTCCTGAATATATTTGTCCATTTTATTATTATTATCGTCACATTCCTGTGTCGTTACAACCACCACATTGATCTGATTACATATTATTTAGTGTTTCTAGTTTACTGAGGATATCTTACTACTGAAAACCTTTGTGGATTAACATTTAGATAGGTGTATCATACACAGACGATTCTAATTAATGTGAAGTTCACACGTAAATGTATAAATTAAGCAGCGCTGATTATTAAATCAACGAAGTAGAAATGCATTGCACAATATTTTTGAACCCCGTCGATAACTGCTACCTTGTCGTGGTGGTCGGGCTTGAATACCGTAATGACCTAAGATGCTAAACTGACTGGGACTCTGCCCTGCAGGTCCTACCATGTCAGGAAGGTTGTTTGGATAGCGGCTGAACTAAAAGCAGTTACCATGGGGCACATGGGCTCCTGTCTGTCTGTCTGTTTTCGACATAGAACTTTGCACAAATGTGCGGAAGTTCAAGTCGCCACACTCCGTGTAGCACGCGAAGCAAGAGAAGAAAGTACAAGAAAAGCATAATAGAGACAGTAAGCAGAGGTGTGAGACAAAGGAAGAGTAATAACGAAGAAACTGCTCAGGCTGGGCAGTATCTCAGCCCCCACACAATGAATTGAATAGAGCAACAAACAATCAATGAAACTCGTCGCGTCCTATTACACGTGTTCTCTAGAGATGCTTGGCTGTAAAGGGTATTTCGAGAAAATATATTGCACTGATTAAGGCACTCTACTCGTACTCATACAGCCAGGTGAGGGCTTACGGCGAGCTGTCATCTGAACTGGTGACGACTAGTGGTGTCCGTCAAGGATGCCCATTATCCCCTTTTCTATTCAACTTCATCATAGATGTGTTAATGGACTTAACCCTAGGTGACTTCAGCGACTCAGGGATTGACTTGTTACCGGGGAATAATCTCGTTGACTTGGAATATGCAGACGATATAGTCCTTCTAGGCGAAGACGCTGACGAAATGCAGAGTCTTCTAAACACCTTGAGCCGCAATCTACGAATGTTTGGCATGCAATTCGCTCCCGCCAAATGCAAGGTGATGTTACAGGACTGGACTACATCGACGCCTAGTTTAAAAATAGGAAGTGAAGTGGTAGAGCACGTTGACCGCTTCACTTATTTGGGAAGTACCATCAGCCCCAACGGGTTGAACTCTGACGAAATCTCAGGACGGATACAGAGGACTAGTTTCGCATTTTTTTTATATTTTATTTTATTTTTTTTGATTCACAGCTTGATTCCACACTGTATTTTTGGTACAAGTATGGAATTTTCAGCATGGATATCGGTAGCCCAAATTTCGCAGGCCGACCATAGATATCAGGTGTGCGCCGGCGTGGGCTCGAACCTCGGACCATGCGCATGGTCGGCGAGAGTCCTAACCAATGTGCCAGTTTACGCCGACTCTGGCGTAGACGAGATGTTCGACTGTCGACCAAAGGGCGGGTGTACTGCTCATCAGTCCGCTCCGTCCTCCTTTATGGTTGTGAGACCTGGCCACTGAGAGTGGAAGACATGAACAGCCTGAGTGGATGTCTTTGATCATAGGTGCCTGCGCTCTATTTCCCGTGTAAAGTGGCATAATAAGGTGAGCAACATTGAAGTTAGGTGTCGAGTTCTAGGTAAACAGGGGAAATCAATCGACGAAGTCGTGAAGCTACAAAGACTGAGATGGTTAGGACATGTGTTACGTATGCCAAGCCATCACCTCCCTCGACGAGCAATGTTAGCGGATATAGGGTCAGGCTGGAAAAAAGGCTAGCGGAGGTCAAACAGAAACTTGGCCTCACCAGTCAATGAAATCCACAACAGTTGGTCTAAGCCACGTAGGAAGGTGTAGACTTCCAGGCTGGGGTCCTCGGGACGGTAAAAATCAATGTTTGGAAACAATTGGTGACATGGCTCAAAATCGTTCTCAGTGGCTGGCGCAGATGCATCCACTCCTTGTGACTTATGATTTCCAATGAAACTGTTTTGTTCTTCGTTATTACTCCTCCTTTGTCTCACACCTCTGCTTACTGTTTCTATTATGCTTTTCTTGTACTTTCTTCTCTTGCTTCGCGTGCTACACGGAGTGTGGCGACTTGAACTTCCGCACATTTGTGCAAAGTTCTATGTCGAAAACAGATAGACAGACACGTGTTGCAATTTCCTTCTCTCTTCCCTTCCTGATGATAGTTAACCATTACTGTGTGAGCTTATTAAGCATGACTGTTCTCCTTCCAGATGAAGTTCTTTATCCGTACTCTACATATATATATATATATATATATATATATCGTTTTGAAAAGGATTTGATTTAGAAATACAAGTGGAACAAGTGAAAATAATACCGGGGGCAGTTCAAAGTGAGAATAGTAATAGTAACAATTGACGTAATAAGGAAGAGTATACAAATTGAATAGGCAAAATGAAAAAAATGAAAAATTGGTAGAGCTAAAATACGATTGGGGATTACCGTAATTTAGCATAGAGGGATTAAGATCATGAAAGTTGGAGGGGTTGAATGAACTTTTTCCGTATACAGAGATCTGGCTTTTCTGTTTCGATAGCCAAAGCTTCTGCAATACAGATGAGTCGGGTTCGTAGTGATATGGGTAAGTACTCTTTACCTTGTAGATGACTTTAAAGGCGGGGGCTATAGAGAAAGGGTGATCATTATGCACCAGATGTTCAATGATCGCGCTTCTTATTGTTACGCGACCATTTTATTGTAGCCATGCAGGATAGTGTTCTTTCACCCTATCCTGCATGGCTACAATAAAATGGTCGCGTAACAATAAGAAGCGCGATCATTGAACATCTGGTGCATAATGATCACCCTTTCTCTATAGCCCCCGCCTTTAAAGTCATCTACAAGGCCAAGAGTAATTTACCCAAATCTCTACGTGCCCGACTCATCTGTATTGCTCAAGCCATCTTTGGCTATCGAAACAGAAAAGCCAGATCTCTGTGTACGGAAAAAGTTCATTCAACCCCTCCAACTTTCATGATCTTAATCCCTCTATGCTAAATTACGGTAATCCCCAATCGTATTTTAGCTCTACCAATTTTTCATTTTTTCATTTTGTCTATTCAATTTGTATACTCTTCTTTTGTTACGTCAATTGTTATTATTACTATTCTCACTTTGAACTGCCCCCGGTATTATTTTCACTTGTTCCACTTGTATTTCTAAATCAATTCTTTTTTGCAACGATAAATTCTATGCTATTAAATGTATATATTTCTCTATTCTTATTTTTCTTTTGATCTATGTTGTTTTATTATTATTGTGTGGCGCATCCTTCTTGGTGCCATATTGTACCAAGATTTTTGCGTTTAAATAAATAAATATATTTTTGAAACAGTAAATTCACGGTCAGTATATAATGCGATCTAACCTATCCTGATTTTGAACGCTTCAACGGTATTCACCCAAAAGCTTACCGGGACCAAAACCAAGATCCATTGGCCATCTAACTGTTGACTTCTCTAGCGACCAGTTCATGTACTCAAATAGTCCTTCATTAGTCCTGTTTGAGTGAAAACATCTTTTAATATAAGTGTAAAACTCGGCTACTGTGATAGTACTTAATTCTATATTTATATTTATCAGATATATCATACAATGAAACATTATTGCTTACTGGATGACAAAGTTTCGAACGCTATGTATTTATTGTTCATAATCATTTCATCAATTACAGTCACACAACTTCAAAACTTTCGTTTCAATGTTTTCTTTATTCTTTTCTATTTGTCATAGGGGTAGTAGAATTTCTCAGATATCTAGGTGGACAGGTGTTGAATCATTCCTATTACACGTGTTTGCAGTTGATTCGATAAACAAAGCTTCTGTTATCAATCTCTTCCTCCACCCTGTCAGTTTCGTTAGATTTTAAAACTGTCATCTTATCCCATCCATCCTTTTGTATGGTTGTGTATAATTGCATGTGGTGCTATAGCTGAAATATCCTCTAGATTTTTTTATCTTATTCGGGTCAACCAATCTAGATTTTGCTAGGTTTTTATGTTTGGTTAGTCTGGCCACCTCTGTTCTACTAGTTTGACCTATGTATTCGACCTGACAATCATTCCGGCAGAGTGTTAGATAAATTAAATTGTTTTGTTTAATTGGCTGCACAGGATTGGTCCTTTAGCCGACAAAGTTTCTTTCTAATTGAGTTTGTGGGTTTGAATATCAGCCACTTTATTGCTGTCTGTATTGTTAGGAATCCTCTGTCTCCGATGTTTGCGAGATTCCCTCTTAGTATGGAAGTTCTACTGACGATTTGAGTTCCCTATTGTTGTTGTCGGCATTATTCTGTGCATGTTTGACATGCATTTCATCATTGATAATATTATTATGACTATCATTATCACTACAGTTGCAAACACGTGTAATAGAAATGATTCAACACTTGTCCATCCAGATATCTGGAAAATTCTACTACCCTTATGACAAATAGGCGTCTAAAAAGAAACTTTATATGAACTTGGATTTCAAGGGAGATTTAGCAAGCGATATTCTCAAGAGAAGGATCACATAATCTCTGAGAACATTCTTTGTAGCAACGCTAATAATAGTCGCCCACTGATCTGCAGAAGCCTCAAGGACAAAATCCCGCATCTGGCCACTTCTGTGTGCATATATCAGTTCACCTGCTGCTGTGGAGCCAGGTACATCGGTCGTCCGACGCGCATTCTGTCCTAGAGGATTCAAGAACACTACCCAGTATGGTTTCGAAAAGGCAATAGTGGTGCAATAAGGAGTGCGATAATTGAACACTTGGTTAACACTGATCATTCCATCTCAACAAACTCCTCCTTCAAAGCAATCTACAGAGTCAAGAATAACCTATCAAAGGCAATACGGTTTCGTCTCCTGTGTATCGCTGAAGCTCTGGCTATTCACATAGAAAAACCGGAGCTGTGCATACAAAAGAAGATTACTTAACCACTTCTACTCGCATGGTAACAATGTTTTGATTTGTTTTGGGTTTTTTATTTTATTTTGATGACTTAATTTTGTTTCTTTGCCTGTTCTTTAATTGCTTATAATTCTTGTGTTCACTTTCACTTAGATCTCTTACATAATTTCGTGTTATCTACTTTGTTTCTATGTGCATCCTGAGTAAAACTCACTCATCAAACTATTCATATTATTATTACATAACTTCTTTTAACAACTGTGACAACTCATCACCTTAGTTACTACCCTAGTTTCACTAACACTTAATTTTTTTGACTTGTATTATCAACCTTCACCTGTTTAGTTAAAATAACCTTAATCAATTGTAATTTTGTTTGACAAACTTAATGTACACATACATACAAAACAACACATACATTTGCGATTGCACAGCTAAGAAAATGAATTTGCCGAAAAGAGACTTCGCTGATCTACGTGTTTTGTTTTCATTAATATCTTGTATAATTTGGTTTGTAAGGGTTAGTAATGTTTTTACGAGTTGATCACGGATTGATATCTGTTAGAGGACCACTGAAAACCAGGGAGTACTGGACAGACAGCTGCTGTCTCATCCTAGTCTGGGAATCATCGGCAGTACGCACCCACTGGGATTCAAACCCAGCTTGCTAGCGACTTGCTACAGGATGGAGTTCTAGTGGTAAGTCGTGACCAGTGAGGTCCATCCAGATGTCACGTGTGGTGATGGACGTCCCACCTACGACAATGGTTGGAGTCGCGTTAAATCACGAACTGGTAGAAGTTAGAATTCATGAGCTGGCCATTGAATCGGGTCCCAGTGGCTGAATGGTATACGAGCTCGCTTGCCTTGTAACCGGAAGGTCCTGGGTTCGACACCTGGCAGTGGGTGCGTACTGCCGATGATTCCCAGACTAGGATGAAACAGCAGCTGTATGTCCAGTACTCCCTGGTTTTCAATGGTTCTCTAACTGATATCAATCCGTGATCAACTCGTAATAACATATCTTGACTTAAGCACTGACTGACTTTGATACAAATCTCCGATAAAGACATCAGGGTTCTCTTGATTTTCCAGAGATACATCTTTCTAACGATGGCTGATAAATATATGAAATCCTAGGTCAAAGACTTAATGGTCTACCAGCTGGCTCTTCTTGTAACTCGAAGGAAGGTCCTGGATTCGAACCTTGTTGGTGGTGGATGAGTACCATTGAGGAGTTTCAAACCAGGACGAAACAGATGTCCAGTACTCTCAAGTTTTTCAATGACTACCTGTGCTAATCATTTCCAATCATATAACAGTTGTTGTTAGTCAATCAGTCACATTGTCTGATTCGTCAATTTATGAAATTTTTTCTGTAGGTGGTTTTCATTTTGATATTACCGATAAGTCAATAACAGAAGAAAGAATACTAGACGGCATAGATAAATCTACATATTCAAAAGGGATCATAGAAAATACATTACGTCTTTTGTCAATTATCAGTGAAGAATTTACATCAACCAGGTTACCGCATAGTGTTAAATGCATCATTACACAAGACATTCAATCGGATGAAGATTTAGTTCAAAAAATACTCATGGTAAGTTTACTTTGAAAACCGAATATGTGTGTAGTCTGATTAGTAGTACCATAAATGTCATTCGCAAAAAAAAACACACAGAAAAAAGCAGTCAGTAGTATGCGCTACTAGGTTGATATGAATAGTTGGAAAAAATTACTCATGTCATTTCATCTTACAAGAAAAAATCTGGCGATCTTCTATCATCAGTTTTGTGGTAATTTACAAATGACGAATGTCGAATCCTAGCTAGGGGTTATTACTAGTTTCACCAAGCGATGGCCAACCAGAATTCGGGTAGTGTGAATTAATTCAGTTGTCTGATCTGAATCTAGTTAGCTCAACGACCCCAGACGAGCAAGACTGCCGTTTGGTGTTGAGTAATTCTCACGACTACTCATATCAATCGTTAGTATATATTCAGATTTACTGTTTGAAGATAGAAAGGTTTGGAGCCTATGTTAATCCTTTTCTAGTAAATTTCTGTGGTTGTCTAAACCCTTCTTGAATGAATCAGTTGAGGTTGCAGACACCACTTCTTCTGGGAGTCGGTTTCAAGAGTTTATGACTCGGTGTGAGAACCAGCACTCAACAGCAATGTAATGTCTTCTTGGCTTTTGAACTCTCCCAGTATGTCAGGTTAAGTCCGTAGACATTATTTAAATTTTTAAACATTGTGATTAAATCTCCTGTCTACCTACGGTATGACAGGGAGAAGATAATTAAACTGTCTAGTCTTTCCTCGTATGATAAGTTAGTCATGCCGAGAACCATATACGTGTTGCCTTCCTTTGAACCCTTTCTGTCTGTCTGGTTTCAACATAGAACTTGGCACCGAAGTGCAGCAGTTCGAGTTGCCACGTTCCAAATAGCACACAAAGGTAGACAAGAAGATGAATGAAGAGAATCAATAGAGTTTGACAAGTATAAGAGTGAAACAGAATGGGTAATGGTAGAAAGGAATATGAAAGATTACAGAGACTGAATACATCTGCGCTGGCCATTGACAACGATTTTGAGCCATGTCACCTATTGTCTCCAGCCATTGATTCCTAGAGTCCCGAGGGCCCCAACCCGGGAGTCTGCATCTCCCTACCTGACTCAGTTTAACTGTCATGGATTGATGGGGCCATGTTTTTGTTTGGCCACCACTGGCTCTTTTCCAACCTGCACCTATATCAGCTAGTAATGTCCGTCGGGGGAGGCGGTGGTTAGGCATGCGCAGCACGTGACCTAGCCATCTCAATCTGTGTAACTTTATAGCCTCGTCGATTGATTTTCCCTCTTTGCCCAACACTCTACGCCTAACGTCAGCATTACTTACCTTATTAAACCACCTAACGTGAGACAGAGATCGCAGACATCTATGATCGAAAGCAGTCAACCTTTTCATGTCTTCAGCGCGAATTGGCCATGTTTCAGAGCCATAGAGAAGGACGGAGCGAACTGCTGAGCAGTACACACGTCCCTTGGTTGATAACCGGATGTCACGCCGACGCCAGAGATGAGCCCTTTCTAGAATGTGTGAGTCCCCCATATAAGACAAGGACTGGCTGGCTGCCTGGATACAATTTTCCAGTCTTGACCTCACCAGAGATGTATATAAGGAGGTGAACATATCTCTTAAAAGCAAGCCTTCTAAGGTGGTTATTAGAACTTTAAGAGGTTATCGATACGTTGGTACTTACTTCTGGTGTTTTCAACGTTAATGCAGCCTTTGTTTTAGTAAACACTCAGCTTTTTTTTACAAATTGGTTTGCCAATGTATTTAACATCCTGGAATCTGAGTGATAACATTCAGTAAGAGTTTTGCGCTTGCCTTTTTTATATCAGTAACACTATACCACTAGCCACACCTTTGCTGTTGCATAGCTTCATTTCCTGTGACTTTAATCATTTCATAGTGTACCGTCACACTAATTTCTTCTTTTTTTTACCAGTGTTTGATTCTCATAATTGAACTGATAGACTACTACTGAGTGTGTGTGTGTCACTTGGAAGGCACTTGTTTGAATCCTACCGGGGGCCAATTTAAACTTTAAGCACCAGTAACTACCAATGGAGTGCGACCGCACCAATGACCTTGACACACGCTCATTGAGCAAGTTAGTGCAGCCCGACAAATAATGTTGTCATGATCAATAAAATATTCTCATCAAAGTGTTAGGTTATTAAATGGGATATCTGGCAAGTTTCGGTTTAAGTGTTTGGGAAATATTAAGTTACACTTTAAGCCAAGGACAATTTAGGGTTAACTTAACCTATTAAAGGCGACGTTAGGGTTGGTTCGAGTTAGATTACAGTTAGTTTAGGAACATTTTCTCATTAGGGTTAGGTTCAGGAAAGATTTGGGTTATTGTTGGGGTTAGAAGACCTAAATAATTACATGCGTAAAATGTGGTTAAATTACTCTGTTGATGTAAGAATAGAACCTGTGCACTGTGGTATAATTCCATTGCGGATAAAAGTTATTTTGATAACGTCTCACAGTGTTCTTATACAGTAATATTTGCTAATGACCACGTTTCGAGCACAATTTATTGCTCAGTAAATATTACTACATAACACTGTGAGACTTTATCAAAAATTTCACTCACTATGGAGTTATACTCTACCACCAGACTACACAAGTTCCATTCTTTCTTATATCAACAGAATAATATGCATGTAATTATTTAGGTCCTGTAACCTTAACAATAACCCTAATGTTTCCTGAACATAACCACAACTTGAAAATATCTCTAGACTAACTGTAATCTAACTCGAACCAATTCTAATGTCACGTTTATCAGTTTAACCTAACCCTACCTTGTCCTTGGCTTAAAACGTAAATTATTCTTTCCCAAACCTAAAATGGAACTCGCCCGATATCCCATTTAATAGCGTAACACTTCGATGAGCATATTTTAGTGATGATGACAACATTATTTGTCAGGTTTCACTTATATGCTCGATGGGTGTCTCAAGGTCATTGGTGCGGTCGCGCAGTCCATTGGTAGTTAGTTAGTGGTGCTCATAGTTTAACTTAGCCATCACATGTGAGAGAACGGTATCCTATGAAACACTTTTCTACAGTTTTTATGCATTTTCTTTATGAATATCTATATTCCATACACAAAAATGCCTCCTTCACGTGATTGGTGCGTTCGAGGTCATTTGCTGATTGGTTGTAGTTAGTGGTGCTTAAAGTTAAACTTTGCCCTACCGAGATTGATCACTTTACTTGAAATTATTTGATGATAGTGGTGTGAGATCGACAGAGTCTATGAAGTGTAGTTTTTTCTTCCAATTCACGACTGGCTGGCTGGCCAACCTGTACTTGCGATGATGTCGTCTCCACTAAGATGTGCATTCGATAGTCATCACTTTAAATACAACTTAATGCTATTTAACTGGATGGATCACTGAATAGAAATAATTTCTTCTTTTTTTCTTTTCTATGGGATTGTAGGGTTGGTTGATTTGAGGCACAATTTTGAAGTATTTATTGGTTTTGTAGGGATTTTGTTTGACTGCATAGAGGATTTCATCATGAGCTGACTGACATCAGTTGGAGAACCATTGAAAAATAACCTGTAAGTACTGGATAGCGAACTGTTTCGTTCTAGTTTGGGGCTCTTCATCAGTACGCACCCACACTACGGGGTTCAAACCCAGGACCTTCTGGTTACCAAGACGAGCTCGTAGACTATTCATCAGTCACTGGGACCCGATCCAGTGGTCTCAAACTAAGACGAAACAGCTGTCTGGCAGTACTCCCAGGTTTTCCAGTGGTTCTCTAACTGATGTCAGCTCATAATGCAATCCTCCATGCAAAATTTTGAGTTAACATTCTGTTGTATACTCATTCACTCGCTCTCCAGCCTCAGAAAAGGTGTTTCATGTTCTCGAACATGATCCACACTTGATGTTGGTCTCTGTGTTTGTGTGTGCGGGTGTGTTAATGATGCTACCTAGTTTCCGATGTCTTAATTAGGCGTAGCGGGATTCGAATCCGTAACCCATTTGCTGAAGATGAAGAGTTCAGGTTGATTAGCATATTTCTCAGCTTGCAGAGTGCTAAGTGTCATAATGTATAAAAAATTACACACAATGACTAAGTTGTATTCATTATCTTACGTTTATTTACTACTGTTAAAAAAAGCTTAAAATCTCATAATTTCTAAAATATTTAAAATTAAATATTTCCATTCAGGCGATGATCATTATTGCTTAGCAACCTCCTAACTCCTCCATTATGGATAAGATTTTATTGTGATAAGTCACACAGTGTGTGTGTGTGATTTCTCTAAATAAAATCTTATCTATAATGGAGTTATCCCCTACCACAGTGCCCAAGTTTTATAATTATATTAACAACCTCATACATTTGCAAGCAGGTAGTTGGAGGGGTGGGGGAGGGAGGTTGGCTAATGATGTGTTACCTGGATGCGTAAAATTCATTAGGTATGTAACAAGAGAAGACAACGGCCAGTCAACAGATCCTTTATTTATGAAATCAACACATATTTGTAGATTTTCATGTACATTATTATTATTATTATTATTCGTTATTGTAAGCAAACAAACACAGTCCTCTGATTGGTTGTTTCTCACTGCACGTTAATCTTTCATCTCTGAGTGGCTTTTTCTTAAATTGCAGATCATCTATATGTTAACTGTATACGCCTACGCGAAATCAGTCTTTGTTCTCATTTTTCTCATGACCAATATATTTGGGACATAAAAATTGACGTAAATTACCGTCTACCAATTTTGACTAACAACCAGCTCTCACCACAGGTAGAGCACGACAGGGTTGAAACCTCTATATAACACCAGTGGTTGAAAGTTGAGCGAGCACATAGACATCAATGAAATGAATCATAGCCGCTTTGTCAATTGATTTTCCTTTTATTATTTCCCTTTTTTTTCTTTTTCTTTTTTTCTAGCAATTTCTAGGCAGAGCAAAACATGAAGAAGTTTGTGCATTCGCTATGCATACATGTGGATTATGGATATCTAGTTTTGTGACGAGTAGTTCATCAGCTATCGGTTATGTACATCTTATACATGCTGTCTACACTTCAATGCAATATTCAGCTTGTCTATATTCAGCTGGAATTAATTGTCTCATCAATATATTCGAATCAGATGGTGGTGGACTTAAGTAAGTTGTTAGTAAGGAAGTGTGAGTGTTCACAGTTTCTTTTTCATTAGACAATTCATTCATTGTTACTACAGTATGATATATGATACCAGTAGGGAGGGTCATAGAAGCTGTTGTGGTGACCAGGGAACTTAAAATATGTGTAAAACTTGGGCACTGTGGTAGTAAGCAATTCCATATTAGTTTGTTTATTAGAGGTACGACACAGTGAAAGAGTATTATTTACTGGATGACAAAGTTTCGAACAATATTTATTGTTTATAATCATATCAGTTGGAATCACACGACTTTGAAACTCGAGTTTTATAGTTTTCTTTGTTCTCTACTACTTTTTCGTCGTAAGAGAAGTAGAATTTTCCAGATATCCGACTGGAAAGGTGTTGAATCATTCCTATTACATGTATTCTCTTCGGTTGATTCGATAAATTAAACTTCTGTTATCAATCTCTCCCTCCACCCTCTTGGATTACTTTTTAAAAATGTCATCTTATCCCATCCCATCCTATTGTATGGTTGCGTGTAATTGCATGTGGTGTAGTGCAATATATGAACTATTCTCTAGATTTATTATCTTATTCGGGTCAACTAATCTAGATTTTGCTGATAGGTTTTTATGTTCGGCTAGTCTGACTGATTGTCCCTGTTCTACTAGTTTGACCTGTGTATTTGAGCTGACAATCATTGGAGGCAGGGTATTAAATAAACTAAATTGTTTTGTTTTAAAGGCTCTACAGGATTGATCCTTCAACCGACAAAGCTTTTTTATAATTGAGTTGGTGGGTTTGAATAGCACTTTTATTCCTGCCTGAACTATTAAGAATTCTGCGTAAGGTTTCCGGGGTTCCTCCTTTCTATGGAATTACTGCTGATGATTTAGATTCCTTATTGTTGGTGTTATTATCCTGTGCATGTTTGACATGCACGTCGTCAGTAATATTATTCTTTATTTTTGATTACAGCTTGGTTCCACACCGTATTTTTGGTACAAGTGTGAAATTTTCAGCATGTGATATCGGTAGCCCAAATTTTGCAGGCCGACCTTTGATATCAGGTGTGCGTAGGCAGGTGGTCGAACCTCGGACCATGTGCATAGTCAGCGAGAGTCCTAACCACTGTGCTACCAACGCACTATCACTACTATAATTATTTATTTTAATTTTACATTTCCTTGCATATTTCCTGACTAATTTATCAGGGTAGTCAATAAGTTTCAAGGCTTCCTTTTTGTGTATGACTTCCTGTCTTAGATTTTCCTTGGTACTACTTAGTTTTTGTGCTGTGTCACTTAGACATTTCACCAATCCTATTTTTACTGACATAGGATGGGATGGTCGGAAGTCCAAATATCTGTTTGAATGTGTGGGTTTCCTTAAAACACACACTAGTGTGTTTAACTTGCCATCTTCTTTCCTTTTTACGTTGCAATCTAACATTGGAAGCTCCCCTTCCTGACTTTCCAATTTACAAGTGAACTGAATTGCCTTCACCTTTGAGCTAATGCGTTCGAAAAATCTATCTATAGCTTGTGTTCTAAATACAGTGAATGTGTCATCTACATACCTCCACCATACTTTTGGGGTGGTGGTGAACGTTTCAATCGCTATGTTTTCCCACCTATCCATGAATATATCTGCTACAACCAGGGATATTGGTGATCCCATGGGAACTCTCTCAGTTTGTTTGGATATTTTCACCTGGAATTTGAGTACTGTGGAAGTCAAGCATAGCTGCACTCCCAGCATTATGTCCTCAAGTCGCACTTTTGTCCTATGTTCGAGTTCTTGGTCAGAAATGAGTTCGTTTCTGACTGCCTCTATAGCCATATTTATCCGTATACGTGTATACAAACTGACAATGTCAAAACTAAGCATTTTCTCTTCATTATCTAATTTTAAATTATCTAATCTGTGTTTTAGTTCATAAGAATTAGTTAGTCTAGATTTCGAGTGGATTTTTAGTGGATTTAATACCATGGCTAAATATTTAGATAAGTCATAAGTAGGTGAATTTCTAAAATCAACTATAGGCCTAATAGGGTATCTTGACTTATGAATTTTAACAACACCATACATCCTACTGGGATTATTAGTTTTTGGCAATAAATTAAACCATTTAGACTCACTTAGAAACGGCTTCATTCGGCGTATAAGGTCCACTGTGGATTTCTTAACTTTATTCATAACTGTGTCTATTGATTTATTAATTTCCTCATATGGTCCTGTTTGTATGTGAGTATTTACCTTGTCCAAACGTCACCCAGCAAATAATACTGTTTCATCACTGTGTGATACATACATCTAATGAACAAACTAATATGGAATTACCCGAGAACCCAGGTTAGTTGAAACTCGATTATTCGGATAAAACGGTGAACGGTGAACGGTAAATTATTTTTTTAAGGGTATTTTGTTTTTGATTACAGCTTGGTTCCACACCGTATTTTTGGTACAAGTGTGGAAGATTTGGTGGTAGATTTGTGTGGTAGATTTTAATTCCCCAATTGTTCAGACTGAAATAGGCGAAATGAGACTGAATTGTGAAAGTAAAGTATTTTGAACTTACGTGTCACATTGTGAATGATTATTATTATTTTATCCTTTAATTCCTAGAGGAACATAGGGCTTCAGCCGCGCGTCTCCATTGCGTTCGGTTCTCTGCTAGAGTTTTTACCTTGCTCCAAGTCTGCCCCCATGCTTTCATCTCCTCTTCACATGACCTCCTCCAAGCCACCCTCGCACTGACGACCAACTCGCCGCTTCCCTTTCGGGTTCCACTCGAGTAATGGCTTGTCTAGTGATGTCAGTTGATGTTTGTTTTCTCAGAGTATGGCCAATCCATCTCCATTTCTTCCCGCCTACTTGTTGCACAATCGGTTCCTCGTTGGTTCTCTCTCAGAAATTTCAGTTGCTGATCTTTTGGCCGGCCATCTGATATTGAGTATTGAGCGAAGGCGGCTGTTGATGAAGGTCTGTAGTTTGTTCGAAGTGCTCTTCGTGACGTGGAGTGTCGCGGTGGCAAGTCTCTGACCCGTATAGTAAGTAGTACTGACTTTACATTGTAGTTGAAAATCCGGATCTTATTTTCATTTTGATGCTGAGTAGTGCTGTTGACCTCCACACAGACTTTGAGAGTAATGAAAGCTTGTCTTGCTTTTCCGATTCTGGCTTTGATATCCTCGTCAGTTCCGTCCGCCTGTAGTTGAAACGATACTTCCCAGGTAGGTAAAATAGGTTGTTTCTTTCAGGTTCCTCCCATTTATACTGATTGTTGTCTGTTGTTGTTGTTGCTGCTGTTGATGTTGGCCAGGAATCTTCATCACCCACCTCTGTTTTCTCTATGTTCACCTGAAGTCCTATCTTTTCTGGATGTTTCTTCTACCAACTTGTTGCTTTTCACTTGCATATCTTCCAGTTTGTGAATGGTTAGTATCACTAAATTTTTAATAAGTAGCATCTAGAGTTCTACGTTGCTATAATCGTTGTATATATATTCAAGTCTTCCAAATTCGCATACGTCCTAAGCCTGCCTTTAGATTCCGTCAAGCCTCAGTTTAAAGTTCATTTTGTCCCAAACCGAACTCAACTGAGTAGAAACGATTAAAAATCAACATTCACTTGATATCTTTTTTGTGTTCTCGTTTGTAGATTATCTGAAGTATGCATTTAAAACCTCAGGACTCTAAGACTGCAAGGCACGGCGCTACCATTTTGATTTTGAATCGAAGTTTAGTCGATTACAATTCCCAACTCTTCTAAAATCGTTTCGAGTTAATTAAGTGCATCGATGGCACAACGGTTAGGACTCTCGTCGACCATGCACATCCTCCGGGGTTGGATCCCAGCTGAGGCACACCTGATATTAATGGCCGGCCTGCAAAATTTGGGCTACTGATATCACATGCTGAAAATTTCATACTTGTACCAAAAATACTGTGTGGAATCAAGCTATAATCAAAAATAAAATAAAAATTATATCACTTTTGAGTTCCCGTTGATTGACTTTATTGGACTTAAAGTGCTCCGTCTCAGCCGACATATCAACGCCTAGTATGAACGCTTTGACGATGTTGTTGTTATTTGGTTATTCGGTGGTGGCTATCAGTGAAATTCAGAACTCCTGACAAGAAACGCCAACACCTCCCTGAAATGGTCCATATACAAAAAGCCTATATGGAATGGACAATTTATCAACTTTCAAAGTTTCATGCCCCTAAACATAGAAAGGAACCTGATATACGCTCTTTTCTCGAGGATTCGGAAGATATGCAGCGAGGAAGTGTTTGACGAAGAACTGCGTAACCTCCGAAGAACCCTGATGGAAAACGGTTTACGCCAAGTTCATAGACAAGAATCTCAAATCAAAGAAGACTTCCAAACAATTTCAATCCATCCCGAAGAAGATACTTCTACTTAATCTAGAATTCAAAGGTGACGTTGAAGCAGAAATCCTTTGTAAACTCCTCTCCGAACCTCTGAGGGAAACATACTTCGCTGCGAACCTACGGCTGAGGTTTTGCCGCAAGAAACTGTTCACCTAGAACGCGAAAGACAAGCTGTCCAATCGGGCCACTTCAGCGTGCATATACCAGTTTACTTGCTCTTGTGGAGCTGAGTACATCGGCCGTACCAGGTGCCATTAATCTTCATCCACATGAGGTTTCGCGTAGTTTACATCACCAATGATAGCAATTTTAATAATAATTTGACAATAACCATAATAATTAATGTCAAGATTCGATTCAGCATTATTATTATTATTTGACGGGAACATAGGGTTTCGTTAAGCATATCTTCATTATGTCCTGTTCTCTCCAGTCGCATTTAGCTGGCTCCACGATTGCTAGAAGGCTCTCATCTCCTCGTCACACAATCTTCTCCATGCTCATCTCAGACCAAGTCCAACTAGTCGCTTCCCATTCGGGTTTGATTTGAGGGCCTGGAGTGCGATGATGTCATTTGACGGTCTCCTCAACTTAACTCACAGGATCCTGAATTTCAGACGAGTTTCATTTATCTCCAAACCTCATCTGTCTGTCTGCCTGTTTTCAACATAGAACTTTGCACCGATGTGCACCAGCTGAAGTCGCCACACTCCCTCCATGTAGCACACAAAGCGAGAGAAGAAAGTAAAAGAAATGTATAATAATAGAGAGAGTAAACAGAGGTGTGAGACAAAGGAATAGTAATAACGAAGAAGAATATAGTTTCATTGGAAATCATAAGTCACAAGGAGGGGATGCATCTGCACTAGGCATTGAGAACAATTTTGAGCCATATCACCAATTGTCTCCAGCTTTCATTGGTTTTTACCGTCCCAAGGATGCCAACCAGTTAGGAATTCTACACCTTCCTACGTGGCTAGCTTAAACTAACTTCTGTGGATTTCATTGCTTGATGAAGTCATGTTTTGGTTTGACCACCACGTGCTAGTTCTTTTCCAGCCTGACGCTATATCAGTTAACAGTGCCCGTCGAGGAAGGCAATGACTAGGCTAGGCAAACGTAATACATCTTAGTCGATGTAATTTCACAGTCTCGTTGATTGATTTCTCCTCCTAACCTAGCACTCGACCGATGCCTAACCTCAATATTGCTCACCCTATTATACCACCACCTGACACGGGACATAGAACGCAGGCACCTATGATCAAAGACAGCTAATCTTTTCATGTCTCCTACTGTCAATGGCCACAGCCATAAAGGAGGACGAAGCGGACTGATGAGCAGTACACCCACCCTTTGGTCAATAGCCAGCTTCATATCACGTCTACTAAGCCAGAGACGGCGTAAACTGGCATATGCGGAACTAGCTCTCTGTATCCGTGTGACCCAACTCTCCGTTCTCATTACAGTCGGACTGTTTGATAATCCGGCTATCTCTACATCATTTTAAATAAAAATTGACTTGATTATTGGAATAAACTTCCGACGTACGAAGTAGTAATATCCATGCCCAGTTAGCATATTTGTCTCTTAAAGGTGTAGTTGTTGGTTGTTAGTACACCAATCCAGAAGTAGTTCGAATTCTACAGCACACCTTCTTCTTCTTCAGTTCTGATGTTTTAACCCAATTACCCGACAGGACTCGAACCCGTATATCCCATTGACTGGAGAGAGAGAGAGAGGAAGCGGTTTGAGCCAGTGAGGCATATTCCTACTTCCATTTCTGATAATCATCTACTGTATGTCTAGATTGTTTATTATTAGTAGTACTGTAACAAGAGAAAACAAGGGCCGGCAACAGCTCCTTTTATTACGGTAATCAACACGTATTTATATATATTTCCTGTACATTATTATAGCTTATGCAAGTAGACAAACGCAGTCTTCTGATTGGTTGTTTCTCGGAAGTTAAGCAAACAAATGCAGGCTTCTGATTGGTTGTTTCGGGTAACATCGAAAAGTGGAGCCATCTATCTGCGAATCATATTTGCCCACGTTAAGTTTGCTGTGATTGGTTGTTGAATCAGCCTTGTTCATATTTTCTCACGGCCAATATTAGTAACCTAGACATTGACGTAGATTAATGTCTACCGATTGGCTAGCAGCCTGCTCTCATCAATTGTTTGCTGTTTATTTTTTTTAAAATTTTGTTTTTGTATATTTAGTTCGGATTGGGAATCGGTTGCTCTGCTTGATTTTCATATATGTCAACTGGTGAAATTTAAGTCCACTCTACAAGAGCTTGTAGAATTATATTCAGTGAATTTACAAAAATGTGGAAGGCGGAATGAGTTAAAAAGTTATGACCCGTTAGCTAAAACTTTATTACTATTTTCAATATTAACAGAAAAACAGGTATCTACTCTTCATATATGTGTGTGTTTTAGTTCATTTTTTTACTTTTGATGTAGTGTATGTGCTCGGTTATTATAGTTTTGCATTATTATTATTATTATATCCTTTATTTCCTAGAGGAACATAGGGCTTCAGCCGCGCGTCTCCATCGCTTTTGGTTCTCTGCTAGAGTTTTTACTGGGCTCCACATCTGCCCACATGATTTCATCTCCTCTTCACATGACCTCCTCCAAGTCACCCTTGCATTGACGATAGCAGGTCAGATAATAAATAGAGACAATCTTCTGCAGCTTTTCGCAGATCATGACTTATTCCTAGCCAGCGTCAACTTCCTTCACAGCTAACGCCGTAGTGCTACCTGGTGTCCTGTCCCTTAAGCAAGGACTCATCGTTTACATTGCTATCAGTTTCCTATGGTGTGGGTGTGAACTTCCCTTGCTTCTAGAGCACATGTCTAGATTCTGATCGCACTTTAGTTTGTGCTAGGTTCATCTCGCGACTCAGTGGTAGTTATCATAAACGTTATCCTCAAGAGGTTGATGTGTGTAAACCTGTAACACCTGCTACTTCTGCGAAGTACTAAGCCAAGCTAAGGTCCGGGTTAGCTCTAGTAACCACCCAAATAGTATAGATGAACATGGACTGCACCTGCAAAACGTTATGAAAATAGCGAGTAAAGCTGCTTGTAGCTTTAAAGAATATTCCACTAAAAACCACTAAGTTTCTGTGAGTTCCTTGCAGCTTCTGGCCACCTGTCAGTTTGCGCCTAATACCAAACAGTGTTTACAACAGGACCGCGTAGCCAAGTGGTCAGTATGTGCGCTTAATATGTAGTCAACAGTTGCATGTGGCAGTAGCTGGAAGCTGTTCTAGCTCATCTAAGTCATTGGCAGCAGTGAGCAGGGTGTCAGCAAGATGGTCGGTGAGTCAGATAGTACTCCGATTACTAACTTGAAAAGACGTCTTGAACACTGGGCGAGACACTTCGAGAAGCAGTTTAGCTGATCAACCGCTTCAGAGTCCAACACCAACTCCAGTACTTAATAGTCGGTTAGTACCTATGCATCAAACGAAGCATAATATTGAGTCTCCAGATGCTTCAGAATTGCACTAGTAATTTTCTTGTATTATCCTCTTGATAACCATGCAACATAAGGTGGTGACGCTAAACTTTAAGCACCACCAACTACCAATCAGCGAACGACCGTCGACGGACCAATCACGTGAAAGAGAGATTTTTGATTAAGGAAAACGTATATTTATAGAAAAAAAGCATAAAAACCGCATGCAACTGTTACATAGGGTATCTCCCACTTTAGCCTAGGAGTGTCAATAGAAAAGTCACACCACATTGTGTACATATATTCATCCAAATGACTATAAATGAGATCCTTTTGTGACCCATTTATAGCCCTAATCCTATTGATCAATCTTCCCCGAAATCCTTCAATAGAATTCGTGTGTGTCCCCATAATGGGATCCACAAAATCACTGGAATGGTTCACTCTGTAATTCCATTTGTCGGTATGTACTATGGATTCCTATTTCACAAGTCTAGTAATAATAGGTATTAAAGTAGTTAACTTTCTGTATGGTATTCTCTCCACAAATCCTTTCTGCAGGGAGGTGTCATATAAACCAATCATCCAAACATTGTTGGCTCGCTCACGACCACCACGGTTGTATTTTTTCCTCAATAAGACAGTTTCATCCACGTGTATGGCGATACCTTCTCCGCCTAACAATGAAGTAATTCTCTCCATTTCCCATGAAGCGATGTCTCTCCTGGCAATGGTACCACTGAACTGTTGATACGAAGCTACTTTCAGTTGCATGTGGCTGCTCCTCTCACAGGCTGTTTTAAAACTCAGTAATTACAAATATATACAAAATCTAGGTTAGTGGGGGGGGGGTAAGAGATGCGACCTAGCGAAAAGTGTTCCTACGAAATATTAAAATCATAAGCTTGCCTCGTCTCAAGCGAATTGCACAGCGATGGAGACATATCCATCAATTGACCTGCTGTGAATCTTTTTAAACTCATGACACCACCACATGAACAAATCCTCTCCTTCTTCCTAAGCAACGTCATATCTAGGCGATACTGCAAACCCTTATCCTCATCGAACTGCAAGCGTAACTCTCTTCTTTAAAGCAGGCATTTAACACCAATCAAGCGGAATACAAACATCAACTCACTTGGATGTGAACCTCATTGGATCATTTTGAGGTCATTCGTTGATTGGTAGTAGTTTGTGGTGCTTAAAGTTTAACTTGTCCAAAAAATTTGTTGAATAAGTTTATCGTTATTTTATTTATTTATCTTTTTTAACATTCTATTTAGATGGATTATCTAATGCATAGACTTACTCAATACATTACTCATGCACAAAATGCTACTGGAGCTATACATGAATTTTTCAATATGCTATTGTTAATGTTTTCATTGCCTGGCTCATATCCATATGATGAAGATGTCAGTGATATAGCCTTACGCATATGGTTAAATGCACAAGAAGTATCTATCTCATCGTCCCCGATGATAACATCGACGACGGGAACAAATAATGCCTGCTGTTCATCATCTACTACTACATGGACTACTATTATCTCGCCGGTTAATCCTAATGCTAGTCATATCAGGGAAGATATAATCAAATTGATTCATAAAGAGTTTAATCAACTTGCATTTAACAAAGTAAGTGTTTTATATGATCAGAGAGAGAGAGTGTGTGTGTGTGTGTGTTTATCCATGGTGTGTGTGTGTGTATGTATGTAGACTTCATCATGAAGCGCAATATCACATGAATAGCCAGCGAAAAGTATTGAAAACTAAGGAATAAATGTTGGTTTGTAATGTGTAGATCTGCTACCTGGAGATGGACTTTTCGACCTCAAGTATGCAGACGATATCGTCTTACTGTGCGATAGCATGCAGGCTGCCCAAATCGCACTTAATCAGTTGCCTATCAGTGTCTGTAAGTATGGTATGTGCTTTGCGCCGTCTAAGTGCAAAGTACTGTCTTGTAACATACAAGACTGGTAGGAGCCTGTACCTGCACTCACTCTTGCGAGTGAACCGCTTGAAGTGTTTGATAAGTTTGTGTATCTGGGTAGTTATGTGAGTGCTGGATGAGGGGTGACGGATGAGATTTACAACCGTATAATGAGGGCTAGGTGTGGCATACATCAACTTGAGCCACCTCTGGCGCCTCCAAAGCCTCAGGATGGTCGGGGGTGGGTGTCTTGCGCTGCGGGCTAGCCACCCCTCCGTACACCTCTTGAAATGCTCCCATATGACCGTGCGTCTTACATAGCCTCTCCTGAGGAAGTCCTACTCACTGCCTTCACGTGGCGGAGGTGTTTCTCGCCGAAGTGAGAGGGCAAAAGCGGATGCCCGGCGCTCTTCACCGGGTTGACTGTCCATTGGATGACAGTCTAGGGGAGATGGCTAAACCCTGATTCCAAACCTCCAACGACTGGCGTATGAAGCTCACCGTAGTTCACCGGCAGACGTATGGACAAAGAGCTTATTGGATGCCCTGGATGTCTGGCCCCATTCAAAAAGGCGTATGAACCGGACTCCGGTCACCGGCTGCCAATGGATAGTGGACTCCCTACTCCACTCCTACTGCCTTGTAGGTCACACTTGGCTGTGTAAAGGCTAGAGCTGCACTCTCAAACAAAAGACCGAGCGATACTGGGGACATCACTCGTACCCAATTCCCATGAAACTTCATGGTTCATGAAGCCGGCTCATCCTCCCGTAGGAGATAGCCGAAGTAAAGTAAAAAGTAAGTAAGTCGCGACGTAAGCCTGGCTGTCAAAGGTCGTGTATACAATGCTTCTGTGCGGGCTGTTTCTCTATGCCTGTGGAACCTGGCCTCTCCGAGCTGAGGATGTGCGGCGGCTCTGCGTGTTCGATCATTACTATCTCCGCAGGACTGCTTGCAGAATATTATTACAAATTATTTTTAGCAGACAAACACAGTCTTTTAATTGGTGGTTCCTCGCTGAACGTTAATCTTTCATCTCTTTGTGGCTGTTTCTTGAAGTTCAGATTATCTATCTGCAAATTGTATCCGCCTACGCAAAGTTTGCTGTGATTAGTTGTTGAATCAGTCTTTGTTCTTGTTCTTTTCTTATGACCCATATTGGGGACGTAAACATTGACGCAAATTATTGTCTACCGATTTGGCTAGCAACCAGCTCTCACCACACTAGGAATTCACTCTTGTTTTTTCCAGTCGAATTAATGTCTCCAGTTAAAATTTTATTTGCAGTCCCCTTCTTTCTTTTTCGATATTATTTTAGTCTCACTATCCAAAAGACATTAATCGCTACCTGAATGTATGGAAGTCGGAGGACAGGTGTCGGTGGTTGAAATTTCGACAAGACCTAGGCGAATGTTTTCTTGCTGCATTTAGATACTTGAATATAACTGATTGGTATATGCATGCTAGCTATCAATTCTCTTGGATTGTAAATAATTGTACGAATGCAGAATTATTAGTTAATTGGCAGGTAAGTGTCGATAATGCCTGTTATTTTTTTCTCTTCCTGAACTGTTTTAGTATTCACTTGCCCTGTGTGTCTTTTCAATGTTCGAATGGGTGTGTGTGGGGCTGGGTTGGTGAGGAGGCGGGGGTTATCCATATACTGTCGTGTATTTTCAAGCACTATCTTGTAGTTCTCAAATCAAACTAGAGAATCCACCATCCGGTTACTCCAGGCTTTTTTAAAGTCAGAAACCGTCACGCTACTGGCATATTTCTGAACTGAAAGACTTCTAAACCAATACTCTCTAGTTTAAATTCAATTTTAGATTATTCCGTCGATTGATTGGACCGAAGTGCTCAGTCTCAGGTTGACATGTCTGTTGGCTTCTTGTGCATGTGCTTTGACGATGTCTGGGCATGTGATTAGAATTTTTCATTGGTGGATGGTGACTAGCAGTGGAATCCAGCATAGAGCATATTTCGTCCTATCTTGGACTCGTCAGCTAACTGGACGTAGCTGTATTCCCCAGTGAGTCAGTGATTGATGGTGTTCCCTGGTGCATCCTGGATTCCACTGCTAGTCACCATCCACCAATTCACTTCTAATATACTCTCTCTAGTTGTTTAGTCAAATATGCAAATCTTTAAATATTCCCATATATAATATTAGAACAAGACATATAAGCGAACAATATTGTTTTCAATTATATCTACTTCAGGCTTTACTCTAATTTACATAGACTTATATATAAAAAATTGTAACCAATGACGGTGATTTTGTGGATCAAATAATAATAATAATATTTAAAATCTGTCATGGACAGCCGTTTCATCCTAGTTTGCAGATCTCTGATCTTATCACACTAGCGATCGAACCCAAGACATTATGGTTTATATATAGCGCCATTCCCAGTCAATATTATAAGCGATTACTTGTCCTCACATAATGACTTGGTCGACCATGTCGGTCATAACTTTTCACTGGGAAACATCGGTCACGTCGTCCTGTGGTGGTGGTGGTTGGTCAGTCATCGGTGTCGGTGTACAAGGATTTAAGTGTTGGTATGTAAGAATTTGAATGGTTACTGGATTTCATCATGCGATGACATCAGTTAGAGAAACATTGGAAAACCACCTGGGAGTACTGGACAGCTGTTTCGTCAACCTTGTTTGGGACTCTTCATCAGTACACACCCACCGAGATTCGAACCCAGGACCAACACTTGAATTTCAATGAGATGGTCATTAGCGACTTGCCCTATTTAGGTAGGCAGTTACCTTGGGTTCTAGTGAGAAGTCGTGACCTGCAGGGTGCAGCAGCAGGTCGGGTGTGAGGACAAATACTTGCCGAAGACATTGGCTAGCGGTTGCGCTATGTCGTGAATTGGCAGAAGTTAGAATTCATGAACTGGCCATTGGATCGGGATCTCTTTCCCCTTACTGATTGTTTAATTTTTCTAAGTAACAAGAATTAATAAATCCATTCTGTTTCTACTCTCCAGGAGATTGAAGCTCTACTCTTTGTGATGTTATCTATCAGTGAACATGTCCTGTATGAAAATGCCTCGGGTGTAATGGTGTTAAAAGAATTCGCCAAGTCTGTATCGATTTCTTTAATGAAATTTATGAATAAAATTAAACAGTTAATTGCTTATTATTATGCAATAAATGATACAATCGGGGAGAATACAACATTTCAATGGGGAAATCAAAAATTTCTTTCTCCTGAAATCTATGTTATTCATTCACAATGTTTAATTTTATTTAAAACATTATTATTATGCATTGAAAAGTATTATACAGTGATATGCAGTGAGTTGAGATCTTCCGGGCAAAATGAATTGGAATGCCTCCATATTATAGTGAATATATTGTTATCTACTATTGGAGTAGAGGCGTATAAAGATGAAGTGGTCAGTCTACGGCATAGTGCACTTCAAATTCTACAAACTAGCCTAGAGGTGAGTTAGATATAATTATGATATTTTTTCTTTTAAAAAAGAATTCTTTTTTTACGAGTTAATCATGGAGTTAGAGAATCATTGAAAACCGTTGTCCTAGTTTTTGGGAATCATCGACAGTACCCACATGATGTGTGTTTTGTTTTTGACAGTCTATTATATTTTACTATGTGTATATGCATCGATATTCCATTATAACTGATATTATGCTTTTGTCTGTCCACTAACTAAACAAACAATGTATGACCTTGTTATCAAAAGACATTACAGCCAATCATGGTAAGACGTTATCTTGTTGGTTCATGTGTATTAGCCATTTTCATATATGCTCTTGCTTTATTATTCTTGTTCCCACGTTTCGTACGTATGTACCATTTCACTCACACTCTTGTGTGACATTTATTTTCCTTGTCTGGAAGATACAAGTATCATCGTAAACCTGGTGGTCTTCTGATTTCCCTCTTTCCACGTCATGACTATTAACTACTCGACTAGTACATAACACGCACCCACAGCCAGGGTTTGAACCCAGGACCTTCCAGTTACAAGCAAGCAAGCCCGTATGTCATTTAGCCACTCGGACCCGACTCCTCAATGGCCAACCCATGAATTCTAACTTCTACTAGTTCGTGATTTAGCGCGGCTGGCGTCAACTAATGTCGTCGGTGGGACATCCATCCTAACACTTGACATCTGGGTGGACCTCACTGGTCATGACTTTTCACTAGAACTCCAGGAAACTCCGTCTCCAGTGGCAAGTCACTAGCGAGTATCAGAATAATTTTCTATGATTGGTTTGTAAGGATCAAAAGTTAGAATTCATGGAATGGCCATTGAAAGATCGGGTCCCAGTGGCTGGAAGATATACGAGTTTGCCTTGTAACCGGAAGGTCCTGGGTTCGAACCCTGGAGGTGGGTGCGTACTGCCGATGATTCCCACACAAGGACAACGGAAACATCTGTCTGGCAGTACTCCGTGTGGCTGGTTTTCAATGGTTCTCTAACTGATATCGTCTCACGACCAACTCGTAAAAACAAATCTAATCCTTACAAACTGACTGTTGAAAGAGATTAAAATTAGAAAGAATATAAAGAATTCTTTGTTTATTTTTTGTTCAACTGAAGTACATAGTATTGATGTTTGCGTTGGTGGAAGGCTCAGATTCGACTCACGGTTGACGTGCGTACTCTTAAACCTCATCTAGAGTTTAACTTACCGTCAGTAAGCCTGGATAAGATAGAACATTGATTTTGAGAGTAGCAGCTTCACTATATGGAGGGGGGAGCAACACTGCCACTGAAACCACAGAAACTTCAAGCATTGTCTTCCATTCGAAATGTAGGGAATGCGGAGGATAGTGTCAAGTGTTGTATGTTTACGGATAATCGTCAGGTTGTTCCTGGGCATCGTGCGATTGAAGCTCACCACCAAGTCGTGTATCTGCTAGGGACTGATATCCACTGTGAGATTTGAATCCGCTTCTCTTCATACTGCAGTCAAAGATGTTAATCAGTGCTTGATTTGGGATGGGGTATTAGGGATTTTCCCTGCTCTAAAACTGTCGCGGTGTGACCAGTGTCATTTGTCTGTCTAGACCCTTGACTTTGGTGCTGATTTGGATTCTATCAGCCAATTGACGTGTATGTGTGGCGGTGACTTATTCGCATTCATACCTTCAAATGAATCACTGGAGGTGGTCCTTCCATCATTACCTATTATTATTATTATCATTATTATTAAATTGCAAACTTGGCACCTGATGGGCACTAGGTGATGTACCACAGATAATCTCATAGTTTGTGTGCGCGCTGGGGTTATGTCCGGCCATCAATAAACAAGCAGAAGCCCCCCCGTCCCAAGCCTTTGGTTTGAATTCTCACCCACAAGGTGATGAAGCTGCGTCCCTTTAGCAGTTTTTGGTAACCAAAACAAGTTCATAAGCCCGCCATTCGTTCCATCCGAGTTATGGATTTCCAGTTATCTTTAGATAGACCAGCATGTTCATCATTCCGGTTGTAAGCACCAGGCGTTGGGATTTTACCCTTGCACTTTCGGAAGAACTTTCCTGACTCCTGAAGGCGGTGAATAGGACTTACTTGGCAGAGGCTATGAACATGTGACCACATGAGAGCATTTCGGGAGAAAGACCGAGGTCTATCCATCCTGAGTTATATGATGTTGTTTATTTGGGTGTCCTTACTGAACACAGCACGTAAACTCAATATAACCAACTATATTACGTTGCGTCACAGAAGAAATTGAGCTGTCTTCAGGAACGACTAGTCCTTTATGTTCCATTTTTTCAGCGATCATGTCTCATAGCCAACCGTAGATGATGTTAGTGGAACTACTACTGTGTAGTAAACACATCATTGGATTAACAATGTGTGAGGCATCACAACTTACGCCAAAGATGATGATAATGATGATGTAAGTCGGTAAATGCCAGATGAGACTTTTATAATTCATACCGAAGTTGTTGTCTGTTTGTCAAGGCGCTGAATTTCTGCATGTATTTTTCAATACCAGTTTTGTTTTTCGTTTTTGATTACAAAATTTTTCCAAAATTTCTTTTTTTCCATATTAGTTTGTTTATTAAATGTATCACAGTGGAGTGACAGTATTATTTACTGGATGACGTTTCGAACCAAATTTATTGTTCATAATCATTTCATCATCAATTATAACCACACGACTTCAAAACTTGAGTTTTATAGTTTTCTTTGTCTTCTCCTATTTGTCACCGTTGGAGTAGTAATCTTTTCCAGATATCTGGGTGGACAGGTGCTGAATCATTCCTATTACACGTATTCCCTTCAGTTGATTCGATAAACAAAGCTTCTGTTATCAATCTCTCCCTCCACCCTGTCAGTTGCATTAGATTTTAAAACTGTCATCCTATCCCATCCTATTGTATGGTTGCGTGTAATTGCATGTGGTGTAGTGCAATATATGAACTATTCTCTAGATTTATTATCTTATTCGGGTCAACTAATCTAGATTTTGCTGATAGGTTTTTATGTTCGGCTAGTCTGACTGATTGTCCCTGTTCTACTAGTTTGACCTATGTACTTGACCTAACAATCATTGTAGGTAGTGTATTAGATAAACTAAATTGTTTTGTTTTAAAGGCTCCACAGGATTCATCCCTTAACCGACAAAGCTTGTTTCTAATTGAGTTTGTGGTTGGTTTGAATGCCAGCCACTTCTATTCCTGACTTGTTAAGAATCCTGCGTAAGGTTCCCGAGGTTCCTTCCTTGTATGGAATTATTGTTGATGATTTAGATTCCTTATTGTTGGTGTCGTCATTAATATTATTATTATTATTATTATTATTATCACTTTTAGTATTATTAACATTATTAGTGTTGTTATTATTATTATCACTATCACTACTATCATTATTTATTTTATTTTCATTTCCTTACATATTTCCTGACTAATTTATCCGGATAATTATTAATTTTGAAGGCTTATTTTATGTGTATCATTTCTTGTCTTAGATTTACCTTGGTACTACCTAGTTTTTGTGCTCAGCCACTTAAACATTTCACCAATCCTATTTTTACTGACATAGGATGGGATGGTCGGAAGTCCAAATATCTGTTTGAATGTGTGGGTTTCCTTAAAACACACACTAGTGTGTTTAACTTCCCATCTTCTTTCCTTTTTACGTTGCAATCTAACATTGGAAGCTCCCCTTCCTGACTTTCCAATTCATAAGTGAATTGAATTGCCTCTACCTTCGAGTTGATTTGTTCAAAAAATCTATCTATATCCTGCGTTCTAAATACAGTGAATGTGTCATCTACATACCTCCACCATACTTTTGGGGTGGGGGTGAACGTTTCAATCGCTATGTTTTCCCACCTATCCATGAATATATCCGCTACAACCAGGGATATTGGTGATCCCATGGGGACTCTCTCAGTTTGTTTGGATATTTTCACCTAGAATTTGAGTACTGTGGAAGTCAAGCATAGCTGCACTCCCAGCAGTGGCACTTTAATACTGTTTCACTGTGTGATATATCTAATAAACAAACTAATATGGAATTACTTACTACCACAGTGCCCAAGTTTTACTCATATATTAATGTTTCTTTTTTCCCTTTCTCTCCATTGCTATTCATATCTATTCAGCATAAACCTTTCTCTTTACAATCATCCATAAGTTTAATTGCATCAACATTAGAACACTTCTATAGTCGATCACGTCCACTGGATCCAACAAGTTGTGATTTATTGTTTTATTGTTCTGGAATGTTATTACGATTATCTGAAAATGAATCGTCTACACTATTGTCATTACGAAATATTATATCAGAGAATTTACAAACTTTTGTAGAATTATGCACTGCAGGACAGAGTAAGTGTGCATTTCTAATATAGAGTATTACTTTGTTGTTGTTGTTGTCGTTTTTCGCTAATAATGCGTAGTAGTGTTATGCAGGATTCATTCAGGTTTCGTCCTATTTGGTACTCGTCAACTGAATGCGTCTACCTGCAACTTCAGCCGGCGATGGTGTTTACAGGAAGGCTTTTGTGTGCTTTTGGAAGTATGTGTGTGTGTGTGTGTGGGCGGTTGTTACTTCCCGGCCGCGCCCACACCACCGTGGAAGTTGATTGATTCTTCGAGTAACTGAAACAGAGAGAGGGTTAGTGTTGCGTGACCGCAGACCCCAAGCGCCGGTCACACGGTTTGTATGAACTAGTTTCTTGGTTTGGCTCCATATTCGTAAACTTACTGTAGGTTACGGACCACCGTATATGGGGTAAGTCGGGATGTACAATTGTTGGGGTCGACCTTTTTATTAACCCCCTCTCTCCGGAGTGGAGAGACAGCATAGCTGGCCGGTCATCTAAGGGAAACACCTTACTGCTGTTACATCTCTGTTCCTCAGCAGTACGACTTCGCCCTCAGATTCCCAGCATAGTGTGAAAAAAAGTTCTTAAACTATGCCGGTAACTGCTTTTAGTCTAATCTCGCTATCCTAATAACCTTCCTGGCATGGTAGGTCCTGCTGCAGGAACATTGGTTCTAGCCAGTGTAGCTTGTCGGGTCATCGCGATGTGCAAGCCTGACCACCACGTTAAGGTAGCAGCTATCGGTCGGTTGTTCACAATGAGACTCGTCACCCATTGGCCTAATGGGATAACGCTTTGGTGCGTTTGAAATGGTAGATGGTGGGTTCGTGTCTCAGAGTGTAGGGATACTATCATACACTGAGGGGATACGCGTACATCCAATGATGAGTCCTCAATCTAGAACGAAACACACATCCTAGCCTCTACTGTTAAGTGTCAGTTTTGGTTGTAGACGCTATAATACAACCCATAATTAATGATTATCTAGTATAAAACTCGTATTGCTAGAATACAGGGTTATTCGGTAACAGAATTGTTTATTGGGGAGAATAACATACATTGATAGCAAGATGCACGAATTTTTTTCCTTCACTTTCCCAGTGGAACATAGGGCCTCAAGCAAGTTGCTTGAAGTTTCTGTAGCAGTGTTTATTTTACAGGATGGTGTTGCTAGCCTCATGCCCAACCTTTTCTCTTTACCAGCATTATTTCTGGCTTAGCAAGGTAAAGGGGTGCGTCGGTGGCCGGGGATCGAACCCCGGACCATGTGCATGGTCGGCGAGCATCCCAACCACTGTGGCACCGACTCACCGGTGCGCGAATACACACCTTATATCAAAACTGATTGACGCAAAGCATTTATGTTTTGCTTCTGTCTTCTTCATTTCGTGGCTTCTGTAAATTGGTTCTCAATCTTCCCTTATTTCTCTTATTGGCAACATATTTCATGTCTCTGTGTTCACCATTCAAAATTCTTGAAGAATACGTTGCATTTTATTATTTTTTCCTTTAGGTTCCCAGTAGAACACAGGGCTTCAGGAGCACACCAATATCTCACTCTTTTCCCTGAAGAAGTCTTTTTCAAATGGCTCCTTGGCTTCTCATAACCCTCTTATTCCCTTCCTCACACGATCTCTTCCATCTGACTATCGGACGCCCAACTCGTCGTTTCCCATGCTCGGGTGTTCCACTCGACCTGTGTAACCTGGTGCATAATGTCACACTCTACGATGTTTTTCAGCCTATGTCCTATTCAATCTTCATTTTCTTCTGCATATCGATTGTTGGCTGGTTCACTGCCTATTCATTTTTCTTGTTGGTTATCTTTGCTGACCGGCTGCTATTTTTCATCTCCAGTATCCTTAATTTGAAGGGGGAATGTACTGATGAAAGTTTTCAGCAGGCAACTTGAAATGGTTCTGTTGAAGTGGACGCCAGGTACCTATGAACCATATAGAAACAGTGACTTGTCTGATCTAACATTAGTGTTGAGTATCTGGATATCGTAGTATACTAATACTACTACTAGTTTTTTGTCAGTAATACATGCCACAAGTCCTTGTTAGATCATTTCCAGTGTTCTATGTTACTGTGTTAATTTTGATAGCGTTATTAGAAGACGGAGATTATCTCAAAAGTGCGCTGATGTATTTGCGCTATACATTTCGAACAATCTGATCACACATTTACTTATCAAGTCAATATATATGGAAAAGTTAAGTTAAACAAAGTGACAAAAAAGAATTTAGAATAATTAACACAAAAGTTTGGTAATCAAATCAATCTAAAAATGCTAGCTGGTTGCGACTTTCTTCCTCGCATGTAAGACATATGATTGTGTACAGAGTTAAGTCTGTCTAATAGACGACTCGTAACTTCATGATCGTCGCATATCAAAATGATATGATCTACATATCTCCTGTAGAAGGGCAATTTAGAAATTAAATCAAGAGACAAGTTCTCAGCATAAGACATGTAAACGTTAGCTAACAAAGGTCTTATGGACTCCCCATAGCAACGCCATCCACTTGTCGAAAATGTTCACCTTCAATCGTGAGATGGACTTTGTCAGTACGTAATAGTAATAAGTCTTTCAAATAAGTTAATGAAAGATAGTCAGTCTTCTTTCGACCAAAAGTACTATACAGTGTATGTATCATGAGATTACTTCATTATTATTCTTTTGGTAGTGATTGAAATCACTTAACTTTACTCTCTACGCCTTAGTAATAACGTGCAACTATGAGTACATATCATATCGATTACCTAACTGATCTCTAAATTGAATGATTGTTAGTCAATCACACACAGAAACACACACGCACATGTATATATACACAAATATACACGCAGTCAGTTCATAATATCTTATTATTATTATTGCTCCCTTGGGTTCCTAGTGGAACATAGGGCTTCAACTGCACGTCTCCATTTTCTTCTGTCTTCTGCTGTACTTTTCGCCTGCATCCATGTTAGTCCATATTCTTTCAACTCCTCTTCACACGATCTCCTCCATGTCACCCTTGCATGACGTCCCACACGCCGCTTCCCTTTCGGGTTCCACTCGAGGGCTTGACGCGCGATGTCACCCAGCGGTCTCCTCAGCGAGTGTCCGATCCATCTCCACTTTCTCCTGCATATTTGTTGGGCGATTGGTTCTTGCTTTGTTTGTTCCCATAATTCCTTGTTGGTGATTCTTTCCGGCCATCTGATCTTCAGTATAGAGCGAAGACAGTTGTTAATAAAGGTCTGCAACAGCTGTTGGAAATATTCTTTGTGACCCTCCAAGTTTCTGATCCGTATAGAAGAACTGACTTTACGTTTGTATTGAAAATCCGAATTTTGTTGGTGGTGCTGAGTGACGAAGATTTCCAGATTGATTTCAGGTTGATGAATGTGTTTCTCGCCTTCCCGATTCTCCTCGATTTGACATCCTCGTCCGCTCCTCCTGTAGTTGAGACAATGCTCCCTAGAATGAGTGAATGAAGTAACCTCTTTCAAATCCCTCCCGTTGATGGTGATTGACGTTGGATGCTGTTGCTGTTGTTGGTTGGTTATTTTCATAACCTCCGTCTTGTCTATGTTTACCTGGAGTCCTGTCTTCGTTGGCTGCTTCTTCGACCAGTTTGTCGGTTTTCGCTTGTAAGTCTTCGATTGTGTGTGACATCAAACATAAATCATCCACGGGCGAAATCCAGGTCTTCTAGGTTCTTCACGTCGGTCCAGGATATTCCTGTCTTCTCGTTTCCCACTGTCTGACGCATAATCCAGTCAGTCCACCACAATTAGGAATATCATTGGTGATAATAAGCACCCTTGTCTGACTCCTGTGTTTACTCCAAACGCCTCGCTGAGTTTTCCGTTGTGGATCACTTGACATGTGCCGTTGTCGTACAGCTGTTGAATAAGGTTGATGAATATTTGGGGTACGCCATAGTACTCGAGTAATTTCCAAATTACTTCACGATCAACGCTGTCGAAGGCCTTCTCAAAGTCTATAAAGTTGAGGTAGAGGTTTGATTGCCATTCCATGCTTTGTTCTGTGATGATGATGCGTAGAGTTGCAATTTGGTCAGTACATGATTTGCCTTTCCTGAATCCAGCTTGTTCTGGTCGGAGTTCTGTCTCCAGTGCGTCCTTTAATCTCTCCAGGATGATGCGACTCAGGATTTTACTTGGCGTCGATAGGAGCATGATTCCTCGCCAGTTCTTGCAGAGTGAGGCCTAAGTCGCCCTTCTTTGGTAGTTTCACGAGGTAACCTTTCCTCCAGTCAGTAGGCACCTTTCCCTCCTTCCAGACCTTTTGCAATAATGGAGTCAGCATGTCTGCTGTAGTCTCTGGGTCTGCTTTCAGTGCTTCAGGGGGTATTCCATCTGGTCCGGCTGCTTTTCCAGCTTTCAGAAGCTTGATTGCGTTCAAGACTTCAGCTCTCGTTGGAGGATTGGTGTCAACTTGCAGTTGTGTGCGCGCTGTTGTTGGTATTTCTGGACGGGTTGCAGGTGATGGTCGGTTCAAGAGTCCTTTGAAGTGATCCGCCCATTGTTTAATCTGTTTTTCTTCCTTGGTAATTGGGTTCCCTTGGCTGTCTTTTATAGGTTTCGCTTGTGTTGATCTCTTCCCGGATAGAGATTTGGTTATCTGATATAGTGTCCTCAGGTCCCTTTTGCCTGCTGCCTTCTCAGCTTCAGTGGCGAGGTTGTCGTAGAATCGTCTTTTGTCCTTCCTAGCACTCTTCTTCACTTCTTTGTCCAGTGCTTTGTAAGTTGAGCTCATCGTCTCCTTCTCCTGTCCGTCCTTGCATTGAATCATTTTCTCTTTCACCATTCTCCTCTCTTCTATTAATTTCCAAGTGTCCGTTGAGAGCCATTCCTTGTCTTGTCTCTTCTTTCTTCCTAGAACCGTTGAACACGTTTCGTTGAGAATCGCCTTCAGAGACTTCCAATGTTCTTCCACGCATGATTCTTCAGTGATGTCGCGTAGTGTTTCCTGCTTTGCTCTGACAGTTGCAGTGAAAGTGTCTTTTGTGGTTGTGTCCTTCAGTTTCTGAGTGTTGAACTTGCATTGTGGCCTATCCCCAGCTATCCTCGAGGCTTTTAGTTTCACCTTGAAAGTCCCTTGTACTAGATAGTGGTCTGAACCCACATCTGCTCCTCTCCTTGACCTTGTGTCCAGTAGGCTCCGTCTCCACTTTCTTGAAATTGAGATGAAGTCTATTTGGTTCTTGGTGTTTCCATCTGGTGAAATCCATGTCGTCTTGTGTATATCCTTGTGTTTGAACACACTACCGCCAATCACCAAATCATTGAAGGCGCAGAAGTCTGAGAAGAGTTCACCATTGTCGTTCATTTCACCGAGGGCCTCACGACCCATGGTGAGTTCTCTTCCTGTGTTGTCTCCTCCCAGCTTCGCATTCATGTCGCCCATCAGGATTTTGATATCGCCATTTGGGACGTTGTCCATTATTGCTTGTAGTTGTCTGTAGAACGCCTCCTTCTTCTCTTGTTCTGAGACGTTTGTAGGCGCATAACATTGAATGACTGTAACTTTCCTTCCTTTTGAGTTGAACCTGGCTGTCATTATCCTGGAGGAGATTGGTTCCCACTGCATGAGAGCTTTGGTTGCTGTTGGTGACATCATGATGGCCACTCCCTCGGTGTGCTCATGGTTGTCCTCTGGGTGGCCGGAAAAGATTACTGTCTCTCCAGTAGGTAGTTGGCACCTTCCAGTTCCGTTCCATCTGCTTTCGCAGATTCCCAACACTTCTATTCTGTACCTTCTCATTTCAGCGGCTATCTGGGCAGCCTTTCCAGTTTCGTACATTGTACGAACATTCCAGGTACCCATCCTTACTTTTGCTTTCATCGAAAGAAGGCACATCGGCTGACTGGCTTCCCGAAGGCTTTCACCAGCCTGCGTCATTTCACTTCCCCGATTCCAGCGAAAAGTAAGGCTATTGCTTATGTTTTTAGAATTTTTAATATATTTATTCGTTGAAGTTTCTGTAGCGATTTGGTTGTTTTACAGGGGTGGAGTTGCTAGCACCACGCCCCAACCCTCCCTCTTTACCCGGGCTTGGGACCGGCGAGAAAACTAGTAAGCTAGTAGCCTAGCAAGCTAGTATCTGGCGAGGTTTCATAATATCTAAGCATGCATTTTTTAAAAATGTATTTCTTATCTCTCCATGTTTAGATTTTACTAAATTACCTCAAGTTTGTGTATCAACAAGCCCGAAATCAACTCATATAGAAAATTCCACTTTCGATAAATTTGATCGTATTGCAACTGTGGTAAGTTATTGAGCTTTTTGTGTTATAGGTGTTGTTGTTGATTCATTGTGCTCCGTCAAAGTGGCACTGATATTGGTCAATGAGCTCACTATGTGTAGCCTGAAGGAGGAGGTAGCTCAGGTGGTGCTTTTAGTGGCTTCCTACCGGTTGTCTCCAAACCATTTAATATGTATGTATCATAAGTGTACTTACTCTAAAGAAGTCAATCTCTCAATAGACCCTTTGTTGATTGACATGATCTTCGACATAAGGCATTATGCAATGTAAAGTTACTCACTCACTTTATTCAAAGATTTTTACTTTCTCCCTTTCATTTCAATGACATGCTTATTTCTTTTGAAATTTACATTCCAGATGCAAATCTTCACTCAAATGTTTCGTGGTTATACTGCTGTTGAAAATGAGACAACAACACATAGACCAGTTGGTGAAGAGATGTTGTCGATTTTAAACAAAATGTATTTTTATTTAAAACGCTCTTTGGAAGTGGCGTGTCCTCATATTCCTAAGCATTTCAGACAGGTAAGATAGTCGTTGTTTTGTTCTGTTTTGTTTTGCTTTTACTGGAAAGAGTGCTCTTATAAAAGTCAAGTATCTAATTATCTCTATTTGCTGTGGTAATTTTTTTTCTCAGCCGACGTTTAGCTATCCAACTAGAGTGACATGACATTTTCTGAGATAATTATGCACACATTTATTATTATATCTCAACTCGGTGTGTTGCTCAACAGTTACACTTGCGATTCCATTACAGTTGAGAATGAGCGCCAGGGCTGGCTGGTTATTATACACTAGTCAGGCTGCCCAGATCCCAGTGCGTGGAGCGAGCTTCAATCTCATCGTTATCCACAAATCAGCGTCATAGCTCTGCTGACACATGATACACCTCACATAACTGAGTAGTTATGTATTGCTTTTCAGGAGAACCGAACATATAAGACTCATTCCACTCTCTTGAGAGGCTATAACAGCATGCGCTATCATCCTGTGGTTCCCTCCATGGGTCAACCATATTGCCTTACTAATGTGCAAAAAGAAATCCGTAAAAGCGTTTCATAATTTTGTTTTTTGCATTTCTTTTTTGGTGTTGTGCTCTCTTATCTGGATGAGTTTAGTTATGACGTCTCCTATTGACTGACGAGCATTTAAGATAACTTGAGTGCAATGTGGGTTTTGAGGATTCTCAGTGTATTAGTGCGGTTATTTGTTAGCGTATATCTTGTGATAATTGTATCCACTTGCTGTTAGAATTTTAATTGGTGGATGGTGACCAGCAGTGGAATCCAGGTTAATGTGCATTTCGTCCGACTATTTGGGACTCGTCGGTGGGAACATCATCGCTCACTGACTGGGGAATGCAGGTACATCCAGTTAGCTGAGGAGTCCAACATAGTCGGACGAAATGCGCGTCATCCTAGATTTCACTGCTAGCCATCATCCACCAGGGCAAAGTGAAACTTTCGACACCACTAACAACCAATCAGGAAACGACCTTGAACGAATCAATCACATTAAAGGGGCATTTATGGTAAATGGAAACGTATATTTATGGAAAAAAGCATAAAAAAGGATGAAACGGTTACAAGGGGTATCTTTTTCGAACATTTGAGAGAAACATCTCCCAGTTTAGCATGGGACTGCCAATGGAGCAGCCACACCACATCCTGTACATATATTCATCTAAATGACTATAAATGAGATCCTTTTGAGATCCATTTATAGCCCTTATCCCATTTTTCAAGCGGCCCCAAAACCCTTTAGTGGAATTCCTATGAGTCCTCGTAACGGGACCCACCCAACAAACAAGTGATTTTCTCTATTTTCCACGAAGCAATATCTCTGGAGTGCTGGTACCACTGAACTGTTGAGACGAGGTTATTCTCCGTCTCGATAGCTGCTGCTCTCACCGGCTGTTTCAACACCCAGTAGTTGCAGATATACAAAATCTGGGTTAGGGAGAGATGTTACTACCGAAAAAAGTTCCTAAGAAATATTAAAATAATCAGCTTACCCTCTCTAATACTAGAACGCTTCAAACATATACCACAACGATGAACAAATCCATCAGTTGATCTGCTATAGCTTTTTAAAGGTATGATACCACCACACGAACAAGTTCGCTCCTTCCGGAGCAACCCTAAATCCAGGCAATACTGCAATACAGTATCCTCCTCGAATTGCAACCGTAACCTTGTAAGGTCACGCATTAGGAATGAGTCAAGCGCTATACGACATTGAACTACGTTCGTGAATCTCATTGGATAATTCAACATCGTTCGTGAGTCTCATTGGATAATTCGCTGATTGGTAGTTAGTGGTGTCGAAAGTTTGACTTGGCCTCCACCAGTTAACTTTAATTAGATGGCTAGACATCGTCGAAGCGTCTGCACAAGAAGCCGACATGTCGCCCTGAGACTGAGCACATCAGTCCAACCAGTTGATGTTGTTGCTATTGCTGTGATGCTGATCTTCTGACCATGTGACCCATTTTGTTTTTGATATATAATCACATGATGTCTCTTTTGTTTTGACAATCTGGTCTATTTTACTATGTGTATATTGATCGTTATCCCATTGTAACTCACAATATATCTTGTCTGTCCATTAACTGTATAAACAATGTATGACCTTTATGTCACATGATATTACAACCAATCAGAATCCAGTTGGTGGTAAGATAAACTACCTACCTGTTTTATTGGTCCATGTGTGTCAGTTATTTTATACATAGTTCGTATTGTGCAGTTAATTCACTCTCTCGTATTTTTCCACTCACACTTGTGTGACAGTTAATTTTCGGCGAATTCATTCACATAGCTGTACAATCTCATTTATATAATTATTTGTATATATATAATTATTATCTACCCCACTTCTACTTAGTCTCTACCTGTAATTACATCTGTTGCTACCCTGTTCTAAGTTAAAACATTTTAGTCAATTATATTACGTCATCTAACTTACTAACTCAATCTTACTTTAGTTGCTGTCCAATTAACCTTGTTTCTATATTAGATCATTCTTTTATTACCTCATCAATTATCTAATTTTGACAAACCTCATGTACACACACACACACACAAATAATTATATATAAATGCGATTTGTACAGCTATGTGAATGAATTCGCCGAAAAGAGTCTCTTCGCTGAACGTCTTCTCTTTTTCATATGACAAAATGGGGATTTTTCAAGCTACAGTTAATTTTCCTTGTTGGGAAATACATATATCCATTCGTGAACGTGGCGTTCTTCTGAATTGCCTCTTCGCGTCAGGACAAATTAAGTAACTACTTAGCAATACTACTCTGTACATTATTGTCCGTTATATCTCATCAGAGCATATTTACACTCGATCACACCATAATAACATATTGGCGACGACACCATAACAGTTTTACAAATAGTTAGGTATCTATGTCACGTGAAATGGTTTTTCTTGTACTTTCGGAAATCAGTTAGGCGAAGTTCAACAATAGTGTCCCAGAAGTGCGGACGCTTTAGTGACCTTAAATGTAGTCTAGTCGTTGGCTGATGGCATCTGTCATTATCTTAGCTGAAATATAAATGCTATTCACCACCTAAGGAGCAAATTTCACCCAGAACACGGTTTTGAGTACCGTTTGGACGGTTTGTTGATAGCTCGTTAGGGCTAGGATTAGGGTTGAGATTAAGGTTAGGGTTAGGATCAGGGTCATAATTAAGATTGTGGTTGGGCTTATTATGGTTAGGACTAAGGTTGTAATCAGGACTAGTGTTAAGTTTAGATTTATGGTCAGGACTAAGGTTAGGGTTACGATTACGGATAGATTTATAGTTGATGTTATTTATTTAATTTGTTTTATTATCCACATTTCCCTGGTAAGTAGACGTCGATCTACTTACTCAAAGCCATGGTAATTCAACGGAGGGCTTTCGGGTGAACTGCACAACAGGATAAAAGATATGAAAGATCTACAAAACAGCTCATCTTCAGTCACCTCGGTGAATACATGTACAGAAACTAGTCTAACTTAGCCACTGATACTCTTCATTATAATTGGGATGTATTTTTAAGTCATGTCAGAGAAAGACGCCCTATTTAATGCGTTTTCATGCATTTTCTTGTAAATATACGTCTTCTTTCATGCGAAAATTCCTCATTTTTATGATTGGTGGTCGGTTCTAGGACATTTGTGCGTTCACATACCCTGGGATGCTATTGCTGAACTTTGCCATCAGTTATATTTATTGTCTAAAGACACTGGTGATATATTATCTAGTTGCCCAAGGTCAAGGTAGAGATCTAAAAGCGGTGGTGGGTACGGATTTTAAGATATGAATGACTCCAGTTGTTACTTAAGTCAACTGTATACCACAACTCTGCGTGCTAACACTCATTGAGATAAGAGAAACACTGTGAACATTATTAGAGAATTATTTCACAGTTTGTAAGAATGATAGTGGTTTATATCTTATTCACTGGATGATGTTTTGAAGATCCTATTTGAAGGAAAGTGAACACAGTGTAGAAGTTTACACAAAAGTGCAGCAGTGTTCACCACACTGATATGTATCCACATGATATGTGTTGTGTTTCTGACAGTCTATTATATTTTGCTATGTGTATATGGATCGATATTTCATTATAACTGGCAATATGCTTTTGTCTGTTCACTAACTAAATAAACATGTATGACCTTGTTATCAAAAGACATTACAACCAATCATGGTAAGACGTTATCTTGTTGGATCATGTGTATTAGCCATTTTCATATATACTCTTGCTTTATCATACTTGTTCTGACTTGTTCACACACACTTTTTCGTACATTCGTACCATTTCACTCACACTCTTGTGTGACATTTATTTTCCTTGTCTGGAAAATACAAGTATCATCATACACCTGGTTGTCTTCTGATTTCCCTCTTTCCGCGTCAGGACTATTAACTACTCGACGAGTACATAACATAATTGGCGACGGGAAAACTCCCATAGCTCACTCAGCAGCAGTACATAACACACACACACCACACTTTCTATTAGAGCACAGATAAGGAGGATAGGCTAATAGGTTGAAGGCAATGCAAATAGTATGAATGCGCATGTGTGTGTCATTGAGAGGGAATGACTGTGAAGAGTTTCCTCAACAGTCTTGACAACCCAAAGCAACACGATAAATAGTCTACACCCCCCTACATAATCGACTCTAACTACAAATCTCAACTCTTCAGAATGTAAGTTGAAGACAGAAGGTAGGTCATATTGTTTCGCTCTTCCAAGAATTCAAACGTAAATAAAAGAGTTTAATTTGTGGATGGTGACTAACAGTGAAATCCAGGACAACGCGCATTTGGGACTCATCAGCTAACTGGATGCACCTGCATTTCCCAGGGACTGATGATACTTCCACCGAGACTCGAACCCGATGCCCACAGTTTCAAACGCCAAAGCGTCACCCACTAAACCACTTGGGCCACGAAGTGCCCATCCTGGATTCCACTGCTAGTCACCATCCACCACCAATGAAAAGTTCTAATTACATGCCCAGACATCGTGGAAGCATCTGCACAAGAAGCCGATAAACATGTCAACCTGAGATCTAGCACTTCGGTTCAATCAATTGACGGGAAAATCTAAAAAATTCAATTGAAGTAAGGAAAATAGAGTTTCAGTCAAATGTTTATGCAATCTCATTTGAACATGTGATATGAAAATTACTAGAAAATGCTAGTTAAATTGTTGGATTCATTCTGACAAGTGGTAAACATGATCTCGAGTAGTCTTCGATCAGACAGGATTTACCAACAATCAACTTTAACTATCTATCTAATTCAATTTTAGATTTTCTCCTCGATCGAATAAAATAATATGACCTTGTTGCACAAGAAAGAGGCGGCTCTCGTGGCCCAAGTGGATAACGATTTGGCGTTTGAAATTATGTTGGTCATTGGGTTCGAGCCTTGGTAGTGGGAACATCATCACTGGCTGACTGGGGAATAGAGGTACATCCAGTTAGCTGACGAGTCCCATACAGTCGGACGAAATGCGCGTTAATAGCCTGGATTCCACTGCTAGCCACCAACCACCAGTTAACCTCTGTGTATCTACTATCAGTATTAATTCGTTAATAATAATAATAATAATTTTGTATAATTTGGTTTTTAAGGGTTAGTTTTGTTTTTACGAGTTGATCACGGATTAATATCAGCTAGAGAACCATTGAAAACAAGCAGGGAGTACTGGACAGATTTTTCCGTTGTCCTAGTTTGGGAATCATCGACAGTACGCACCTACTGCCAGGGTTCGAACCCAGGACCTTCCGGTTGTAAGGAAAGCAAGCTCGTATACCATTTAGCCACTGGAAACGGATTCAATGGCTCATGAATTCTGACTTCTACTAATTCGTGATTTAGCGCGACCCCAACCATTGTCGTTGGTGGGACATCCATCCTTACACGTGGCATCTGGATGGGCCTCACTGGTCCCAAACTACGATGAAGCAGCTGTCCAGTAAGTACTCCCTGGTTTTCAATGGTTCTCTAGCTGATGTCAATCCGTGACCTACTCGAAAAAATAATAATAATACTAAAGGCTCAATTTATTTTCAAGCATTTTCTTTGTTTGAAACACAAAATAATTGGGTAAAGAATATCCCCTTTTTGATAATTTCCTCTTCTGCCTCTACAATTGTATAGACATATGTTTATATGCATAGAATATTCTAGAATAGTATTCAATAACAATATTAGTGTTTCTTAAATAATATCGATTAGTTAAGTAAGATCAATGGAATTACAGTTCATTAAAGATGCTTAAATTATGATAATAATAAAGATCTAGTAGCAAATAGAATATCAACTAAAATTAGGGAAATTCCACAAAAATTGACGATCATCCAAACCTAGATAGCCAGTGGGGTAATGATAATGACTAAACTATCTTCTTTTGGATGCATAAATTAGGCTTGTTTGTTGATATTGATCCCCACAGCCAGCCTCAGCAATATTTAGTAGTCGAACTCTTAAGGCGAAATTGAGATTCGTAGGTATTCGGTAAATGACCCTGAAAGCAGCCTGGTTAACATGAATCCTGTGTTCTGTATCCACAATTTGTTTTTCCTTCACGTTCCCAGTAGAAAATTAGCCTTCAAGCTAGTGGCTTGAAGTTTCTGTAGCAGTGTTTATTTTACAGGATTGGGTTGCTATAGCCTCATGTCCAACTTTTCCTCTTTACCAGTCTTATTTCTGGCTTAGCGAGGTGAAGGAGTACGTCGGTGGCCCTGGGTCGAATCTCGGACCATGTGCATGGTTGGCGAGCGTTCAAACCGCTGTGGCACCGACGCCTTGTATCCACAAAATGAGATAGAATAGCCCCTACGAATAGATTTTGTTTATCTTTTTCTTAAACACTATGCAGAGTGATGTTCGGAAATTCGACGAGAAACACGCCTAGTTGTACGGCCTGTGTAATTGACTCACTCCACAGGAGCAGTTGTTTTGAAGACACAGCGTAATTCAGCAGCAGGAAATGCTCTTTTTACCGCCTCATTTCTAAGGCGCTGTGTTAGTATCGCGCTGATGCTGTCCCCAAGGAACTGCATTTGTAAGAATAAGGCCTTTTTTGGAACTGTTGGTAAACCTGGCCTGCTTTGGTTTTAGATTCATATTCTTATCTCAATAAGCCTTTCTGGATAACCATTTTCACTAAGCAACCGTTTAATATTATCAAGTTCTTTATCAAGACATTCCTGCGAGCGAATCGCTCTTGCTCTGTGACTGACCAAGCACTTTATCAGATTGCGTTTGTGCTTCAATGGCACGAAGCTGAGAAAAGTGAGTATACCGACAGTCGTCAGTTGATGTAGGTTTCCTATATACACCACTTCTTCTTCTTCTTCTTCTTCGTGTTATTGCGCCATCTTTTATTTTTTTGTTTGTTTTCTCCCTTTTTTTCTGACAGTACCATAAACTACTACGTATCACTTTGCGTATATTCACACAAGTCTATGAATCCGGTGATAATGAAGGAATTAAAACTGTGACTAGTGATCTGGTTCGATGCATTTTATTGACATTTAATTACCTATTAAATAATTATAATGATGATATATTCAGCGATGCAGTGTTAAAAGCAATTCAATGCTTTATTGAATGGTTATTCAATAATTATCGTGAGAATGTCATTGGTCAAGGTGCAGTATTTCTCTACTATGCTTACACTTTACTATCACTTGTCTATGAAAGGCTTGACCAATTTCTGTGTAAACAAGCTAAACAGATGGATAATAAGGATGTTTTGATATTCAATGTTTCAATCGGGTATACACTGGCCGATTGTATTCATCATCCGATATCACCTGTAATTATGGGATTCACTGCTCAGCTGATAACTAGTGAAATTGAAGCTGTCAGCCGATTTCTACGTAGTATCGTCAATTTTGATTTTCTTGTAAGTTTTTTATGCCTTTTCATATTGTTTGAATAATGTTTTTTCTAAAGTACTAGTCTAGTAAGTTAATTGTTTGTGGTGGATGGTGACTAGCAATGGAATCCAGGTTATTAACGCGCATTTCGTCCTATTCGGGACTTGTCAACTGGATGCACATGCATTCTGCAGTAAGTGATGATGCTCCCATCGACGCCTGAACCCAGTTCCTATAGTTTCAAACGCCAAAGCGTTATCCACTAGACCACTTGGGCCTTTGAGAGCCACCTCTTGTTCTTGTGCAACGGGTCATATTAATTATTTAAGTGAATTTTAGATTTTCATGTCGATTGATTGGACCGAAGTCCACGGTCTCGGGTTGACATGTCTGTAGGCTTCTTGTGTATAGATGCTTTGACGATGTCTAGGCATGTAATGGGGACGAAATGCGCTTCATTCTGGATTCCACTGCTAGTCACCATCCACCACCAATGAAAAGTTCTAATTACATGCCCAGACATCGTGGAAGCATCTGCACAAGAAGCCGATAGACATGTCAACCTGAGATCGAGCACTTCGGTCCAATCCATCGACGAGAAGATCTAAGATTGAAGTAAGTTTTCGTTTAAGTTTTTTTATGCCTTTATATATTATATTAGTTGAATAATAATGTTACTGGTCTGCTGTTTTTATCAATTTACTGCTTTGCTTTTTAAGGGTTGTTTTTTAAACAACATTATGGATAAATAAGATTTTTAATTTTGATAAATCACACAGTGTTGTACAGTTATATTAACTGAAGACTACGTTTCGAGCACAAACTATTGCGCTCATAATCATATCAAGGTACTCACTCACACAACTTTTTTTTCCGTCATTTATATACATGTTCTACAGCAGACATGCTGACTCCATTATTGCAAAAGGTCTGGAAGGGGGGAAAGGCGCCTACTGACTGGAGGAAAGGTTACCTCTTGAAACTACCAAAGAAGGGCGACTTAGGCCTCACTCTGCAAGAACTGGCGAGGAATCATGCTTATATCGACGCCAAGTAAAATCCTGAGTCGCATCATCCTGCAGAGAATTAAGGACGCACTGTAGACAGAACTCCGACCAGAACAAGATGGATTCAGGAAAGTCAGGCAAATCATGTACTGACCAAATTCCAACTCTACGCATCATCATCATCATCGAACAAAGCATTGAATCGCAATCAAATCTCTACACCTCAACTCTATAGACTTTGAGAAGGCCTTCGACAGCGTTGATCGTGAAGTAATTTGGAAATTACTCGAGTACCATGGCGTACCCCAAATATTCAACCTTATTCAACAGCTGTACGACAACGGCACATGTCAAGTCATCCACAACGGAAAACTCAGCGAGCGAGGCATTTGGAGTAAACACAGGAGTCAGACAAGGGTGCTGGCTTATTATCACCCACGATGATATTCCTAATTGTGGTCGACTGACTGGATTATGCGTCAGACTGTGAGTGGGAAACGAGAAGACAGGGATATCCTGGACCGACTGACGTGAAGAACCTAGAAGACCTGGATTTCGCCCGTGGATGATTTATGTTTGATGTCACACAAAATCGAAGACTTACAAGCGAAAACCGACTGACAAACTGGTCGGAGAAGCAGCCAACGAAGACAGGGCTCCAGGTTAACATAGACAAGACGGAGGTTATGAAAATAACCAACCAACAACAGCAACAGCATCCAACGTCAATCACCATCAACGGGAGGGATTTGAAAGAGGTTACTTCATTCACTCACTTCTCTAGGGAGCATTGTCTCAACTACAGGAGGAGCGAACGAGGATGTCAAATCGAGAATCGGGAAGGCGAGAAACACATTCATCAACCTGAAATCAATCTGGAGATCTTCGTCACTTAGCACCACCAACAAACGTAAAGTCAGTTATTCTATACGGATCAGAAACTTGGAGGGTCACAAAGAATATTTCCAACAGCCTGTTGCAGACCTTTATTAATAACTGTCTTCGCTCTATACTGAAGATCAGATGGCCGGAAAGAATCACCAACAAGGAATGAAGGGAACAAAAAATGCAAGAACCAACAACAAGAGCCCAACAAATATGCAGGAGAAAGTGGAGATGGATCGGACACTCGCTGAGGAGACCACTGGGTGACATCGCACGTGCGTGAAGCCGTCGAGTGGAACCAGGCCGAAAGGGAAGCGGCGTGTGGGACGTCATTGCAAGGGTGGCATGGAGGAGATCGTGTGAAGAGGAGTTGGTTGAAACAGTATGGACTAACATGGATGGAGGCGAAAAGTACAGCAGAAGACAGAAGAAAATGGAGACGTGCAGTTGAAGCCCTATGTTCCACTAGGAACCCAAGGGAGCAATAATAATAATATACACATGTTTGGAATAGATTAGATATTGGAATAAAAATCAACCCATATAGGATAATGTACATTCAGAAATAATAATACAAGTGTGATTGATCAGTTACAATCAGATGGGAAATAAGACGAGTGTTTTTATAGTCAAAATAAGTAACCTGTTAGAATGTTGTGATGTGTTTGAATTGAAATACAATTTTAAGATTATTTATTATCCTCTTCTGATTTGACCTGCGGTGATCATATCTTCTATATAACTCTGGTATTTGCATTCAGTCATTCCTGTTGCATGTGTTGCCTGTAGACTCGATGAATAAGGATTCCGTAATCAACCTCTCTCTCCACCTACCTATATTACTTTGTAGAATTTTAAGCGTATCCCACTTTATTGTGTGGTTGTTTGTTAATACGTGAAGTGTAATAGCTGAAGTTTTTTCTAAATTACTTATCTTTTCAGGGTCGACTATTCTTACCTTAGCTAAATTCTTATGTTCTGATAATCTGACTATCCCTGACCTACTAGTTTGACCTAACTCAGACGTTACAAGGTATTTTGTAAATTATATTATTTTGTCAAATTGGGTCCACCGAGTCTTTTAGCCTACAGAACTTATCCCTGTCTGAGTGAGTTTGTAGGTTTGAATGCCACCCTAATTCCTGCTTTATTTAGAATCCTACGTACTGAGGGTCTCAGATGTCCCCTGTTTATATGGTATAACAGTAGATGACTTATATTCTCTCTTATATATGTTGTCATTACTAGTTCCACAATTATTTTTATTTTGTTTTTGGCCTTTACTGTGTTACGTAATGAAGAGAAGGGCGAAATGAGAAATACTTAGTTAATTGATAACTAATCATTCGAGAAGAAACAGGAGGATAAAGGATTGAAAATAAGTCACGGAAAAGTGGGACGGACTACACAGAACTTCTTAATATAGTCATGCAGAATCAGTAGAAATCAGTCAAGTCGATTGGTGAAAGGATTTTGCCTGCATTCTTCTTCTTCATGTAACTGAACCAATCGCATCAAGCGAAATCTGAGCTTTGCATCTTGAAAATTGGCCTTAGTACTATTTTTTTCCTGGGTAAACTGTCATTCAACCACTTAGTTGTCAATTGTCTTCCACTTCATTGCTTAAAAGACTACTCACACGTTTTCGAACATACTGATTACTTATACAAGTTTGACAATAAATAACCTTTGATCTCTACTGTCAATCTGTATTGTATATATTCATCACTGTGTTTGAACGCCTGAAAGTATTTATTAAATTCTCTGTGTACCTACATTTATTTACGTTTTTATTATAATATCCTTTTGAACACTCTTGTATGCTTGCTTGATAAAGTCTGACAACTTGAACTGCTACACTGTTTTTTATGTGTGTGTGTAACTTATTCTGTTTTAACCAATATCATTCTCTGAAGGGTACATGATCCACGATCGTAACTGCATTGACCAGTATTCACATTTGTTTAAGAACTGAATCCGACAGTTAGATACTTCAAATTATGCCTCCTATATACCATATTAGTTTGTTTATTAGATGTATCACACAGTGAAACAGTACTATTTACTGGGTGTGAAGTTCATAATCATATTAATTGTAATCACACGACTTCGAAACTTGAGTTTTATGGTTCTCTCCTATTTCTCATCGTTGGAGTAGTAGAATTTTCCAGATATCTCACTGGAAAAGTGTTGAATCATTCCTATTACACGCATTCCCTTTCAGTTGATTCGCTAAACAAAGCTTCTGTTATCAATCTCTCCCTCCATCCTGTGACATTAGATTTTAAAACTATCATCTTATCCCACTCAGCCTATTTGTATGGTTGTGTGTAATTGCATGTAGTGCTATAGCTCAACTATTCTCCAGATTTCTTATCTTATTATTGGGGTCAACTAATCTATATTTTGCTAGGTTTTTATGTTCGGATAGTCTGACTGCCCCTGTTCTACTACTTTGACCTGACAATCATTGCAGGCAGGGTATTAGGTGAACTAAATTTTGTTTTATTGGCTCCACAGGATTGATCCTTTAACCGACAAAGTTTCTTTCTAATTGAGTTTGTGGTTGGTTTGAATACCAGCCTTTTTTTATTCCTGCCTGCCTCGTTAAGAATCTTGCGTAAAGTTTCCGAAGTTCCTTCCGTGTATGGGAGTACTACTGATGATTTAGATTCCTTATTTTTGGTGTTGTCATTATCCTCTGCATGTTTCACATGCACGTCGTCGTTAATATTATTATTATTATTATCACTATCACTACTATCATTATTTATTTTTACATTTCCCTACATACCTTCTCGTTAATTTATCTGGGTTATTATTAAGTTTCAAAGCTTCTCTTATATGCGTCACTTCCTGTCTTAGATTTACCTTGGTTTTTGTACCCTACCACTTAAACATTGATAACAGAGGCTTTGTTTATCGAATCAACTGCAAATCAACACGTGTAATAAGGAATGATTCAACACCTGTCCACGCAGATATCTGGAAAATTCTATTACCCGAATGACGACGACAAACAGGAGAGGACAAAGAGAACTATAAGTTTCGAAGTCGTGTGATTGGTTATAATTGATGAAATGATTAGGAACGATAATAAATTTTGTTCGAAACCGTGTCATCCAGTAAACAGTAATCCTGTTTCACTCACTGTGTGATACATCTGATAAACAAACTAATATGGAATTACTTACTACCACAGTGCCCAAGTTTTACACATATATTAATATGTCTTCTATACAAACCATGTTTGTTGTTGTTATTTTCCTCTCTCTCTTCAATTTTAGAAGGAAACTGCTGCACTACACCATAAAGATATCTTTGACGTGATTCGACGAAATTTAGATATAGAAAAGGCCACGAAATTCTTGGATATAACAATGACGCTAGCATTCAGTGGAATCAGTGTTCCGGAATGGACAACAGTAGAATCGTGTCTACGACTAATATGTGATTTGTTGGCTTTGTTGAACAAGAAAAAGCATGCTAATGAAGCGTATATTTCACATCGTTATACTATAAGTGATAAATTCTTATTTGAAATTAACGTGTGCTTACTGCTTGTATTGGCTAAAGGTGGTGGTCTCCCAGAGCGATTAACAACAAAATATGCTGAATTGTATACCTCTCTGGCGAAATTGTCACCAGACAAACAATTTGCTCTGCTGAATCACATTCTGGTGGGAGACAGTACTACTAGTACAACAACAACAACAACTTTTAACTGTGAGGGGCAAATTCCGCATTGTAGTAGACTTATTGAAATTGTTAGACAATCTATACCCCAGAGTATAAATATCGCAGAGAGGAAAAGCTTCATCACTACTGTGTCAAGACCATCGATGTCTATGCAGAGAATTCGACAGAGTATATCAACTTTTGTGCATTTATTATCTCAGAGAAAATAAGTGGGGAAAAAAGGGAATCAGATGCGCCTTTTATTTTACTATTATTATTATTATCATATCATCCTATCATTCCCATTCTGTGTTAACTGTATCTTTTTGCAATCACCCTTGAACAACCAACACGCACAAGGCAATGCGGTTGAAAGCTACTCACTCATCACAAAGATAAGAAAGAAAGAAAGACAGACTAAAACAGATTTTTATTAGCAATATATATTTATATTTTTTTATTGGCGTGTTTTTGATGTGAATATACATACACACACGTGTACATGAATAGTTGTTTTGATAAATTGTTAGAATTTCAATAAAGTTTTCTAGACAATAAATTGTTGTTGATTCTCTTTCTCCTCTTCGCCAGTTCTTACGAGTTGTACAGATTCGGAAAGTTGTGCTTGTCCCTCTAATCCCTGAAAAAGGAGGCAGTGGGTGGGTGGGTGGGTAGAAATAAGTAAAAATGATAGAAACTCGGGATATATATATTTATACATACAATATTAATCAGTGGTTATGCGTCGGTAGAATACTCACAAGGGTTCGATCCCCGGCTGACGAACTCCCTAAACTCGTTAAGCCGAGAAAAATGAAGGATGGGCAGCACGTCGTAAACATGAAACCATTACTAACGGAACTCTAGTTCGAAGCCCTGTGTTCCACTCGGAACGTAAAGGGAATACAAAATAAAACAAATCACTGGTAGCTCTATCACGAATGCTGATTCGAGTTCTGGTCCAGAGCCAACACGTCTTCAATCATCGCTGACTACAATCAAAAAACAGGTTGATCATCCCAAAATCGTTACAGATAGCCTCACTATCCGCCCATCCATCCACCCATCACCGAAATCGCTCCTGTTTCCTTCCAACCCAGTATGATTAGAATTGAGGACTAGAGAGAAGACCTAGCTAGCTGGTCAATTTAAGTGTACGCACAGTTAAGTTTCATTTGTATATGACTAGTGTATCTGGGTCTCTTATAGATCACCACCAGCTACTGGAGTTGGAAGCCTATGGCGAGTCAGAGTTTCACTTTCTCTTTTTTTGCAATGGTTACATCAGTTTGTCAAACTGAAACTGTCTTCTTGGGCAGTCTCACAGTCGTCATTATTGTTTCATGAAAATGCACTGAAATCATAGAAAAATAAAGTCTAGTCACGTGTAAGTAGACAAACCAACAACGACACAACACTTCTTGTTGAGCTTTTCACTACTACAACTACTACTGCTAGGTAAGAAGAAGAAGGTTCTGAATAGGATAAGGCCGAAAAAACTTACATTTGTATATATGATAATATTGTTAGCTTGATCCTCATCAGTTTGCATTAATATTTCTGAGCCATTAGCATTGATTAAATCTAGGTTTTAAGGAAGGAAATGGAAACAGGATTACGACGGTTTAAACTATCTACAGACAGAGTTAAACAAACCTTCATGCAATCAAACAAATCCCTGCAAAACCAATACTTGAAAAATAATCTGATGCGACTGGCCCTATTCAGACAGTTAAATTGGGGTTTTAGTGGGAAGCTGTGACCAGTAGAGTGCAGCAGTAGGTTGAAGATGAGGCAGTAACTCATCGAATAAGACATTGTGAAGTGGTTGCGCTATGTCGTGAATTGGCAGAAATTAGAATTCAAAGACCATTCGACCGGGTCCCAGTGGCTCGATGATCTACGAGCTTACTAGCCATGTAACCAGGTCCTGGATTCGAACCCCGCGGCGTGGGTGCGTACTGATGAAGAGTCCTAAACTAGGACGAAGCTGCTGTTCAGTACTCCCAGCTGGTTTCCCTGTGGTTCTCTAACCAATGTCAGCTCATGATGAAATCCTCCATGCAATTAAACAAAATACACATATCGTAACTGATATACACTAAGGTTGGTTGGTTGGAGAACTCGGTTTTCAGCCAGCCAGCCAGCCATTCACTGACTGACTCCTTTTGGTTGGCGAGATCCTTTCATCACACGCAACTTACGTAATTTAACCTGGGAAACTTGAGTTGTGTGTCGTCAACAGCCCGCTCCACGAAACCTCTCTCTCCCGGGTAGATGACATACATTGATGATGATATAACAAAAGAAATGTCTAAAGTTAGACACAAATTTTAATGGACAATGACTAACCCAGGCAAGTTTTCGAACAATTTTCTCAATGAAGAGTGGAGGAAACACAAAAGGAGAATGACTGAAAAAAAATCTGGGTATTGAAAGGAATTATATGTTCCCTGGTTGTGAGATTCATTAGAGAAAACATTGCTTACGATGACAAGAAAAAAAAGGACTGTGTTTATTGGAAAGAATGTTGTTTGGAGGGTGGAGAGCTAAGTGTTGAAAGTCTGAGTGAATGAATGCGGAAGGGTGACACAATTGATATAATTACTCAGAAGTGGCTTTTTAGAATTGAGAATAAAACTTACTCAATGACACACAAAGAAAGAAAGGGTTAGGAATTGGAGAAGGCTAAAATTGTTCTTTGATTGGGAATGAAGGTAGTTGAGTTTCAGTATAACAAGTGTGAAGGGGATGAGAAAATGTACAGAAGGAACATATGAGAGTGATAATAAGTAAATTAAATTATTAAAGTAAAAGCAAATTAGAAATTACAGGGAATGACTAGTGAAGAGGTTAAGATCATGGTAGAATAAGAGACTAGACAAACGTTTTCTGTATACAGAGTTCGGGGTTGTATTGACGAATTGCCAACGCCGCCACCATACACAAAAGCCGAAACCCGACGCCCTTTATACCGTTTGGCTTCACTTTGTAGATAATCTTGAAAGATGACTCTGATGGAGCTGCGTGGCTTCAGTCCACCAAGTGCTCGAAAATTGAGCTAGTAACTGCCTTGCACTATCCTTTAGCTAACCATGCCGGAGAGGGAGTGGATTAGATTTCCCTTTCTTACCAAAGGGACCCAAGGATGACCATTTTCTGTTGGTTTCCTGTAGATCGGTCTTTGAAGAGAAACATCAGATCTCCTTTTTAGAAACAAATCCATCTACAAATTGTCCGCCTGGTGGTAGTGAAGTACAACAAAAGTGAAGATGTGGCTCATTGGCTTAGGCATTCAGTGTTCAGCCGCAGTAGATCACGGATGTCAGTGCCACTCCACACTTACTGCATTCTGCCTGAGTATCATCAACGCGTGACTCATTAGACTGATGATACATTGAAAATATTTTTTCGGGAAAAATGGAGGAGCCTGAAAAAGATCAGCTAAAGCAAAGCACGCGCTATAAAAACGCAAGAAAAGAGTAATTATTCTCAATAATAACTTTAAGAAGGATAAAATTATCAACAAACAAAAAACTTACCGGCTTGATTGACTATTGCCAATTGAGGCTGACCATTTTCATCTTGAATCATTATCAGTGTTTGACCTTCTTCAAGTTGAAGATCATCAGGTAGAACAAATTGCTGTACCACCTCTCCGCCAGCGTCAGTAACATCAATAGTTGTTGTACCGTTTGTAGTCATTTGTGTAGTCATAATTTGTGCACCGGTTAATAGTGCTGCTGTCTGATTATCACCATCGTGTTCTGTTGATTCTACAAGTTGCATCGATGACAACTGATCCCGTCGACAGTCACCATGATAACATCACCATCAGTAACACCAGAAGCAGCAGCTGCTGCACCGCCAGTCGTAGATAATAGAGAGGGATCTCTGATTACAACTAAATTCTGATTGGTTGTATCGAATACAACATTATTCTAGCGGAGAGAGAGAAGGATGAAGGAAAACAACAGAATAAAAACACTACTATTATAGTTAAATAAATTAGGAGTAGATATGCGCGGCTACAGAACTCCGGTCAGAACAAGATGGATTCATGAAAGGCAAATCATGTTCTAACTAAATTGCAACTCTACACATCATCATCATCATCATCGAACAAAGCATTGAATCGCAATCAAATCTCTACACCTCAACTTTACCGACTTCGGAAAAGGCCTTTGACAGCGTTGACCGCGAAGTAATTTGGAAACTACTACAGTACTACGGCGTACCCCAAATATTCATCAACCTTATTCAACAGCTGCACGACAACGGCACATGTAAAATCATCCACAACGGAAAACTCAGCGAGCGAGGCGTTTGGAGTAAACACAGGAGTCAGACAAGGGTGCTGGCTTATTATCAACAATGATATTCCTAATTGTGGTGGACTGGATTATGTGTCACACAGTGGGAAACGAGAAGACAGGGATATCCTGGACCGACTGACGTGAAGAACCTAGAAGACCTGGATTTCGCCCGTGGATGATTTATGTTTGATGTCACACAAAATCGAAGACTTACAAGCGAAAACCGACAAACTGATCGAAGAAGCAGCCAGCGGAGACAGGACTCCAGGTGAACACAGACATGACGGAGGTTATGAAAATAACCAACCAATAACAACAGCATCAACATCCAACGCCAATCATTATCAACGGGGGATTTGAAAGAGGTTACCTCATTCACTTATCATCTAGGGAGCATTGTCTCAACTACAGGCAGTTGGAACGGACGAGGATGTCAAATCGAACGAGAATCGGGAAGGCGAGCGAGAAACACATTCATCAACCTGAAACCAATCTGGAAATCTTCGTCACTCAACTCAGTATCAACAACAAAATTCGGTCGGATTTTCAATACAAACAACGTCAAGTCAGTCAGCTCTTCTATACGGATCGGAATTTTGACGGGCGGGCGGATCACAAAGAATATTTCCAACAGCCTGTTGCAGACCTTTATCAACCAACAACTGTCTTCACTCTATACCGAAGATCAATCAGATGGCCGGACCGGAAAGAATCACCAACAAGAAACTATGGGAACAAACAAAACAAGAACCAACAACAAGAGCCCAACAAATGTGCAGGAGAAAGTGAAGAGATGGATTGGACACTCGTTGAGGAGGCCGCTGGGTGACATCGCGCGCGCGTCAGGCCACTGCTTGAGTGGAACCCTAAAGGGAAGTGGTGAGTGGGACGTCAGTGGAAGGGTGACATGGAGGAGATCGTGTGAAGAGGAGTTGGTTGAAACAGTATGGACTAACATGGATGCAGGTGAAAAGTACAGCAGAAGACAGAAGCAGGTGGAGACGTGCAGTTGAAGCCCTATGTTCCACTAGGAACCCAAGGGAACAATAATAATAAATAAAGAGGTTGGTGTCTACTAGCAGTTCAGTTCAAAGCAAGCTATCGAAGGCTCTTTCAGAGTAACACGAATAAAAATCAATAATTTAAAGGATTAGAATAAACCGATAAATAAACCAACAAAGCCGACTTACTTCATTTTGAGCTAATTCCTGCTGGTGCTGTTGTTGTTGTATTTGTTGCTGTGCCTCTTCTTCGTGTGGATGTTGTTGTTGCTGTTGTTCTTCTCCTTCACACGGTTGTTCAGTTTCATTCGATGTTTGTGTTCGTGAAATCAATAAATATGGATCTGGATTCAAGGTAGCCGTCAGTGTACCGCATTCTTCAACAAGATGTCTTGCAAGACTATTACCGTCCAACTGATTAGCTCCACAATGTGAACAATAGAATAGGCGTGAGTTAATTTGATTTTGCATATAATCAATCATTGCGTCATTACGACTTTGTTCACTGCTATTTGTTGTTGTTAACATGGCCGTAGTATTCATTTCATTATTATTATTATTATCATTATTATTATTGGTAATATCTGTATGTATATCAGATATATTATTATTATTACCATTACTATCAGTATTATCACTATTATTCGGTGTCAAATCTGTTATCTCATTAATAACTAAAAACTCTTGACCGTTAGATATAACAATGGATGGTGTTTGCTCGGTTGTGACAACACTATTATTATTCTCTTCATGGTGATGATTATGATGATAATGAGAAGTTTCGTTGCTTTCAGCAGTCGTAACAGCGGCAGTACTAGAGGGAGGAGGAGGAGGAGCACTCCAATCGAAATACACTTGGCGTATCATTGGCACACCAGAGTCAATATCTTGTGATTGTGATGGATTTGCATAGATATGAAGTTTTTCATAGTGTCGTTGAAAACCTGCTCTACAGCATGTGGCAAATCGACACAATGAACACGGTAAATATTGTCTACAGAAAGATAAAATAAAAAATGGGGGAAAAAGTATATATGTACTTGATGATTAATGGGTAGTAATGTAACGACAGAAGACAAGGGCCAGGAAACCGACCCTTCATTGGGGAAAATCAAGAGGTATTTATAGATTTTTATGTGCATTGTTATGAGCGTTAATGTCAGCCGGGAAGCAACCTCTTTTGATTGGTTGTTTGCTTGCTGAAGGTTATTCTGTACTGCTTGTGACCATTTCTCAGAAAGTTAAGCCATATATATATATATATATATATATATCTGCGAATCGTATTTGCACACATTAAGTCTGCTGTGATTGGTTGGTCAGTCCCTCAAGGCTAGGCTTAGTTCCTGTTTCTTCCTCATGACCCCGATTCGAGGTCACGCCAACGCAAACATTGACGTAATTTTTTGTCTACAATCTTAGCTTGCAGACAGCAGTCACTAACCCTTCCTCCTTACCGGTCTTATTACTGGTAAAGGAGTGCGTCAGTGATCGCGAACTACGTGTGGCGTCGTTGGCGAGAGTTCTACACCACTGTGTCACCGACAGACAACAACGACAATAACATACTTCAATGTTTGAATGGTAGCAGAGAAAACATTATGAAATTAACGCATTCTAAAAGTGAAAAGGAGGGGAGACGAGGAAGACAGAAAACCATTGTAATTTCAAGTAGATTGCGGTTGATGAAAACCTGTGAAACGGAATGATACTACCAGTTTGCTCTGTTTGATTTCTGCTGAATATACATTTTTCCTCAGTTAGAAAAACCAGAGCTCCGCATACGAAAGAAAATTATTCAACCAATTCTACTACTACTACTACTGTGGGGGCTGCTAGCCAAAAATTGGTAGACAGTAATTTACGTCAATGTTTACGTCCCCAATATTGGTCATGAGAAAAGAACATGAACAAAGATTGACTCAACAACCAATCGCAGCAGACTTTGTGTAGGCAGATACAATCTGCGGATAGATGATCTGACATTCAAGAAACAGCCACAAAGAGATGAAAGATTAACGTTCAACGAGAAACCACCAATCAGAAGACTGTTTGTTTGCTTACAGTAATCTAAAATAATATACATGAAATCTATAAATATCTGTTGATTTTCTTAACAAACGATCTACGTAAAGTGTCTCTCTTCATCGAACTATTTTATCTTGTTTCTATGACTACTCATGTCACAATGTGCATAGAATATATATTAACAGTTGACTAACTATGGGAAAAAAAGGCACGTAATATAATGAACATTAGCTGATGACTAATTGCCTTATTTTTTCAGACATCAATTCGATGGTTGAGGTGGATGGAGAAAGTTGTTTCTTTGTTTATGTTAAAACCCCCCTCCCTTATTGTGAACACACATTACTTTCGAATAAAATATATTTGTCAGTAATAGAGAAGATTTGTAGCCCAGGTGCATGATTTGCAATTAATAGTGTTCTCTGAGCTGGTTGGTTTTAGTTGCGGAGCTTTCGTCGTCCACCCTCTGGACAACATCTCTATTCAGCTCAATTTTTAGCATAAAGTGAAATGATTTATAAGACAATGAAATAATGGTTTTCTTTGATGGTGTCACAGCATTATATACTCCGAATAGTTCAAAACTAGCAACACAAACTATGCACCAATTAATCTATACTGATGAAAACATAAAAACACAGTGTTGTTCAACTTGCATAGAACTCATGAAATTATGCCTTACAACATACACTGAGAGTGGAAAACATGAAAAGACTAGCTGTCTTTGATCATAGGTGCCTGCGCTCTATTTCCCGTGTAAAGTGGCATAATAAGGTGAGCAACATTCAGGTTAGGCGTAGAGTTCTAGGTAAACAGGGGAAATCAATCGACGAAGTCGTGAAGCTACATCGACTGAGATGGTTAGGACATGTGTTACGTATGCCAAGCCATCGCCTCCCTCGACGAGCTATGTTAGCGGATATAGGGTCAGGCTGGAAAAAAGCTAGCGGCGGTCAAACAAAAACTTGGCATCAGTCAATGAAATCCACAACAGTTGGTCTTAGCCACGTAGGAAGGTGTAGACTTCCAGGCTGGGGTCCTCGGGACGGTAAAAATCTATGGTTGGAAACAATTGGTGACATGGCTCAAAACCGTTCTCAGTGGCCAGCGCAGATGCATCCACTCCCTGTGACTTATGATTTCCAATGAAACTGTTTTGTTCTTCGTTATTACTATTCCTTTGTCTCACACCTCTGCTCACTGTCTCTATTATGCTTTTCTTGTACTTTCTTCTCTTGCTTCGCGTGCTACACGGAATGTGGCGACTTGAACTTCCGCACATTTGTGCAAAGTTCTATGTCGAAAACAGACAGACAGACAGACTTCCAATTCAATACTCAAATATATGAACAGATAAAAGGAACACCAATGGGATCATCGCCCATATCAGGATTGATAGCTGAAGCCGTCATGCAAAGATTAGAATTAATAGCTCTACCTACAATTAAACCGATAATCGTACGTACGTTACGTTGATGATACATTTGTAATAATTAAGAGAAATGTGATTTGGCATATACCCATAAATTACAAAGGGCTAGACACGTCACACTAGTTACTGACTAGTGTCCAATCAAACTACCTACCACAGTCCTAGAGGAGGTCAATCGCGAGCCTGAACAGCTCAGTGGTAACGTCTCTGACTGTAGTACTCATTGGGTGACACTGGTTCGAATCTCAGAAGGGACATGAGTTCCTCCCTTCAAGGTTGCAGATACGCCGCCTAGCACGAAACCTAGGTCGGGCAAGGCTTCCTGTGGCCGATTACCTCCTACTATCTAATATGTAAGCATTTCTACCAAGTGGCATCACTATAAAGCAATGCCTTATATATCGTTGCCTGGCAGGCATACATGAAATCGATTTTAATCATTTAACCAGTTTTTTCCAGGTCAAACAAAAGAGAGAACATAAACACAACATCAACTTACGCATGTTCTGTATCACTCATACATTTACCGCATTCTAAGCATTCTAGCTTATCAATATCTTTAGGATAAAAGTTTACAGCTAGACTTTTTGCACATCCAGCCTCTGGAGCATTCATCGATGTGACTTGTTGTCGAAAGATACGAACAGATCCAATGGTTATGCTATTATTATTATTAGTAGTAGTAGTATTATCTCCACCACGTTCAATGCCTTGACCAGCAGCAGTAGTATTGTTGTTACTCAACGACATACGATATGATTCCGACTGTCAAATAAATGAATTGAAAAAATGTATACACATATATACGTTGAAATAATGAAAAAAGATGAAGACGCTGACAAAATAGAGTAGAATCTTCTGAACACCTTGAGCAGTAATCTTCCAATGTTTGCTTTGTGATTCACCTCCATTAAAATTGAGATAAGGCTCGCTATAAGACTGGACTCTATTGACACCTAGCCAGTGGTTCGATCACTGACGAAATCTCCACACGGATAACAGAGGCTTGTTTGGCGTTTGCCAAACTACTCCATCTCTGCCTTAGTAGGCGTGATATGTGGCTGGCTATCGGTTTAAGGACAGATGTACTGCTCAGCAGTTTGCTCCATCCTAATTCATAGACGTGACAAATGCCAAATGAAGTTGAAAAGTATGATAAATCTAGCTGTTTTTGTTCATAGATGTTTGTGTTTTATCTCCCGTGTCAGGTGGTGGTATAATATAGTGAGTAATATTGAGAAGAGGCATCGAGTGTTAGGTGAGTAGGGAAAATTAATCGATGAGGTTGTGAAGCTACATCGTTCGAGATGGAAAGGACATGTGTTACACATGCCTAACCTTCCTCGACAACAGGCAATGCTAGCTGACTGACACAGGATGATGGATGAGGTTGGAAAAGAGCGGAAAAGAGTGGTGGTCGCACCAAAACATGGCTTCATCAGTCAATGAAATCCACAACAGTTGGTTTAAGCCAGCCAAGTCGGTAAGCGTAGACTTCCTAACTGGTTGGAGTCCTCAGGATGGAAAAAAACTAATGATGGCTGGAGACGATTGGTGATATGGGTCAAAAACCGCGCTCCCGATGGCTGTGGCAGATGCATTCACTCTTTATGATCCACAATATCCATTTGACTGTAATGTTTCATATTTCCGCTTATTACTTGTTTCTTTAAAGTCGATTTTTCTCCTCTTCTGTCTTCAACTGTATGGTACATGGAGTGTGGAAACTCGAATCGTTGCACTTCTGTGCGAATTTCTGTGTTGAAACCAGTCAGTCAGTCATTGTTTAGTCCCGGGGGTATTGAATATGTTTACAACCTGCCGATTGTCAAGTTCTTAAAAAAACAACTTGAGAAGAAGCATAATCGTAGGTGGCAACGTATCCCAATACAATCGCGATAACTGTTCCCAACATTTTAGTACAAACTATTACTCCCTAGGAGATAAAAATGACTAACTAACTAACTAACTGCGGTCTTTAATCATCCAATTGTCTTCAGATTGCAAAATGTACACACACACACACCTGTTTTCAATTGGCCTGCAACCAAATGTTGTGCACTTCTCGAAGAAAACGAAGAATATTATAAAAGATTGTTTTGGGCTTCAGATCAGATGACATTGCGTCATGTGATCAACTGACAATCGATTTTTTATACTTGAAGATGTTGGGTGAAGGGAGTATGTTATGCTTTAAATCCTGCCGAGAATTATGAACACCTTACAAACACTATCCAGAATAAAGATATTATTATATTCACGCTGTATAATCGTATATATATATATATATATATATATATATATATATATATATATATATATATATATATATATATATATATATATATATATGGTGAGAGCTGGCTGTTAGCCAAAGTTGGTGGACGTGAGAAAAAAGGCTTTGCGTAGACGGATACAGTTAACATATAGATGATCTGACATTCAATAAACAGCCACGAAGAAATGCAAGGTTAACTTCCTGTGAAAAACAACCAATCAGAAGACTGTTTGTCTACTAACAATGATCTATAATAATGTACGTGAAAATCTATAAATATGTGTTGATTTCCATAATAAACTATCTGTTGCTTGATCCTTGTCTTCTGTCATTACATATATACATATTATTTTAAGTAATGCATTTTTTGAGGACACATTTTACCAGTATATGATTGGTCTATCGATTTCTTTGTTTATTATATAATTACGATTGTACATCAGCTTATGGGAATGGATCATCGTAAAGAAAATTTCTTTTTCCGGATTTCATCATGAGCTGACATTAGTTAGAAAACCATTGGAAAACCTGGGAGTACTGGACAACTGTTTTGTCCCAGTTTGGGACTCTTCAGCAGTACGTACCCACCGGGATTCGAGCCCAAGACCTTCCGGTTACAAGGCGAGCTCGTATACCATTTAGCCACTGTGACCCAATCCAATGGTCCTTGAATTCTAACTTCTGCCAATTCACAACATAGCGCGACCGATAGCCAATGCCTTCGGCGAGTATTTGTCCTCACACCCGACCTGCTGCACTCTACTGGTTACGACTTCCCACTGGAACCCAAGTAACTAGCTACCTGAATAGGGCCAGTCACCAGTGAGCATCTCATTGGTATTCAAGTGTTGGTTTGTAGGGATTTGATTGGTTTTCAGGATTTCATCATGAGCTGACAAGGACCATTGGATTGGGTCCCAGTGGCTTAATGGTATACGAGCTCGCCTTGTAACCGGAAGGTCCAGGGTTCGAATCCCGGTGGGTGCGTACTGATGAAGAGTCCCAAACTGGGACGAAAAAGCTGTCCAGTACTCCCAGGTTTTCCAATGGTTCTCTAACTAATGTCAGTTCATGATGAAATCCTGAAAACCAATCAAATCCCTACAAACCAACACTTGAAAATTTCTTTTCCTCGCTGTTTACGTCTTTTTTTTTTAAATTTCTAATAAGAATCTTGAATCAATTCCACGATTACCCAACTTTTGACGTTTGTATAGTGTTTATCAACAACTAATGCATTATACAGTAGCCTACCTCAAGACAAACTGCGTGTTTTTTGAAATTTAAGCGATTGAACTATCACTCTGGATTTCTGAGCAATCAACATACATGACGTGTGTTGTTATATGTCATCTTACCAACTGAAGAACACTAGCAGGCTACCAAAATACTTAATAATCTATTATTTCACTTGTTTACGACTAATCTCATCACCAGTAGTAGCATGACCAGGATGATTAAATTTAAACCCGACCGAAAGCTGCTACCTTGACGTGGTGGTCGGGCTTGAACACCGCAATGACCTAATCAAGCTATACTGGCTGAGACTTATGTCTCTTGAGGTTCTACCATGCCAGGCAGGTTGTTTGGATAGCGGTTAAACAAAAAGCAGCTACCCAATCCAACATCATGTCCAATACAAAATTACAAAATTTCATGCCGGATCGGCCGTGGCCCGGATTAACAACGACCGCGCTTCCTGCTGCCGTGTCACAGGGCGGGAGTGATAAATCTGCTACTGAGACACACCAAACAAAAAGAACGAACAAAAACAGGCCGCGTGTGACCGGCCTCAAGCAGTTGTCCCCTGGGCTCTGCGGTCACGCAACCAACTTCCACGGTGTGGGCAGCCGGGAAGTAACAATCGCCCTCACAATCCGAAATGCACACGAAACCTCTCTATTACTCACTCATCTTTGTCTTCATCTTCATCTCTATCATCTTGCCTTCCTTCCACTGATGCAACTCCTCGACTTGATAGCTCTCCACTTCCTCTCCACTCTGCGTCCACTAAAAACGATGGAAGCCAAAAAACCACCACCGACAGCCTCTTAAAGCCGCGCCACCAATTTCATATAGGAGCTCTTAATGTTAGGACACTTTGCCAAATAGGACAACAAGCATCACTAGCCAAGACCCTGGCATCACGAGCCATTGATGTATGCTGTGTTTCAGAAACACGCATACAAGACCCAAGTGTGGTTATTCACCTAACCCCACCTGGCCAACAGGTTGAATCTGCAAAATTCACCCTGAGGGTGTCAGGAGATGCCACAGCTAGTTCACGAGGATTAGCTGGCGTAGGGATAGCTTTGAGTACTAGGGCAGAAAAGACATTGCTTGACTGGATCCCGGTAGATAGCCGAATGTGTGCTGTCCGCCTGAACGGATCAGTAAGAAGGAGGAAGGACTGCACTACTCGCCGATGCCTTTTCGTAATCTCCGCCTACGCCCCCACTGACTGCAGTTCAGATGAAACGAAGGATGAGTTCTACCAAAAGCTGTCTAGTTTGGTGGAAAGGCTAAACGCTCAGACATAGTCGTTCTAGCTGGTGACTTTAACGCTCAAGTAGGGAAATTGTGTCAATCTGAGAAGGATGTCGGTGGCACCTATGGAGTTCCGTGCCAGCGAACCGACAACGGTGACCGTCTCCTACAGTTCTGCTCTGATAATCATTTGTTTCTTGTAAGCACTAACTTCAAACACAAGGAGAGACACTGTTTGACTTGGAGACCCCCTTCATCAAACCAACGCTGGACACAAATAGACCACATAGCAATAAGCTATCGTTGGCGTGGGTCGGTAGGAGATTGTCGCTCCTTCTGGAACACGTGCGTAGATACCGACCATGCACTGGTCCGCGCTCGGGTGTGCTTACGACTGAACGGACGTAGGAAACAGCTGGCGGTAAAACCATCACGTCCCCAGCTCGATCAGGAAACTAAATCCGTATTTCAGGAAGAACTAGCTAAACACATATCTGTGTTCGACAGCTGTGCTCACCCTGAAGAAGCTTGGAAAAATATCCAGGCAGCCATAGATACAGCTGTAAAAGCTGTGAATAAGGTAAACCCAAAGGTGAGTAAAAACCACTGGATCTCCACCGCCTCATCCGAACTGATAGATGCTAGAAGACTTATTCCGGCGAGCTCCGAATTCAATGAGGAGCGAAAGCTGCACAAGAGGAAACTTACGAAAAGTCTCCGCAAGGACCGTGAACAGTGGTGGGCGACAAAAGCCAAAGAGATGGAGAAAGCTTTGAGGATAGGCAACACCAGGCAACTCTTTGGACTCATCAGGGAAACGGGTGGGAGAAGACAAATCATTAGTGAGACAATCTCGGAAAAAAATGGCACTATAATTAGCTCACAGGATAGACGACTGGATCGTTGGAAAGAGCATTATGAGGAGCAGTTTAATTTGCCCACAGCCACGCTCAACCTTCCGAGCATCCAACACCTCCCTGAATGGGATATAGACACAGGTCCTCCGTCACTAACTGAGGTTACTAAAGCTGTCACCAATCTGAAACTAGGCAAAGCAGCGGGACCTGATGGAATGACTCCAGAGGTATTTAAGTACGGTGGAGACAGCTTACTGTCCGGATTAACTGAGGTACTAGGCAGCGTCTGGGAATCAGAAGAAGTCCCATCGGGTTGGTGTAAGTCACTGATTATCCCCATATACAAGAAGGGAGACAAGTCTTCCTGTGATAATCACAGAGGGATTAGCTTGACTAATATAGTATCTAAAGTCTTAGGCTCAATAATCATGCGTAGACTGAGTGGTGCTCGGGAAGCACAAACACGAGAGAGCCAGGCAGGCTTTAGACCAGGAAGAGGGTGTATTGATCATATCTTCACCCTCCGACAGATTCTAGAACATAGGCATTCCTACCGGCGTCCAACAGTCATTATATTTCTTGACCTAAAGGCAGCATTCGACTCTGTCGATCGGGAAGTTCTCTGGAGATGCTTGGCTGTAAAGGGAATTCCGAGAAAATATATTGCACTGATTAAGGCACTCTATTCGTACTCATACAGCCAGGTGAGGGCTTACGGCGAGCTGTCATCTGAACTGATGACGACCAGTGGTGTCCGTCAAGGATGCCCATTATCTCCTTTTCTATTCAACTTCATCATAGATGTGTTAATGGACTTAACCCTAGGTGACTTCAGCGACTCAGGGATTGACTTGCTACCTGGGAATAATCTCGTTGACTTGGAATATGCAGACGATATAGTCCTTCTAGGCGAAGACGCTGACGAAATGCAGAGTCTTCTAAACACCTTGAGCCGCAATCTACGAATGTTTGGCATGCGATTCGCTCCCGCCAAATGCAAGATGATGTTACAGGACTGGACTACATCGACGCCTAGTTTAAAAATAGGAAGTGAAGTGGTAGAGCACGTTGACCGCTTCACTTATTTGGGAAGTACCATCAGCCCCAACGGGCTGATCTCTGACGAAATCTCAGCACGAATACAAGGGGCTCGTTTCGCATTTGTTAGTTTACGCCGACTCTGGCGTAGACGAGATGTTCGACTATCGACCAAAGGGCGGGTGTACTGCTCATCAGTCCGCTCCGTCCTCCTTTATGGTTGTGAGACCTGGCCACTGAGAGTGGAAGACATGAAAAGACTAGCTGTCTTTGATCATAGGTGCCTGCGTTCTATTTCCCGTGTAAAGTGGCATAATAAGGTGAGCAACATGGAGGTTAGGCGTAGAGTTCTAGGTAAACAGGGGAAATCAATCGACGAAGTCGTGAAGCTACAAAGACTGAGATGGTTAGGACATGTGTTACGTATGCCAAGCCATCGCCTCCCTCGACGAGCTATGTTAGCGGATATAGGGTCAGGCTGGAAAAAAGCTAGCGGCGGTCAAACAAAAACTTGGCATCAGTCAATGAAATCCACAACAGTTGGTCTAAGCCACGTAGGAAGGTGTAGACTTCCAGGCTGGGGTCCTCGGGACGGTAAAAATCTATGGTTGGAAACAATTGGTGACATGGCTCAAAATCGTTCTCAGTGGCGCAGATGCATCCACTCCCTGTGACTTATGATCTTCAATGAAACTGTTTTGTTTTTCTTTATTACTCCTTTGTCTCACACCTCTGCTCACTGTTTCTATTATGCTTTTCTTGTACTTTCTTCTCTTGCTTCGCGTGCTACACGGAATGTGGCGACTTGAACTTCCGCACATTTGTGCAAAGTTCTATGTCGAAAACAGACAGATTAAATTTAAAAGGTCACAGACTCGGACCCCGCTCCACGCACCCTATCAAGCTTTGCGTATCACACTAAACTTCACACAGTAGGTTCGTTTGCATGGCCACTAGCTGCATGGAATTGCAAATGGTTGTTGAGTAACATTACAATTCACTTCATCTTTGAACTGTCTGATACAAAATGAGCTAAATTTTCAACCGAGAACCTTGTGCACAAAAGTGATGCAGTTCAATTTGTGCTAGCATTTCATATAAGCACAGCTAAGAGTAGAGTAAAGAGAGGGATTGTAGCGAAACTGTGTAATCAACAAAAATGTGTGGGAGTATCGCCAAGTCGTTGGCATTTAGTGTACCGAGGACGCCAGCCACATAGTCTATAATTCTCTTTCTCTCTCTCTCTAGCTCTAGTTGGAACTTTATTGAATGGTGCCATATTTTGGTCGGACCACCTTCAACTCCTCCCCAACACACAGTTCTATATCGGCTGGTATTATTCGTCGTTGAATGCGATGGTGAGGCATGCATAACAGACGCCTGATCCATCTTAACTGATGTCAGTCCACAAATCCATAAGGTTAACCTTCTCTCTTTACATGACATTCAAGAGTCTATCTTCAGTATTTCTTACCAGATTATACTGCCATGTCAATGAACAATAATAACTCACGAATTGACATCACTTAGAGAACCATCGCAAAACTCAGGAGTACTTTATAGTTGTTTTGTTCCAGTTTAGGACTCTGCAACAGTGTGCACTCACTAGGATTCGAACCCACAACTTACCGGTTGAAATTTATGGGCCCTTAGATTGGGGTCCCAGTGTCTGAGAGGCCTACGAGCTTACCTGATAATCGGAAGGTCCTGGGGTTCGTATCCTAGATGGTGCATACAACTTAAGAGCCCCAAATTAGGAAGAAAGTCATCCAGTAGTCTCAGGGTTTTTAGTGGTTCTATTACTTATGACCAAACCTATAACCAATCAAACCCTGCGAACCAACAACTGATAATAGAAAGATGTGTAAAATTTAATTCCCCCTAAAGGAAGCATAAAAAAATAATGAGAAAAAAGACAAACCAACCAACAAACAAACAAAAGAAAAACAATACTAACCTCATATGAATCTTGACGAAGTTCTTGTTTTTCAATACCTGGACCTCTAGTTGCCTTATGATCTAATCGACGATGTACTTGATAGTCTGATTTATTAGTAAAATTCAATCGACATGTTGGACAACGACGAAGTTGATGTTTTATTTGATGCATACGTAAATGTTGCAGGTAAACTTGTGTTTGTCCAATACCTAAGCCTAATGCAATCGAATTAACACCACCTGAGGATGACATTGATTGAACATTTGAACGTGCGTCAGATGGTGTGAATATGCGTAGACAATAAGTACATAATAGATGATTAGAACCATCGTGAACCTTTTAGAAGTTAAAAAAGAAATAAAGTATGTTGTTAGTATTCTTCATTGTTATTACAACATATAAAAACAATTCGAGTTTTCTAGTGTGACGTGTCTAGTCCTCTCATCGGTGCAGACTAAATTCTATCATTGAGGCTTTTGCAATGTGGCCACCATTCTAGGTAGCTCACCATCACGGTGCACATTGATTTGATATTACATAGGTGGAGGCAATCGGACACAGGAAGCCTTGCCAGGACCTAGGTTTCGTTCTAGTTGGCAGCAAGGTGGCGTATCTGCAACCTTGAAGGCAGGAACTCTTGTCCCTTCTGGGATTCAAACCCACGTCACCCAGAGAATACTGCAGTCAGAGACGTTACAATTGAGCTAATCAGGCTCGTGATTGACCTCCTGTAGGACTGTAACCTTCACTAATATGTATATATAACTGTAGAAACTGAAGAAGCAATTGAAAGGAATGTTGTTTATTCCCTTCAAGCCTATCTTAGATCTACTCACTATCATTCAACAACCCGATCCTCTTGTCCTCATTCATTACGTCTACAGTTGGTAGGCAGGAGAGGACATAACTCGGTAGCTAGTGTGCGATGATAGACGGACAACAACGCAACATTCCTTCACACGTGACTGCAGTAGAATGATAACCCGGTCTGTCTGTTTTCGACATAGAACTTTGCACATATGTGCACCAGTTCGAGTCGCCACACTCTCCTCCATGTAGTACACAAAGCAACAGAAGAAATGCATAATAGTGACAGTAGACAGGGATATGAGACAAAACGAATAGTAATATCGAAGAACAATATAGTTCTATTGGGTATAATAAGCCACAAGGAGTGGATACATCTGCCCCAGCCATCATCACTGAGAACGATTTTGAGCCATATCACCGAGTTTCTCCAGCTTTCATTGGTTCTTACCGTCTCGAGGACCCCAACCACGAAGTCTACACTTTCCTACATGGCTTAAAATAACTGTTGTGGATTTCATTGACTGATGAACCCGTGTTTTGGTTTGATCACCACGTGCTAGCTCTTTCCAAACTGACCCTATGTTAATTAATAATGCCCATTGTCGAAGAAGGCGATGGCTAGGCATATCCAACACATGTCCTACCTATCTCAGTCGATGTAATTTCACAGTCTCGTTGATCCACTTCCTCTCCTTACCTTACAATCAACAGATGCCTAACCTCAATATTGCTCCCCCTATTACACCAACTAACACGGGAGATAAAACGCAGGCACCTATGATCAAAGACAGCTAGCCAGTCTTTCATGTCTTCCACTCTCAGTGGTCATGTCTTGCTCACAGACATAAAGGAGGAGCGGATTGCTGAGCATTACACCCGCCCTTTGGTCGATAGCCAGCTACATATCACGTCTACACCAGCGACGGCGTAAACTGGCGCATGCGAAACTAACCCTCACTTTATCCGTGCTGAGATCTCATCAGCGATCAACCCGTTGGCACTGGCTGATGCAACTTCCTAAATAAGTGAAGCGATTAACACTCTCAGTTACCGCTTCACTTCCCTGTTTCTAAGCTAGGAGGCAGTGTAGTCTAGTCTCATAACATCATTTTACACATTTGACGGGAGTGAATCGCATGCTAAACATTCGTAGATTGCAGCTCAAGGAGTTCAGGAGATTGTGCTCCATTTTGTTAGCGTCCTCACCTAGAAGGAACTATTAATAGGTATGACACACAACAATAAGACAAGGAGGAAAATCAAACTTTTCCAACAACAACAACGACAAGAAAAACACACACATGCATAATCAGCATATACCTTTTTAAAATGATCCAATATATCTTCATACATTGATGACCGAAATAGGCATAAACGACAAACATACGGCATTTCACACTGACGATGAGTTGACTGGAGATGATGGGCCAAGAGGATTTCATTGACAACTGCTTTACCACAAATACGACAACTTGGTGTATTAGTAATACCGTTTAGATTTGGTGCTAATATCATAGTACCACTATTGTTGCTGCTATCAACATTACCACCAACACCATCACCGCCAGCACTTGCACCAGAAGGATCATCAGGATTATCTCCGCCACGTTGTGCTACTACTAACTGAGAAGCTACCTGCCCACTACTGGCAGTCAACTGGGATTCATTACCAGTTGAATTTGGATCACTGTTCGGCACAATATGCTCCTACGATAGGATGAAAAAAGTCAAAGCAAAGAACAAATAAAGTCAATTAGAGCATTTCAGAGGAGTCAAAGTTATTTTTCAATGCACAGCTTTTTTAGAAAAAGAGCAAAACTCACTCCCCACAAAATGATATAAATCAAAAAAGAGAAACAGGCGAAATGGAAAGAAAAATTTTTTTGGTTTCAGGATTTCATCATGAGCTGACAGTGGTTAGAGAACCATTGGAGAACCTGGGAGTACTAGACAGCTGTTTCGTCCTAGTATGGGACCCTTCATCAGCACCCACCGGGGTACCCTGATAAACTACATTATAAATGCCTTTCAGAAATAAACTAGTACAGTCGATGGTGAGTAGATAGACTTCAGTCTTCCTCTCAAAATGATTTCATATAGCCACATACTCATAGTGTGACGAGAGGACAAGGACCAGGCAACAGATCGTTTATTAAGGAAATCAACACATATTTATAGATTTTCATGTACATTATTATAGATTGTTGTTAGCAGAGAAACAGCGTCTTTTGATTGGTTGTTTCTCACTGAAAGTTAATCTCTCATCTGTTTGTGACTGTTTCTTGACGGTCAGATCACCTATATGTTAACTGGATCCGCCTACGCAAAGTCTGCTGTGATTAGTTGTTGAATCAGTCTTTGTTCATATTTTTCTCACAAACAATATTGGGGACGTAAACATTGACGTAGATTACTGTCTACCAATTTGGCTAGCAACCAGTTCTCCCAACAATAGTTCTGTTTCTCTTCAAGCATGAGGGGAGGTGGGAATATTCTCACACATGTGAAAGAGTGAATGCAAATATTCGGTGCTTATCACTAGACTTAGTGGACATAGGGGTTCATCCAGGAAAGCTGGAAAACCCTAATCGCAAAACCTACGATATACATTAGCTCAACAATCCCCTAATCGATCGAATGAATGAAGTAAGAAGCTGTTTTGACCACGGGAAACCACAAGGACACAACTCCTGAGGCTACTATGCTTTGCTATTCACGACAACTGCCTGCTTCGGTTTGGATGTTAGGGTAGCTACCTCAGCCGTCGGACGCACTCACAATACTGTAGATAGCAGTTACGACTTAGGACTAGCTCCAAAGAAAGATGCAGATGTTCAGACGGCAGTACTCCGACTCACTAAGATGCATAAGTGACCCTCATAGGGCTAACCAAGACGAAACTACTCTGCATAATATGACACAATGCATTCTACAGATATTGACGATTCAATGTAAAGGTGTATTAGTAGAACAGTTCGATTAGAAGTTTTACATATTCTGCCTTCTACAACCAGATTACATCACAATTTTCTGTCTTTAAGGCCTATTAAAAAAATTAAGGAATACGATGTCGTCATGGCGGTACAACAAAATCACTGACCGATTTGTAGATATGTAACACATTCCAAGAGAGAGCGAATTACATTTGAGCATTACATTTGTCAAATGCAGCTAGCTACGAGTCTCACAGGGATTGAATGCATTGCCTTTCAGTTCTTTTGACAATAATAATAATAATAAAAACAATGATAACAAATAATGAAATAAAACTTCAACTCACCTTTTCAATATGATCTCTTAAATCAAATGCACACGAAAATGTCTGCTGACAAACTGAGCATTGTGTTGTATCAGCTGTGTCTAAACACTCTTGTGATTCTTCATCAACATGTCCAAGTATGTGTGACATTAACTTTGTATTTGAATAGAATATTCTTTGACACACAGCACACTTGAATCGAAAATCACTTTTCTCTTCAACATAATCAGTGTTGCCGCTTTGACGTCCAAAGTAGTACTTATCGAGTGGAATGTATTCAACTAAATTATGAAAGATTTTATACATGGGGAGAAAATATTATTAATAACAACACAAGGTGCATTCTAAATGTGATGTCTAGTGTTTTCTGAAGAACAGGATAGGTTAAATAGAAATGTAAACTACTTATCCAACTTATTTAATTCAATTTTAGATTTTCCCATCGATTGATTGGACCGAAGTGCTCCGTCTCTGGTTAACATGTCGGCTTCTTGTGCAGATGCTTCGACGATGTCTGGGTGCACCTGCATTCCTCAGTGAGTGTTGATTACATGCCCAGACATCATCGAAGCACCTGCTCAAGAAGCCGACGTGTCAACCTAGGACCGAGCACTGCGGTCCAACCAGTCGACGGGGAAATCTAGAATTCAATTAAATAAATAATATGACCCGTCGCACAAGAGGTGGCTCTCGTAGTCTAATAGATAACGCTTTGGCGTTTGAAACTATGGACACTAGGTTCGACTCTCGATGGGAACATCATCACTCACTGGGAAATGCAGGCATATCCAGATGACAAGTTCTGAGTAGGACGTGCGTCGGTGGCACAATGGTTAGGACTCTCACCGACCATGCATATGGTCCGAGGTTCGATCCCCTGCCGACGCACACCTGATATCTATGGTCGGCTTGCAAAATTTGGGCTACCGATATCCATACTGAAAATTCCATACTTGTACCAAAAATACGATGTGGAATCAAGTTGTAATCAAAAATAAAAAAATAAAATAAATAATGCGCGTCCTGGATTCCACTCCTAGTCTCCACCCACCATTATCAAATTGTTTGAAAGAAAGTCGACTATTACTACTAACTACTAGTTAAAATAGAGATTTCGTTACGAAGATACCAACATCATTGAAAACTTGGATAGCTGTTTCGTCCGAGTTTGAAACTTTTCATCAGTGCACACTCACAACCTCTGTCACAGATTGAATCCTGAATCTTCAGGCTAAAATGCAAGCCCGTTAACCATTAAACCACTTGCTAGGAATTCAACAGCCCATGAATTTTAAGAATGCGAGTGTAGTGTGATGCATTGGATGCATTAATGGTTTTGAAAGTATATTGAAATCTATAAGGATTTTTACTAGGTGAATACAATTCAACAATAATTTACTAGGTCACGGCAGTGGTATATAAGCACTGAAATACATAGTATTATTATTCATCTGTTTAAAATCATTTTGTTGTGTTCGTCAAGCATTGTTAAAACCATTAAATGATGTTACAAAATTCTCCTACTCCTCTCGCCTACTTCACGAAATGTGTCATCCATTTTGTCTGATGTAAGTATATTCCAAAGAATAATGTTTTCTTGTGTATTTTATACGTGGGTGCAATTTAAGAAAGCATTGATGAATTTACAAAGGCAATAATTAACTTGTTCATCATTTCTTTGGAAGAAATCAAACACATTCTGCCGGGTTGCTTCAAGTCGTAAAAATAATATGAGTATGAGTGAAGTATGAATGCACTTTTAGAGGTCATCGTGCTGCTAGAGGTGCTGGCCTGAAGGAACAAAGAGTAAGTTAGTTGCGCATGTAAATTTTAGAATTTTTAAGGTTCAAAAGTATTTCACGTCAGTCAATATTCACAGTACGGCATACACCTGGAGGATACAAGATAGCAAGTTACAAAACTGTACATACAATCCATGCACAGCAAGTTTTGTCTACCAATCTATCTAGACGTCGTCAACTGTCATTGGAGGAAATGACAGTTGTACAACCGTTCATTGAAAGGAACACTGATGTCCATGATGAAATATAATGGATTTATTTATTTTATTTTTTGATTACAGCTTGATTCCACACCGTATATTTCGGTAGAGGTATGGAATTTTTGCAGCATGTGATATCGGTAGCCCAAATTTTGCAGACCGACCATAGATGATATCAGGTGTGTGCATCGGCAGGGGATCGAACCTCGAACCATATGCATGGTCGACGAAAGTCCTAACCACTGTGCCACCGACGCACATAGAGCATGAGAGATTGGGTAAAGCTATCCTATATGATGATATTAGGAATATGCGAGCTAGGATGAATAAAAATAAGTCTTATCAAAATAAATGTGACAATAGAATAGAAATAAATAGTTTACAAGACCTGCTTCTTCGACTGAGGCGCAGACATGTGCAGTTAGTGTTCTGCATGACAATACAGGTTTCGTCTCAAAAATCATTTTCACTCGTAGTGATGTATTAGACCGCTCTCATAAGTTTCCAGGAGTGGTTGGAATTGATTGCACTTATTACACGAATAAGATGGGGTAAGTGGCAGTACAAGGTATAATTTCTTTTCTAAATTTATTACAGACGGTCTTTATTTCAGTCTGTTGTGACTGATGGATTTAGAAGAGGAAGGAGTGTTTTATTAGCTCTTACTAGGAGGGAAAGGTTTGTAGATATCAAGGAGATCTTGTAAACATTTAAGAGATTTATAAGTGATACATCCAAAACAGTAATATTCACTGTCGATTGTGTAAATGCACAGATGAATGATCTGGAGGAGGAATTCCCTAGATGCAACATTGTTTTTTATGTCTTTTCCATGTATGCCAGCTGAAAAGGTATTTTTACGTAAAGGCGATCCGCTGGAACTGACGTTGTGGATAATATGGAGGTGGATTGACCACACAACCATACGTAAATTACGTGAGTGCCATTGGATGCTTAGTAAATATTACAATAACGATGTAAGTTTCAAGATAATTTACGATTTTTCCTAGGCACCTACCTCGATGCAGCCTATATTACGGTTCCTCATACCGTTTGCTGTCAAGAAAGTTGCTTTAGACTTGCAAAGGCATTTTCTCTTCTTCCATTCAATATCCTCCGCATCATTTAATTACGCAGAAGATAGTCACGCCTTCTTCGTAAACAGGAATGAGGCTAAACGCACAGGTTGGATATAGTTTGCGCATATAGTTTGTCATGTAAGCATGTTGTGATGAGTTTCTTGCATTTACATCTAATCTGTGATATGTTCCCTTTCCTAAAATGTTGCTCATAGATATTCTGACAGATAGCGAGAAGTGGACATATCAGTATAACACCAAAGTTACAACTCAGAATTAGCGAGATTTAATTCAGCATTATAGTAAGTTTGCGAGACTGCAATTAAATTTTATTTTGTGCTATGAACGGTATACTATCTTAGCCTAGTATACGCGAACTAGCTCAGTGATTGCTGATCTTTTATTATTTTTTACTTATTTCCTTCACGTTCCCATTGGAACATAGGGCTTCAAGCTGGAGGCTTGAAGTTTCTGTAGCAGTGTTTATTTCTTACAGGATGGGAGTGCTAGCCTCATTATTTATTTATTTGAACGCATAAAAACTTGGTACAATATGGCACCAAAAAGGATGCGCCACACAATAATAATAAAACCACATAGATCAAAAGAAAAAAGAAAGAAAGAAGAGAAAAATACCTATAAGTAGAGAACGGATAAAGAACTTCATCTGGAAGGAAAACAGTCATGCTTAACAAGTTCAAACAGTATTTGTTAACTATCATCGGTAAGGGAAGAAAGAAGGAAATTGCAACACGTGTAGTAGCACGCGACGAGTTTCATTGATTGTTTGTTGCTTTATTCCATTCATTGTGTGAGGGCTGAGATACTACCCGTGCGCCTAGACCGAAGCAGGTGGTTTTATTAGGGGACCACCCCGAGCCTTTGACTTGGAGTCTAATCCTCAAGACAGAGGAGCAGCTTCAGGAGCTGCATTCTCATGGTTTCCGGTGTCCCATATGGGTCCACACGCCATTTCATCTGATTGGATACTGGAGCCCATGTACCCCATGGTAACTGCTTTTAGTTTAACCGCTATCCAAACAACCTTCCTGACATGGTAGGACCTGCAGGGACAGAGTCACAGTTAGTTTTGGCATGTTGGGTCATTATGGTATTCAAGCCCGACCACCACGACAAGGTAGCTAGCCTCATGCCTAACCTTCCCTCTTTACCAGTTTTACCACTGGATAAGTGAGGTAAAGGAGTGCGTCGGCCGGTGATTGAACCCCGGACCATGTGCATAGTCGGCGAGAATGCTAACGACTGTGTCAGCGATGCTGATCTACTATCAGTCCACTAACTGCGAACTCCAGACTAAAAATAACCTTCATAGTAGCGTCAAGTGACAGAAATTGACCTCAACATTTTAAATTTGCAAAAACGTCGAAAAAAAACCTCTAAATTTTAATGACAAACAAATTCACGAAAACAAATAACCAGTCGACGCAGAAACTCAATCATGACCCTGAATCTGGATATGCCGTCTCTCATATAGTCAGCAAAAATGTACGGCAGAAAGAATAATAACACAGTGATACATGAAGACCTAATCGATATGGGAGATTATAACAAATAGACAATCCATTGAGAACGATTTTGAGCCATATCACTAAAAGTATCTAGTCATTGGTTTTTTAACATCTTCAGGATTACAGTTAGACAGATAATCTACACCTTCCTGTGTGGATCAAATCAACAGTCAAAGGCTTAAAACGCCAGGTTTTCTTTCTAACATGAAAGAATGTTAATGAAGATATGGAAAAAATAAGACACAGGAAATGTTTCTTTGCTTCTTTTCTTACCTCCTTTACCATCTTTACCCGCTTTCTTAACTGATAGTCCATGAGATGACTGGACGATTTCAATACTTCCTTCTGGACCAGAATTAATGATATTGACTTCCGGTTCGGCTACATCCTCGTCGACATCAGCAGCATTTCGAAAAACAATAGTTGGTGGTAGAAAAGTACGCAATGGACGAACAGAACCATGCAATTTTGCACGTTCACCTTCAACAAAACACTCTGAAATATGAACTGCTGGCCAATCAGAACGAATGGGTTTCTCTGAGTCTAAAAATTCATCTGGTATAGGTACATGAGCTTTAACGATAGCTACTTCACCCTCTAAAATAATTCGTTTAAAAAAACCACAACAGATATGTTATTTACCTTCAGAAATAGGGAATTCCCAATTGTTTTGTTGTAGGGTATTATACACAGATATTGCACCAGCATGCTGAAGTGCATTCAACGATTCACCAGTCAGTAAACCATGTTCACCAATTGTAACAGCTTCTTCTGTTACACAAACATTACCACAAAGTGCTAAACGACTGACTGCATCCAAAAATGTACGATATTCTCTGAAAAAAAAAAAATTGCAAAGTACAATGATATATATATACTACTTAAACTAACAGTGAGACTAGCGAATAATTTTCCAAGTGTTTATGCCTGCATAAAAAAACACAGATTTATCTGAGTGTAGATACTCTACGGGAATTTCATTGAATTGAAAACTTGGGATCCAACTTATGAGATACACAAATATATGTGCATCATGACTCCTTGTGCGGAGACTGCGAGATCATTGAATCCACGACTCGAGACGTTATCAATAGCGGTTGACAATCGAAATGAATAACAAATATACTGCAGTCTTCTGAAAGCAATACGCCGTAATGAGTGCTTCACTGGACAAAGTCGATGCGTATGCTTCTCAATTTTTCTTTTTCTCTTATATTGACCTGTTTTTGTGGCAACTTGAACTGCTGCACCTTAGTGCAACAGACGGTGTATAGAAAAACGTCAACTGGAAGTAATTTGAAGTTTTGGGCTGAAGTAGTATGGGTAAAACGGAAGAACACTACATGCCTGTTTACAACGCGAAAATTCAAACTTAGCAAGATCCTGTGTACATTTACATAATTAAACCTTTAAGCTGTAAGCAGCTTACGAGAATCCAACGAAATAAATGGTTGCCTTATATTACTTTGCACAAACATATGATTTTCTCTTGTTTAAAATATTCAGGTGAATGGCTAGTACAAAGTAGTATGCATTAAAAAGTAGACAGTAGAGCTGTGGTGTAAAAAATTCATCATGAAATAATCAACATGTGAAATGAAGCAGATAGTGAGGCATATAGTGAGAAGAGATACCACTAATAATAAGTCAGAATAGTATAAATGGGAAAATGTATCCGCCACATAACTGGCCTTTATTGTGACGATACCAAATATTATATTTTATAATTGTAAGAACGTGAAGAGAATTTTGTTGAAAAGAATATTTTTTGTTCAGATTAGCCTTTAATTCATAATACGGGAATATTCCACAGTAATCTTTTAAAAAATAAGCCATAGGTTCAACTCTCTGCGCTGACTTCAACCTCGGAAAACAGGCAGTATCGGCTCTCTTTCACAGCCTGATGCACGCAAATTCTTTAAAGACTAAGCTCAACCAAATAAAATAAAAAGTAATAACTTTTGAAACCTTTCATGAACGACTATTAGTGCAATTTGCAAGGATTCAAACAAGCTTTTGACGTCCATGCTGAGATTTAAACCCCCAAAAACTAAAGTTAATTTTGTCTTCCGACTAAGCAGAAAATTTAGTCAGGTCGAACGTCACAGTCAGACGTAAATGGTAGACAACCAATTTAAAATCTCACGCTCTGGGTGTAATGAGAAACACTGTGCTCACACAAATGACTACAAGCTCTTCTGAAAGGGACCTGTAAGGCAATCAAGAAAATCGCCAAGTCGACTGAACCTCCGCTGTTCCCCCGTTAACGACCAATTTGTTTGTTTGTGAGGACTGAAAAACATAGTGGACAAGATTATTTTCGAGGGACAGGGGCTCAGCGGCAGAGTTATGGTGTGATTGTGCATGTGTATAATCTACTACTTTTATTATGGCTAATTAATACACTGTTGGACGGTTATATTCTCCCGTTCTCAGTGGCGCAGATGCATCCACTCCCTGTGACTTATGATCTTCAATGAAACTTTTGTATTTCTTTATTACTCCTTTGTCTCACACCTCTGCTCACTGTCTCTATTATGCTTTTCTTGTACTTTCTTCTCTTGCTTCGCGTGCTACACGGAATGTGGCGACTTGAACTTCCGCACATTTGTGCAAAGTTCTATGTTGATAAACAGACAGACAGACATATTCTCCCTAAGCCAGTGTTAAGAACAACCTGGCTACTTGGCTAGCTGGCCAGGCTACAGAGTCAGTAGGTATTATGGCCAGAGCTCAGGTAGAGCAGGATAAATGACCACACAACAATCGCAAGAGTCGTTTATAGTTGGAGCCGATAAGAAATGAGTTTGAATTCGTTCAAGCAGTGTAGCTAACAGGTTTCCCAGATCCTACTAGGTCGAATGTTTTTAGACAAAATGCACCAAAGAGCTTCTGTGGGTCATATCACGTAAATTAACTTCACTAAAAAGATAGGCTTTCAGAATACAAAACGACGTTTAAGATACAGTGAATATTCATTTTAATACTAAAAATGCATTACGAGGTAATTTTACCGTATCTCTATAGTGATGCAAAAGCTGGCCTCAGTTCCACATAGAAGTAGTTATAGACACATCAAACCAGTGTATTCCCTATTTTTGCAGCGCATATGCGAAATATATTACTGAGGGAGAGTTTCGATTTCAAGAAGAAAATGCCAAAAAATCAACATTCTGTACGCCTTACCAACTTTTCCATATAAAGCAATTGCATCTCAATGCATAATCATTAATCATTACCGCCACCACACGTGCATATCAACGTCCTCCTTATCAACCGATTTTTCACATAAAAGTCAACAGTAAAATCTACGAGACAGTTGCAACGAGGAGTATGACTAGCATCCATTCAAAATGCTGAGGTATCTCATTGGCCGAATCAAGGTCTTTTGAGTATGGTGTCGATTTTTTACTTGCTCAGAAGAGGAAAGAGGAACTTCATTTACGATGTGGTGAGAAGTTTACCAAAGTCAAAATCGACTGCTTCTGACTGATAGTACCTCGAGGTACTATCCATGCCATGAAAAATTATGGTTATAACTTACTGCAGGCGCGTTTGATAGGCTTTTAGTTGTGCATCTGACAAAGGTTCATCGTCACATATAAGTGACAATGTCGTATAAGACTTTTTTCTCTCTTCCGATCGGTAGGGCAATGCAAGATAAGGTTGAGACATTGTGACCTTGAAATGAATGTGTCAGTTTAAACAAACATATAAATTCACTTGTTGAAAATAATTTTTATGTGGTTATTCTTAAATAATAATTTGATATTCTGTGAAAATTTTGTTTCTCAATTGGGAAACGCGCGGTTTTTGAACCTGGTTTGTTACATACCTAGAAATGGTTAGAGAACTAAGCCTAGCTTCTGACCCTGTGATACTGCATATATGGTCATGCTTGCATAATTATGCATACAGTGATGCTCTTTTTGCAGCTGAAAGGTTGTACGCTGAAACGCACAACAGTGAAAGTTTATACATGCTGGCGACCAGCTTATATAAAATAGGTCGGCCCAGACAAGTCAATAAATTGCTCAATTCTGCTAAGTCCCTACCTCCCAAGAGTCGGTGAGTTTGTCAGATAAACTTTTATCTGCGTCTTAGGTACTTGCTCGCAAGATGTTACTTCGATATTGGGTCACTTACGGAAGCTGAAGAAGCCCTATTATTAACCGGTCTTTCTTCAACCTCATTAGATGAAATTATCAAAGTTTACGAAGAACAATCCTGCTATGTACTGCTGTTACTTGGAGACATATGCAGACGCCAAGGGAGGATTAGTGACGCCATTGCCTACTATAAGAAATGCCTCGAAGTAAATCCTCTAATGTGGTCTGCTTTTAAAAACTTGTGTAACATTGGCGAGTATGTCGATCCTTCCTCCACTTTCCAATGTCCGGACGAACTGTGCCTCAATACGCCTGCGTATGCTGTTGTACTAGACAATTTGCACAGTACGCATTGTGTTAATGATAAAGCTGCTCGAGAAAATGTGAATCCTCAACTAGCATCTAACCAATCGTCGCTATCCTGTGCTGACTTTGAGGAAAATTCCCAGGAATTGTATCATGACGCAAATCAGCTGTGTGATTTCCAACGCAATTTTGTTTCCTTCTGTTCTAAAAGCTACGTTGAAGACTTGGCACCTTCAACCAAGTCGGTCGACCTTCATACTCCAGACGAATTCGTTCCTCTTGCTTTGTCTCCGAAAGCTCCAAAGGCTGTTACCGTTCGTTCCCGGTCATCCGGTCGTTGTACGGAAATGAAGCCTCCCGTTTCGGCTTACTATCTTTTTTCCCACAAAGTCCTATGTTCGCTTGCGTTCCCGTGAGTTTTTCTTTTTTTTGCGCCTTTGAGTTTTAAAATGATATCAAGTTCCTCCACATTTCTGTATTCTTTTTTATCCACTAGCATTTTATGCAGATGTTTTTACGTCTGACTACCAGTTATGTATTTCCAAACCAAGTTAACTTTTAACAGTTTGAAAAAGTTTGGACATTGGGTATATGATATTCATTATCATAAAGGTTTTCTTGTATTTCCCAATGAATGAAAAACAAAACGATATTGTTCTCGTTTTTACTGACCTTTCACTACTTGATGTTAACAGCTTTACCAAAGTATTATTAAACCGGAATTTACAAACCTCAGCACATATGTAATTTACCCATCGTTCCTCAGTACGGGGTCATTTTTCGTTCTCAAATTGGCCATTTGGTAAAGATAACAAAGCCAAGTCGGTGTAGATTGTTGGATTTGATCAGTGTGTAAAATTATACAAAAGCAATGTGTGTTTACATAATGAAATTGCTTTTCATATTCGTGTTGATTTTGTCACTTCATGGGGTGGGGTAGGTAGGTGTCGTAACCAAGTCAAATTCTGTTTTAGTCCATCATTCCTATTCAGCTCAGACAATTTGGATTCCACTTGATATGAAGTGCTTCCCATGATATTAGACGTTCTTTGGGATTTCTGAAATTTTTAAAAAATCATGCTTTGATAAACCTATTAGCATTAAAAAGCGAGACGTCATTAAAAACAATATCGTTTTGTTTTTCATTCATTGGGAAATACAAGAAAGCCTTCATTGTAATGAAGCTTACTACCAGCCTCATTATTTTGTGTTTCAAATTTATCTTACCGTTTAAGCAGCCAGTCTCTCAGAATATTTACCAGGAGTTATTGACTCCTAAGTCCTGTTAGAGGACTTCTGTGAATTGGTAATAGTAGCATGCCTGCTATTGTTCTAGTGACTAGATATTCATCAAGTTTCAGGCAATATTGTATCGCTTCTGAAGCCAGTGTGCATATATTTAACTTATTCTTCATTTTCGTCTTAGTTATATTATGCTTGTCTATACCCATATAGTCTTCTTAAACCCTGTAAAGCTTCTTATCAACACGGATCATCGTATTAGGTTGCATGAGTCTCTATTAATCATCTACATAAATATTTAATATGTTTCTAGTATATTAGCTTGTACTTTTCCTGTCGCACCAACATTGCATATCCTTTACTGACGAGAAACTGCTATTCCTGCGAGCAAATTAATAGACATTCAGGCAATTTCCACTGCAATTAGAAATCTAGTATGAGGGACTTCATGAAAGGCTACACTAAAATCTATACTAGAGTACTTCGACCAACTTTGTCTGTTCCCTAGATTAAACTCGATTATCTCTTGCTATAGCTGGGTGTTAATCAAGAAAACGCCCTAGAAACCATCCTGTTCTGTTCCAGGATTTTAAGTATACCTTTGCTGAGAATTGCATACTTCTAATTTGACTTATAGCGTGCGTAGGTGGCACAGTGGTTAGGACTCTCGCCGACCATGCATATGGTCCGGGTTTCGATCCCTGCCGACGCACACCTGATATCTATGGTCGACCTGCAAAATTTGGGCTACCGATATCCATGCTGAAAATTTCATACTTGTACCAAAAATACGGTGTGGAATCAAGCTGTAATCAAAATAAAATAAAGAAATTCTGTTAAGCCACCTAATTGAAAATTTTATTTTTTTAAGTTCATTACAACTAAACCATTGAATGATGAATCATTGCCACAGTGGCTTATTATTTCGTTTATAATTTTACAATAACTTTTCACTTTACAGATATTTTCAAAGCTTTCTGGAAATCAAACCGCTTCACAAGAGTCATTTTTATCCAGCTCTGTACGAATAGCTCCAAGTCAATGTTTACCGGTCTGGCAGTTAGCACTTAGTCAAATTGACGATGGTCAAAATGATACAGGCTGTCTTCGAATACCCAGTCAACGAAACCGTACTTCAAGCGATAACAGTGGAACTATTGATGTCAGAAAAGATCAGCAAATTACTGAATTTGAAGGTAATCAGAACCCTACGGATACTGCAAAAATGCTCAGTAGTTCTGCTAATACTTCTGTCAAGTTCACTACACCTGTTGTTACTGGTCGCCAGTCTATTGCTACACCAACCAGTGCACTTCGCAACTTAGTTTCCACTACAGCATCAAAACAGGGTATTTTCAATCATGAATCAAATAGTTATTCAACTAATATTTCATTAGTTAATACTCCTAACGCACGTATTGAACCACCCTTATTACGCAGTGCTGTTCAACGTAATGTTTGTCCTTCACCCAGCATTCATCACAACCGGGATTCTCCATTGGTACTTAGATCGAATTTGCAGTTTTTTAATCCTGCTTGTCAAAGTCCAGGCTTGCTGACTTCATCTTCAACGCCAAGACCACTTTCAAGTCAACAGACATCTACTGGATGTCGAACTGTTGAAAATACTACAGCCTCTGCAGAGGTTATTACTGGTGGACCACGAACAAGATCTCAAGTCGCCGCCGCAGCAGCTGTAGCCAGAGCTTCTGGTATACAGCGCAGGTCGAATAGATTTTTAAAAAGTCGAGGTCATAATCGCAAGTTAGATCCTAAACTGTTACCACCGGAATCTGCAGAAAACTCTGTGAGTACACAGGCGAAAGTGAACAGTCCAAACATATGTTCCACTCGTAGTCCGCCTAAAACTTTGCATTCTGCTATTGAAGATCCACCGGTTTTTGGATGCAGTAATTATTATAGGGTACCGTTGTCAGTGAGACGGCGGCATCTGCAAAAGACGATCCGCGTACACAATCACTACAACAGTATTTAAATTTACTGAGTCAACTAGGCAAAGCTTATCAGATGTTGGTACAACATCAATGGCGTTCTGCAACTCGCCTTCTTTTAAAGCTACCAAGCTCTCAACTGCAAACTGGCCGCGTTTTAGCTTGGGCAGCCCGTGCTTATATGGATAATGCGGATTATCAAACAGCTCACAAACTGTTCAGTGAAGCTCGTCGTTTAGAGCCATGGCAACTTTGTGGAATGGATTTTTATTCAACAGTATTATGGCAAATTCAAGCTGATCAAGAATTATCACAGTTGGCTCATGACTTATTGGAGCTTGATCGTAATGCTCCTGAACCTTGGTGTGCAGCAGGCAATTGCTTCTCATTGCAAGGGGAACATGAAACTGCTATTAAATTTTTCCGCCGTGCATTACAGGTAAGTATGGTTCTCCGTCCATTTGTCTATTGTTTAGCAAAATAGCTGGCCAAGATAAACTTTAAGCACCACTAACTACTAGCGGAGTGTGGCCGCACCAATGACTTTGAAACGTGCATCGAGCAAGTTGATCAAACCTGCAAACAATGCTGTCATCATCAATAAAATATCCTCATCAAAGTGTTGTGTTATTAAATGGGACATCTGGCAAGTTTCAGCTTAGGTTTGGGAAAGATTAGTTTACGCTTTAAGCCAAGGACAAGTTAGGGTTAGGTTAACTTAATTAAGGCGATATTAGGGTTAGTTAAGGCGTATTTTCACGTTAGGGCTAGGTTTAGGAAAGACTGAGTTTACTGTTAGGGTTAGAAGACCTAAATAATTACATGCATAACGTGGTTAAATTACTCTGTTGGTGTATCTATAGGAATAGAACTTGTGCACTGCAGTGGTAGAGTATAATTCCGTTGTGGGTAAAATTTATTTTGATCAAGTCTTACAGTGTTATAAAGTCATATTTACCGATGACGTTTCGAGCACAATTTATTGCTCAGGAAATATTACTGTGTTACACTGTGAAACTTTATCAAAACAAATTTTACCCATAATGGAATTATACCTTGTCGATACTCCAACCTAAAACTGAGAACTGTTTTTATCACATGTGAGAGAAAGCTATCATCTGTTACACTTTTATACAGTTTTTATGCATTGTTCATAAATATATATATTCCATAATGCCCCTTTCACGTGATTGGTGCGTTCGAGGTCATTCACTCATTGGTAGTTGATGGTGCTTAAAGTGTAACTTTGCCAAATAGTTGATAAATTTCCATATGCATAAATAACTTGTATTACTAAGAGTTAACCATAGGCATTGCAGATGGATATAAAAGTTAAAAGATTTGGCATTGCTATATGTCTTAGTAGAAGTCTCTACACTTCACATCGGTGAGCAAGTCAACAAGTCTCGGGGAAAAACAACCATAAATGATGGGATACACACGAAAAAGGGTTATTTTCAATGTCGTCAACTTTTAAAATTCGGTCGAATTTAAGTATTATTAATATTATTAAAACAAAAACTCTGTACATTATAGACATCAAGACATGCGTCACACAAAGTCTTATAGTTTGTGTGTAGAAGCTGGGATATTGCCTGGATGCCGAGACCAAAGCGTGTTGTCGTTTTAAGCGATCATCCATGAGCCTTTGACTTGAAGCCTGATCCACAAAGCAGCGTCAAGAGCTGCACATTCGATCCTTTCAGATTCTAGAGTCCATTTACATCATAGGTTTGGAATCCAAGGTTGTTTTTAAACTCTCCAAGGTAGTCCTACCACCTATCCACAAGGCGTTCGCATTCTTCCTTTCACCTTTGTGCGGAACACTACATTGTGACCGCAGTAAAGCATTTCTAGAGAAAGACCCAACCGTACTAGGTCGTTTATATAGGTGTGAAATAAAGTAGTCAAATCCTTGGATGCGACAACCACTGGTGCATTTTTAAGGTTGTCTATATATATTGAGGTATTTATTTATATGTATCTTTTATCAAGTAGGTGCATCATATTTGTATTCTAAATCGATTAAACATACTACGTGTCTGATCATAGAACATCTATGATAGCGTTGTGTGCAAATAAAGGGGAGATATCACTTAAACCCACTGTAAAAGGCAAGTAATTAAGCCTGTGATCTTTTATTCAGCTGACCATTTTCTTTTTATTCTTTCAAATTCCCAGTGGAATATAGGGCGTCAAGCCAGAGGTCTGAAGTTTCTGTAGCAAGTGTGGTGCTTGTGTTTTTTACGGGATGGGGTTGCTAGCCTCATGCCCAACCTTCCTTCCTCTTTACTGGTCTTAGCAAGGGTAAAGGAGTGTGTCAGTGGCCAGGGACCGAAACCCAGAACACGTATGGCGTGGTTGGAGAGCATTCTACTGCTGTGCCACCGACACACAAGCTGACGATTGATTTATCAGTAATTTTTTTCAGTCCTTTAAACTGGTTACTTTAATATATATATATATATATGACATGTATCCATATATTTTTTTCTTCTTTAGGTTTCACCTACCAATGTTTATTCTTGGACACTTCTTGGGCATGAACAATCAACTTTAGAAGAATTTGATCGAGCATTGGCAGCTTTTCAATTTGCTCTACGAATTGATCCAAGACATTATAATGCCTTGTTTGGTATTAGTAATGTTTATTATAAACAAGAAAAATTTGAACTTGCTGAAACTTATCTAATTCGTGCAGTTGCTTTATTTCCACAATCTCATTTACTCCTAGCTAATCTTGCAGCTTTACGTAGTCGGCTAGGTCGATTAGATGATGGTTATGGTAGTGCAATGGATTTAATTAGTCGTGCGTGTAAAATTCAACCGAATAATCCACTGGCTCGTTATCATAAAGCTTCAATTTTATATCATCTTGGACGTTATTCAGTAAGTATCTATATTTTTTGGGTGTAACAAGTTGTCATTTTTTGTATTGCTTTAAACATTGAATTCTTGACGTTAGTTGTCTCGCAAAATCATCACAGTTGTACATGAATAGCTTAGTGGTAACGTCTCTGACTGCAGATGGCACTTAATGAGGCGCGTTCGAATCTCGGAAGGGACATGAGTTCCTACCTTCAAGGTTGCGGATACGCCGCCTTGCTGACCGACTGTTGAGTGCCAACCAGCACGAAACCTATGTCCTGACAAGGCTTCCTGTGGCCGATTGCCTCCAACTATCTAATTATTTATTATTCTTGTTCCCTTGGGTTTCTGATGGAACATAGGGCTTCAACTGCACGTCTCTACTCGCTTCTGTCTTCCTTCTGCTGTACTTTCCACCTGCATCCATGTTAGTCCATACTCTTTCAACTCCTCTTCACACGATCTCCTCCATGTCGCCCTTGCACTGATGACCCGCTCGCTGCTTCCCTTTCGGGTTTCACTCGAGCGATGTCACACAGCGGCCTCCTCAGCGAGTGTCCAATCCATTTCCATTTTCTCCTGCATATTTGTTGGGCTATTGTTGTCGGTTCTTGTTCTGTTTGTTCCCATAGTTTCCTGTTGGTTATTCTTTCCGGCCTGGTCATCTGATCTTCAGCATAGAGTAAAGACAGTCTTTTGTCAATCTTTTGTGACACTGCATTTTCTTTGAATGGGAGGCAGACAAATAAACACTTTCTTCTCTTCTTCATACAGTCGGGTGTTTTTCTTTCTTATCTTATCTTCTCTGCTATACTTTTGTATAAATCCTTTTGGGTATCCATTTTCTCTAAGACATTTCTCAACGAAACCTAATTCTTATTCTACTTTGTTCAGTGAACAAAGATGGGCTTTTCTATCCTACCTTGATTTGTTCTTTCTACATTTAGATCCAGGAAATTGACCTTATTATTATTATTATTATGTTCATATTCCATGGTGAATTTGATGTTTGGATGGGTCAACTGTAATTGATATCCTCCTAGTAAAAATCCTGGGTTTTTTTTCTTGTCCAGTACACAGATCTATATATGTGTTTATTATCTAATGAATATCATGTTAACTCGTCACCAGCTATCAGTTGCAGTCTGCCTCCAAATTTAACTTTCCATACCACGAAAACCAGTAACAGTCAACTTCATGAAATGAATGATCCATGTCTTGATGTGAACACTTAGCTTGTTTAAAACTAAATTGTACTTCGCATCAGTCTATGATAGATGACGCACACATGATGCATAAATAAGGTCATATCAACATTAAAAATGCGTAGTTTTCTAAATCCTAAAACTCAAGAGAGTCTAATCTTCAAAGAAACTCAAACTTAGAATTTAATAACAAATAAACATGTGTTATAAATAATAATAGTAATTTGCTTTATTCCAAAACAGTACTTGTGATACAGAATGAAATTTTCAGGATTTCACTACAGTATTCCATCCAGTTTGTACATTAACAATAAATAAAGTTCTACATAGATTAAAGGTAGTCTCAGTTAGTTATGAGAACAGCATATTAGCATGTCGGTAGCAAAGCCACAATTGAACAGAATGTTTGAAGGTGCTAGAAAAGTAGATACTAACTGGTGTATTTACTGGCGTAAGCGGTAACAAAAAGGTCGAGATATACAGAGTGTGAGAGAACGAAGAAGAATGTTTTAAATAGAGAAAATAATCACTTCTACAATGATTATACATTATTATAATGTTGTTACATTTATTTATCTTGGTTGATATTAAAGTGGATTTCGTCCTGCCAAAGACTCATCAGCTTTTTAGTAAGTTGATGATGAAATATTTGCGCACAGATAAAAAAAGTTGGCTGATGTGGCATATGCCAACGTGCATCATCTCTGACGTAGATATGACATCCTCCTGGTTATCGATCAAAAGACGTGTGTACTGCCCAGTAGTTCACTTTTTCCTCTTTTGTGGCTGGCTGTGAGACATGGCAATTGAAAGTGAAAGGTGTAATAAATCTAGCTGTATTCGAACACAAATGTCTGCTTTCTGTTTCTAGAGTTAGGTGGTATACTATGGAGAATAATATTGAGATTAGGCATCAGTCGAGTGCTAGGTAGGGGGGAGGGTACAAGTCAGTCGATAATCTTGTAAAGCTGCATAATAATAATAATTTGCTTTATTCCAAAACAGTACTTGTGATACAGAATGAATTTCAGCATTTCCTCACCGTGTATTGCATCCAGTTTGTACATTAACAATAAATAAAATTCTACATAGATTATGGGTAATCTCAGTTAGTTTTGACAACAACATATTAACGCATGTCGGTAGCAAAGCCAAAACTGAACAGAATGTTTGAAGTTGTGCTGACCAGTTTGTTTAGGTCAGATTTATGCCCAAAGGTGAAATTGGCTGTTTGACATTTAGAGGGATTTAAGCTAAGACCGTTTTCCTTGGACCACCGGCTGATTTCTGATAAAAAAACCATTTAGTTTGGAGCAGTCACTTTGACATTTGACAGGCAAAGATACAGTCAGATCGTCAGCATAATTAACAAAATTAATGTTATTTGAAGATGGTAAGTCATGTAGAAAAAAATAAAGAAAGAAAAGAGAAGTGGGGAGAGTAGTACAGCACTTGGGGGACACCAGCTTCAGTGAACACAGCAGAGGAGGATTTACCTTTGTATATGGGGTACTGCATTCTGTTTGAGAAAGCAATTAAACTTTCAGTAATGGATTTCACCTTTTGTTCTGTTTGGCGTATTGCTCTACACACACACACACACTTGTCTCCTGCAAGCACATGATTCATTAGTCTAGGAATTAGGTCCCACTTTAGTTATTGAAGTCTTGTTAGTCAAATAGTGTTGCCAGCTTATACACGGTAAATATACGTTGTGCATATCTTGTGTTTAGTGAGTTGTTGGGAATTTCGAATCTTAGCGTGTTTTTTCTATACTTAACACTTATTCAGTGATGTCATTTAGGAGAAAAGCTTCTAATCAACTGTATATTTATTTTAATAAAGCTTTTGTATTTCCCAATAAATGAATGAAAAACAAAACGATATCGCTGTCGTTTTTACTGACGTTTCGCTATTTAATGCTGATGCTAATAGCCTTATCAAAGTCGTATTATTAAACCAGAATTTAAAAAATCCATTCAGCTTTTATATATAACAAAGAGTTAAGAGATGAGAAAATAGACTTAGGACATATTGAAAGTCAAAATAACAATGAAGATCACTAAGCCAAATAACAAAGGTAATAGTACATCTGTTTTGGTATCGAAATAAGGTTTACTAACTTGATCATCGTTCGTCAGTCTGGGGTCATTTTTCGTTGTCAAGTTGGTCAATTGGTAAAGATAACAAAACCAGGTCGGTGTAGATTTTTGGATTTGATCAGTGTGTAAAATTATACAAAAGCAGCGTGTGTTTGCATAGTGAACTTGTTTATCCCATTCGGGTTGATTTTGTCACTTCACGGGGTGAGGACGTGGGTGTTGTAACCAGGTAAAATTCTGTTTTAGTCCATCATTCCTATTCAGCTCAGACAATTTGGATTCCATTTGATTTGAAGTGCTTCTGATGATATTAGACGTTCTTTGTGATTTCTAGAATAGTTTTCCTGGATTATTTCAATATTTTCAAAATCAATTTTGTGGCCTGATTCTATAGCGTGTAGACCTATGGCTGGCTGATGATTTTTCAAGGTTTCCTAGTTCAACCGGATTTCTCGGTGGTCGAAGAGACACTCACTCCCCGGGGTTCATTTCTTCTAATTTCGATTTCTCGAGATGTTTATCCGATGTATATCGCATCAAATTCCAAGCATTCTTTTTTTAATAGACACAATTAGATAGAGAATCTTTAAGGATTTGGTCTTTTATATGGACAAGGTTGCCTTGAAGTGTGTGTGTGTGTTTGATGTTTTTAAGAAAACTCTCACTGTTTTTATTATGCTTTTCTTGTACTTTCTTCTCTTGCTTCGCGTGCTACACGGAATGTGGCGACTTGAACTTCCGCACATTTGTGCAAAGTTCTATGTCGAAAAGACAGACAGACAAGAAAACTCTAATGCCGTACTGATTGAGTACTCTTCTCTTCTGATATCGTCTGACGTCTCTGATGGTCTATATGGAATGACGACTGTTGAAGTGCATGTTTTCGGGATGCGTTTTCAGCCTTACTTTCAATATGTCTATTTTCTTACCTCTTAACTCTTTGTTATATATTTGGCGAGTGGATTTTGTAAATTCTGGTTTAATAATACGACTTTGATAAGGCTATTAGCATCAGCATTAAATAGCGAAACGTCAGTAAAAACGACAGCGATATCGTTTTGTTTTTCATTTATCCATTGGGAAATACAAGAAAACCTTCATTATAATGAATATCACATATGCCCAATTTTTTTTTGTTTCAAACTGTTACAACTGTATATTTATTGATTTTCTTCTCTTTTTTTATAATTAGGAAGTACTATCCGAGTTACAAAAGCTACTTGTTTTGACACCACGTGAAGCTATGGTCTATCTAATGATTGGTCATACCTACAAAAAACTCGGCAATACACCACAAGCTATGATTCACTATTCTTGGGCTATGGAATTAGATCCCAAAGGCGCTAATACTCATCTAAGAGATATTATGACAAATCCACCAATTACAAATCGTACATCAAATCGACAAGGTACATCAGAACCTGGAATTTGTGGTGGCGTTACCGGAAGTGTTAGCGGCAGCAGTGTTGGTGTTGGTAGTGTTGGCGGAAGTCAAAGCACTGTCAACAATTCAGCTAGAGCACATTTAGGCGCATTTCAAGCTGGTATACGTGGTAATTTTGCAGCAGAAGAACAAGAACAAGGCGAAGAAGAAGAAGAGGAGGAGGATGAAAGTGAAGTAATAGATCGTACATCAGGAACAGATGAAGAAACTATGAATAATAGTCTACTTCATCATCCATCATCACAGAGTGGTGGTGGTGGTGGTACACGTTCTAATCATCTAGTTCGTCGATTAACCGATTTCTCTTTATTGTATGAATCCGGTGCGGGTAGTTTTGGTGTTGGTAGTTATGAACAAGACTCAGTAATGTCTGATCCAGATGAAGAACACTATGATACTATGGATATTGGTGGGAATGGAGTTGATAATAGTAATAATAGAACTGAACACAGTATATCAGATGATTGAACACAGACAACAACAACAACAACAAAAAAAGCCACAAAACTATTCTCGCATTTGCAAATATAATATATGATATAATATATTAGAGTATTTATTTCCATCTCTGTTAATTGTGACAATGAAGCCCGGCCCCCCCGCCCGCCACCTCATCATCTTTTAATATGAAACAAAAAGTGACTAATCTATAATCCAAGTGCAAAACAATGTACACAATCTTATGATATTTATAATTTCATGTGGGATCGCTATATAATATAAATATATATATGATGATTATTATGATTACTGTCATTATTATTATTATTTCGAATATGAGTGTGCATGTACGGTGACTGTTTTGAGTTTAAAAAAAAGCTATTTTTTGAGTACTAGGTGTCAAAATGCACAGTCTTCTGAACATCTCAAGCAGCAATCTACAAATGTGCGTAGGTGGCACAGTGGTTAGGACTCTCACCGCCCATGCATATGGTCCGAGGTTCGATCCCCTGCCGATTCACATCTATGGTCGACCTGCAAAATTTGGGCTACCGATATCACATGCTGAAAATTTCATACTTGTACCAAAAATACGGTGTGGAATCAAGCTGTAATCAAAAATAAATAAAAATGTTTGACATGAGATTTGCCCCCAACAAGTGTAATGTAGGGTGATGCTACAAGAGTGGGCTCTATCGACTCACTCCTAGCTTAAAGATAGGTAGAGCAGTGGTGAAGCATGTTGACCACTTCACTTATTCGGGAAATTGCATCAGCCAACCCCAGTGGTTTGGTCGCTGACGAAATTTCATCACGGATACAGAGGGCTAGTTTCGCATATGCCAGTTTACACTGTCTGTGGCGTAGACGTGATATTTAGCTGGCTATCGACCAAAGGGTGGGTGTGCTGCTCAGCAGCTCGCTTCGTCCTCGTTTATGGCTGTGAGTAATACATGGCCATTGAGAGCGGAAAACATGAAAAGGCGAGCTAGCTGTCTTTGATTATAAGTGCCTGCCTTCTATCTCCTGTGTGAAGTGGTATAATAGGGTGAGTAATATTGAGGTCTAGTAATCGGTGGAGTCCTAGGTAAGGAGGAGGGGAAGTCAATTGACGAAGCTGTGAAGTTACATCGACTGAGATGGTTAAGACATGTGTTACGTATGCCTGGCGTAGCCATCGCCTTCCTCGCCCTATGGGAAATGTTAGCTGATATAGGGTCAGGCTGAAAAAGAGCTAGAGGCGGTGAAACGAAAACATGGCTTCACCAGTCAATGAAATGCACAACAGTTAGTTTAAGCCATTCACGTAAGGTGTATTCTTCTTGACTAGCTTAGGGTCCTCGGGACGATAAAAACCAATGAAAGCTGGAGACAGTCAGTGATGTGGCTCAAAATCGTTCTTAATGGCGGGTGCAGATGCATTCACTCCTTGTGACTTATAATTTCCAATGAAACTATATGGTTCTTCGTTATTACTATTCCTTTTGTTTCATATCCCTGTCTACTGTCTCTACTTTGTATTTCTTCTGTTGCTTTGTGTGCTACAAGGAGGAGAGTGTGGCGACTTGAACTGGTGCACATCGGTGCAAAACAGTTCTATGTTGAAAACAGACTAATAGTTGAAATCATGGAGATGAGACTGCTGTCAAGGATAGTTGTTTTTTAGAGTATTAGAGAAGTCATTATAAGTAGGCGTTCGGTCAGTTGTGTGTATGTCTCAGAAACCCACAGATTAGGTTGTATTATTGTTCTTTCCTGAGTAGGACATGAAACCTCTTTAGTTCATCTTCACTACTGCCATTCGGTCTTTTGTGATTACTCTACGACTAGTTCACATGATCTCTTATCCATGTCAAACCCATCGCTTACACTAAGTGGCGGGGGGAGGGCAAATGTGTATTTGATATATTTGACTATAATCCGTATCGTAACAATATGGAAAACTATTTTCATGCACCTATCTATATATGGCTTGTTATGCGTCTACGGTATAACACACACTAATTACTTGATTGTGCAATGATCTAACAAGATGTTTGTTATTAGACGCAGGTTTTATCTATGACAAACCAATACAATTTGCAATCGAATCTACGGCTTGTTTAAACCCAGTCATCACCAGGTACTTAATTCATTCATAAACCAGGCTATGAACCACATGTTATGTGATTAAGCTTGGTGGTATTACCAAATTCCGTAGATTGAAGTAGGTGCAACTGTTATAACTGAGGTGAATTGAATAAACTCCGTCGCTAGTTTATTATGTCCGCGCCTGTTAATTACCAGAACGGTAGTGAACTTGACTGGTACGTTAATTAATACATCTATTTGTCTGTTGCACCTTCCGATTGATTGAGCCACGGAAATATCAAAAGGCAAAGGCTGGCTGGCCTGTGACTGTAAGATATTGTGTTGTACATTTATTAGGGAACAAAACATCAGGTCGCGTGTGAGGACAAATACTCGCAAAAAACATTGGCTAGGGGTCGCACTATGTCGTGTCTGTCTGTTTTCGACATAGAACTTTGCACAAATGTGCGGAAGTTCAAGTCGCCACATTCCGTGTAGCACGCGAAGCAAGAGAAGAAAGTACAAGAAAAGCATAATAGAAACAGTGAGCAGAGATGTCAGACAGAGGAGTAATAAAGAAAAACAAAACAGTTTCATTGGAGATCATAAGTCACAAGGAGTGGATGCATCTGCATTGGCCAGCCACTGAGAACGATTTTGAGCCATGTCACCAATTGTTTCCAACCATAGATTTTTACCGTCCCGAGGACCCCAGCCTGGAAGTCTACACCTTTCTACGTGGCTTAGACCAACTGTTGTGGATTTCATGGACTGGTGCCAAGTTTTTGTTTGACCGCCGCTAGCTTTTTTCCAGCCTGACCCTATATCCAATAGCATAGCTCGTCGAGGGAGGCGATGGCTTGGCATACGTAACACATGTCCTAACCATCTCAGTCTTTGTAACTTCACGACTTCGTCGATTGATTTCCCCTGTTTACCTAGAACTCGACACCTAACTTCAATGTTGCTCACCTTATTATGTCACTTTACACGGGAAATAGAACGCAGGCACCTATCATCAAAGACATCCACTCAGGCTGTTCATGTCTTCCACTCTCAGTGGCCAGGTCTCACAACCATAAAGGAGGACGGAGCGGACTGATGAGCAGTACACCCGCCCTCTGGTCGATAGTCGAACATCTCGTCTACGCCAGAGTCGGCGTAAACTAACAAATGCGAAACGAGCCCCTGTATTCGTGCTGAGATTTCGTCAGAGATCAGCCCGTTGGGGCTGATGGTACTTCCCAAATAAGTGAAGCGGTCAACGTGCTCTACCACTTCACTCCCTATTTCTAATCTAGGAGTCAGTGTCGTGAATTGGCAGAAGTTAGAATTCATGGGCCGTTGAATCGGATCCCAGTGGCTTAATGGTCTACGAGCTAGCTCGCCTTGTAACCAGGAGAGGTCCTGGGCTCGAACCCGGTGGGTGCCTACTGCTGAAGATTCCCAAACTAGGACGAAGCAGTCGGCTGTCCAGTACTCCCAGCTGGTTTCCCAGTGGTACTCTAACTGATGTCACCTCATGATGAAATCCTGTAATCATATTTATACGTTTTTTTAACATAATAAACTCGGTTTACAACCGTAGGAATGGATTGTTCTTATTGACTGGAAATATCTATCCTGACTGGTTGACACCCGGCAAAGACCAAGGTGAGACAGATGACGATGAATTGATCACATACACTAAATCAGAATATGCGTGAAAAATCACAGATTAACATACTAACTCCATCACAAATCACACGATTCGTGTGAAAGGATGATATACTGTTTTATGCTGGGTCCTACCAGAAACAGTACTCGAACCTGAATCCCAGTGACTGTAGTTAGAGTGGTTACGCCAGTGAACCACACATAATAGGTGGCTATACATTAGTTTTCAGGAACAAGAACCAAACATACTTGTTAACCTTTTGCAGCATCAGAGGTGTAAACGATCTCCTTTTGTGTGATGCAACCACATCGGTGCGCTGCTCTATATCCCTGATGCCCACAGACTTAACTTCGTGAAATTCAACACCCATTTGTTTTCTTTACACTCATAAAGAAAGAATGTGTGCGTGTGTCCAGCACACACTTTTCGCTTACACTAATAGGTACAATTATTCAAGTTGGTTCTCAACATCAAACACCTCATAACGTCGTGACACACATTGAGTCCCTCTATTGACTCCTCCTCAAAGTGAGTCCTTTGCAGTGGAGTGGAGTACACAACACTCATCTCTAAATACGGGCGTCATCTTTCTTTTCTAGAGGCTCCAAGCAACATTGGGGGAATTGAGAAAATGTACCGCTACTGTCAGAGGAAGTTTGTTAGATGGTTGGAGGCAGTCGGAAGGAAGTCTTGGACACGTAGGTTTCGTGCTAGTTGTAATGGGAAGTTTGTATTTTAATATTTGGATGAGTGTTGTATAGCCACTGTTTTTCGCAACCCTCGGATAAGTAATGCGGAGACAATGTCAGCAACTTCATAAAACTCATCTAAAACTATACGCCTTCTTCGTGTTGTCTAAAAATTAAAACATCCAGAAAATGAAAAATATTTATTTTTAAATTTACTGATCAATCATTGTATAAATGAATACAGAAGATAGAACAACATAAAGAGAAGGCCAGAAGAAAGAAAAAAGCCCAACATTTTCAACTCTTGTCTTCTGTGGTCTCGTAATTCTCAGTTTTCATATCTGTTAAGCCTAAAGCATCATTGTCCTCTTCGCTTCGTTCATATTCAATCAATTCCAATTCTGGATCCGGATCTGGTGCGTATATATTCTAGAAAGGAACAAAATCAACAGAGGATTATAGTAGGATACAAAAAAACCAAAATGTTTCAGATATAAGGAAAAAAGAAAACGAGTTCACTTTTGAAAAGTAATACAATCGTAAATTTGAAAAGGATATAATAAAGTGGAATTGTTATCCAAGTGTTGGTTTGCGTGAATTCGTTTGACTTCTGAATTTCACCATGAACTGGCATCGGTTAGACGACCACTGGAAAACCTGCAGGGAGTACTTGGACAGCCAACTGTTTCGTCCTAGTTGGGAACTCCTCAGCAATACGCACCCACCCCCAGGACCTTCTGGTTACAAGGTGGGCGGGCGAGCTAGCTCGTAGACCATTAGGCCACCGGGACCCGATCCAGTGGTCCATGAATTCCAACTTCTACCGATTCATGATATGGTATCATGATATCACTGGATCAGGTCCTAGTGGCCGATGAATGGTCTACGAGCTCGCCCGCCTTGTAACCAGAAGAGGTCCTAGGTTCGAACCCTGGTGGTGGTGGGTTACTTACTGATGAATAGTCCTAAACTAGGCTGACGAAACAACTGTCCAGTACTCCCTGTAGCTGGTTTCTCAATGATCCTCTAACCGATGTCAGTTCCTGATAAAAACCCTGAAAAGTAGAACTGTAATAACTCTGTAAAAACAGGACAGTATTTGACTGCTTACTATATCATACATTTATTGCTTAGCTTTAAATCAAAGCTGAAGATGTGATTGTTTGGCTAAAGTGTAATAGTGTGGTGAGAGCTGGCTGCTAGCCAAATTGGTAGACAGTAATTTACGTCAATGTTTATGTCCCCAATATTGGTCGTGAGAAAAATAAGAGCAAAGACTGGTTTTGCGTAGGCGGATACATTTAGCATATAGATGATCTGGCATTCAAGAAACAGCCACAAAGCGATGAAAGATTAACTTTGAGTGAGAAACAACCAATCAGAGGACTGTGTTTTTTCTGCTAGCAATATTCTATAATAATGTACATGAAAATCTATAAATATGTGTTGATTTCCTTAATAAACGATCTGTTTCCTGGCCCTTGTCTTCTGTTGTTACAGTAGTACTCACTCGACTTTTAACCAATAGGTCTTACTGAGTAAGTTGAATTCCTCCTACCAGTTCAGTTTATGGGTGATCGTCACATAGTGAACACGGTTCATATAGACAGGTCTATGAGAAGCGTTAATTAACAATTCTGTTAACATCCGTGTAAGCAAGAACAGCAGCCAGTCAATGGCAATAAGATTCTATGTAGTCTCCTTAAGTCATCGATGCTTTTTTGAGTCTTGTACACTTTCTTATGCATCTAGTGACACATGTGTTACTATTTACAATACACACCTGTCTTATTTAGTTAATTACTGAGGGTAATAAGATCGAACATTTAAATGACAACCGCATGCAAACTACTGGTACACGGAAGAGAAGTGATTCCAAATAATCGAAGAGTGTTAGATCATTGGCTGAAATCCTCGTCACCGACTGATTGAGTTTTTTCATCGCCAAACTTAGCACAAAAGTACAGCAGTTCAAGTTATTAAACTTTATAAGCGTACAAAGATAATGTAAAGCACAGAAGGGAACGGTAAGTAGAGGATAGTGAAAATTCGACGCATCTAGTTCATAAGGAGTGAATGATTCTGCACCAGTGTGACCACTAACGATTTTGAACCTCATCAACAACAATCTCTAACTATTGGTTCTTAGCCTGTCGAAGAACCCGGTCAACCTGGCTCGAACTAATACTTACAGACTTCTGATTTAGTTGTGTTCTCTAAGTCATCTGGTTGATTTCATTGCTAAGCTGCTGTTTTCCTTCTAGACACAATATCTTCCATAATCTCTCATCTCCTCCATGGCATCCTCGAAGTGACAAGCCCCCCCCCCCCGCCACCTATCGCTTCCCAATGGGATTCCACTCGAGCGGTGGCCTGGTGAGCGATTTCATTCGACAATAGCCTCCTCCTCCATGTATTCCCGATCCATCTCTTTATTTTCTCCTACATATCTTCTCATTTCTTTGGCTACCTGAACAGCCTTTTCAGCCTTAAGTATATTGTACGAATATTCCACATCGTCATTCCTATTCTTGCTTTACCCGCCGGACTTGGGACCAGCTAGAAAATTAGTGAGCTCCTCACAACAACAATAACAAAAAATTAGCAATATAATATAAAATTTATCGCTAAGCTAGTGTTACACACTCACTTGAATATAACTATTACCAGCAGGATCATTCAATTCAAAGAGGACATCAAGTTTTTGACCAGATGTGATCTTTTATATGAAAAAGTAAAAATGTATAAAATATTAATTATTTAATTTATTAAATACCTTGGAAAAAGGCTACTTCATATCGTATAAATTCATTGGATGTAAAACACAGGTCATGCGGGATACAGTATTCACATAATAACTGGATAACTAAGTTAAACTTTAAGCACCATTTAACTATCAGTGGAGTGCGGCCGCACCAGTGGCCTTGAAACGCTCACTGAGCAAGTTAATGAAACCTGGCCAATAAATAATGTTGTCATCATCAATAAAATATGCTCATCGAAGTGTAATGCTGTTACAAGGGATTTCTGGCAAGTTTCAGCTTAGGTGTTTGGGAAAGACTACGTTAGGCTTTAAGCCAAGGACAAGTTAGGGTTTGGTTAACCTAACAAAGGCGACAGTACGTTTGGTTCGAGTTAGATTAAAGTTAGTTTAGGGATATTTTCATGTCAGGCGTTAGGTTCAGGAAAGATAAGGGTTATTGTTAGGGTTAGAAGACCTTAATAATTACATGCACAGAATGCGGTTAAATTATTCTGTTGATATAAGAATAGAACTTGTTTACTGCAGTGGTAGAGTATAATTCCATTGTGAGTAAAATTTATTTTGATAAAGTCTCAGTGTTTGTTATACAATAATATTTACTAATGACCACGTGTCCAGCACAGTTTATTGCTCAGTAAATATTACTACATAACACTGTGAGACTTTATCAAAATAAATTCTACCCACAATGGAATTATAGTCTGTTGATACTGTAGCCTAAAACTGAGGGCTATTTTGTTCACATTTTTTTCATAAATATCTGTATTCCATACACAAAAATGCCTCCTTCAAGTGATTGGTGCGTTTGAGGTCATTAGCTGATTGGTAGTTAGTTACTGGTGCTTACAGTTTAACTTTGCAAACTGGACGATGTTTCGAGTACAATTTAGTTTACATGGATTCGATCACAAAATGACTTCAGTTAAAGAATCATTGGAAACCAGGGGACTACAACACAGTTGTTTCTGCCTAGTTCGGGACTCTTCATCAGCGTACACACCTACAATTCCACTGAGGATTAATCGCATCCGGAACCTTCAGAATACGAGATTACCGTCTTGTTAACCACTCAACTACTTACTGGGAAGGTTACATTGATTGGTAGTCGTAAATTGATGAGTTATTTAGATTCAGTCTCATTGGCTTCGTAATCTGAAGGGTCTGAGGCCGAGTTAAAGTATAGGCATACCCAGGAGTGTGAAAACACTCATGACCTTGAATGCATACTAGTCGTTTAGATGTGATAAAGAAGATTTGTAGCTCAGGTGGATGATTTTGATGTGGTTGTGTTCTCTGAGCTGGATGGTTGATTTGCGAAGCTTTCATCACCCTACTACTAGGTGACATCTTTAGCGCATGCTTCAATTTGACTTCAAATTGAAGTATGCGCATCCACTCCTTGTGACTTATGATTTCAAATGAAACTATATTGTTCTTCGTTATTACTAGTCCTTTGTCTCACACCTCTGTTTGCTGTCTCTATTATGCATTTCTTCTACCTTCTTCTCTTGCTTTGTGTGCTACATTGACGGAGTGTGGCAACTTGAACTGGTGCACATCGATGCAAAGTTCTACGTTAAAAACAGACAGAGAGATTACTGGATATTACAAACTGGGTTCCATCCATCACTTAGTGAACCATTTCGATGATTTTGTCGACCCCTTTACTAAAACCTACACCAATTCAATCAAGGGCTTCTCAGGAATAACTTATCTTCAATCACCTCAATGAAAACATGTATAGATAGTGATTTAACTTAAAAATTAACACTGCTCGTTATAGTTAGGTCATGTCAGCGACAATATCCTGTTTAATGCATTCTATCACTAGTTTCTGTATTTCTCTCTCTCGTAGATTAACGTCATTTTGAAGTAAAAAAACTACTGGTTTTCGTGATTGTCCACCTCAAGGTCACTACTCGTGCGTTTGCATTTCACCGGTTGCTATAGTTTAACTTTGCCGGATTAGGTTTCAATTTCCAGTTTGTGTCTAGGATGCGTACTGCTGAGGAGTCCCCTGACTAGGATGAAACCACTTTCCAGTCCTCTTTGGTTTTTAATAGCTACCTAACGGATCGTGATCAAAGCTTTCAACGCAATTTATTGTCTTATAATCATATCAGGGTTTCCACACTATTTCCTATCTTGCTTAATATACTTTCCGCATTTCTTTCTGTTTTATCATATAACTGGGACAGATGCTGCGTCATTTCCATCGCATGTATTGACTGGCCTGTCTGTCCCTCTTTTCTTTACCTAATTATTTAACTTTTTTGGTAAGTGAATTCCTTTCTTCCGACAGCCTACCTAACCTCCCTCCCCCCTACCAGTTTACTAGTTTGAGATACGTAACTGACCTCATAGCCAATACCTGGTATTTTGTAAATCATATTATTATGTCTATTTGGACCAGTTGGATCTGTAAGTCAACAAAATTATCTTTTCTAGTGGCGGGGATCACATTGTACCATAGTGACTAAAAAAACTAAAACTTCAGTAATAAATGTACTACTTTAATTTTGGAGATGTGGTTCATTGGCTTAAGGAAGGCAGTCGACAATTAGCCAATGCGTTCCAAGTTCGAATCTCACTGTACCTTTACTTCAGCCTGGATAACTGAATAGTATCATCAGCTGTCAGTCACAGTCTGTAACAATGTAAACCCTGTGTCCCGAGAACTGAGTTGCCGTTATCATCATTCACAATTAGATAGCAAAATTCGTAAGTTACACTTTCGTAGATATAACAATAGTTTTAAATATGAAGCAAGTAAGACCATACCTTGATAAAAAAAAACATATTCTACTTGACCTTCTATCTAAATCTTAGTCTTATCTTATGTGAGTACAATTCAATGGATAATCATCATCAATGAAGTCAAAAACAAGACGAGATTCTTGACTGTTACACGATATTAACGCGACTGGCACTAGCCAATGTCATCGGTAAGTATTTCTTCTCACTCCCGACTCGATGGACCCACTATAGTCACGATTCCTCACTAGAACTCCAGACAACTTTTTCCTACATCCAATCACTAGCGAAAGTTTGTTTGTAGAGATTCGATTTGTTTCAACTTATGATCACAGATTGATACTGGTTAGAGAACCATTGGAAACCAGTAATCAGAGTACTGGACAGCTGTTTCTCCTCCTATTTTGGGACTCGTCGGTAATTTGAACCCGCGACTTCTAGTTACTTACAAGGCAAGCTTGTGAACCGTCCAGCCACCTAGGTTTGAAACCTAGTGGGTGCGTACTGCTGAGGAGTCCCAAACTGGGATGAAACAGCTGTTCAACACCCCCTAGATTTTAATGGTTCCCATCAACAAAACTTGAAACAAATCTAATTCTTACAAACAAACTCTTGAATATTGGTTGATGGTCGATAGCAGTGGTATCGAGAATGCATGTTTCGTCCTATTTTGAACTCATCACCTGGATACATCTGCATTCTCACTAAGTGATGGTATTCTCATTGAGACTTAAGTCCGGCTAATAACTTTTACGAATATCAATGTACAGTCTAGGTTTCATCATCAACCGATATCAGTGAAAGGATCATTCAAAGACAAGTGACACTGGACGGCGATTTTGTGTTTCCTAATTTTCGACCTTTCATCAGTGCCTGCTTAGGTGTGAGAAACATCTTGTAGAAATCTCAACTCTGTGTGTAATTAAATCACTATAAACTTATTTGATATAATATTGAAACATTGACATACTTTTAATTGGTGGGTGGTGACTAGCAGTGGAATCCAGTATAAAGAGCATTTCGTCCTATTTAGGACTCGTCAGTTTACTGGATGTGCTTGCATTTCCCAGTGACTGATGATGTTCTCACCGAGGCTCGAACCCAGTGCCCATAGTTTCAAACACCAAAGCGTTCTCTGCTAGACCACTTGGGCCACAAGAGCCACCTCTTGTGCAACGGGTCATGTTAATTATTTCATTGAATTTTAGATTTTCCGAATTTTCCAAATAGGACTAAATGCACTTTATCCTGGATTTCATTGCTAGTCACCATCCATCCACCAATTGAAATTCTAATTAAGTGCCCAGACATTGTCAAGGCATCTGCACAAGAAGTCGATAGACATGTCCACCTGAGATCGAGCACTTCGGTCCAATCAATCGACGGGAAAATCTAAAATTAAATTAAATTGACATACTTTTTCATGTTATTAAACTGCCAACATTATGCAACTGTCCCTTTCTTATTAGCTTATAACTAATATATATATTACTTTCATCAAGCGAAAACCTTTCAAATATGGCTAGAATAAGTGTTACTTTGCAGACACTATCACATGCCAGAAAAGTTTGTTTGCGTAGCAGTTAGACTTGAAGCAGTTACCACCATAGTATTGGTCGTTTACACTACGCTGAGAGTTAGAAAGCAAAGTTGTAAGAGGTGAAAAGGCAGCGAAATGTTCCCCTTACACTGCCTTTTCACTCTGAGGGATAATGGGGGTCGGGAAAACTCGACTACTCCTACAACTGTACACATCTTGACATGCTCTATGTGTGGCGGTGTGGTCCATAGGTCTTCATATAGAAACAACTTCAAACAGGCAGTGCGTGACCACTACCTACCACCTCCTCCTGAGTCTATGAGGACATCACTTGATGAAGCAATTCAAGACAACAATTTACGTAATAATAATAATAAGCGAAACGTTGAACTAACCTCTTTTAAACGTGTAATCATTGATCCTAATTTACCTTTTGCCTCCTCACTTGACGTACTATCACCGACAATAAACGGATTGGCACTGATCAACTGTCAGACAATAAAAAAATACAGATTAACACACACATACAGTATTAATCATTTAATGAAGTTGCTAAAAAAAGGCTTGGCAAAGTTAAACTTTCGACACCACTAACAACCAATCACCGAACGACCTTGAACGGACCAATCACAATAAAGAGGCATAAATTATGAATAGAAATGTATATTTATAGAAAAAAAGCATAAAATAGTTACATGGGATATCTTTCTCGAACATGAGACAGAAACATCTCCCAGTTTAGCATGGGACTGTCAATGGAGAAGTTACACCATATTCTGTACATATATTCATCTAAATGAGTGTAAATGAGCTCCTTTTAAGATCCATTAATAGCTCTTATCCTATTTTTCAACCTGCCCCAAAATCCTTCAATAGAATTTGTATGCGTTCTCGTAACGGGATCCACAAAATCACTTGAATGATTGACTCTATGATGGATATATCACAAAGATGACAGGGAATTATAACCCTTCCATTCGTCCGTATGTATTATAGACCCCTTTTTTAAAAGTCTGGTGATAATGGGTATAAGAGTGGTTGCTTTTCTATCCGCAATCCTTTCCACGAATCCCTTTCGAAGCGAGATGTCGTACAAACCTATTACCCAAATATTGTTCGACCGCTGGCGACCACGGTTGTATTACTTCTTTACCAGCACTGTCTCATCGAGATGCACGATAACATCTTTTCCACCCAACAAACAAGTGATTTTGTCCATTTTCCATGATGCGATATCTCTACAATGCTGGTACCACTGGACTGTTGACACCAGGCTGTTCTCCGTCTCAGCAGCTGCTGCTCTCACTGGCTGTTTTAGCACCCAGTAGTTGCAGATATATAAAATCTGCGTCAGGGACAGATGCGACCTGGAGAAAAAAGTTCCTACGAAATATTAAAATAATCAGCTTACCCTCTCTAACACTAGAACGCTTCAAACATATACCACAACGATGAACAAATCCATCAGTTGATCTGCTATAGCTTTTTAAAGGTATGATACCACCACACGAACAAGTTCGCTCCTTCCGGAGCAACCCTAAATCCAGGCAATACTGCAATACAGTATCCTCCTCGAATTGCAACCGTAACCTTGTAAGGGCACGCATTTGAAATGAATCAAGTGCTATACAACATTGAACTACATTCGTGAACCTCATTGGATAATTCGACATCGTTCATGAATCTCATTGGATAATTCGCTGATTGGTAGTTAGTGGTGTCGAAAGTTTAACTTCGCCAAAGGCTTAATGTCAGCATTGTGGAATAAATCAAATAAAGTGTAACTATATATCGATAGTTTTAAACACAGTGATAAGTTTTTTAAGTATTGGTTTTTGTAGGAGTTTTGTTTGATTGATTGGGGGGATTTCATCATGAGCTGACATCAGTTAGAGAACCATTGGAAAACAACCTGGAAGTACTAGAGAGCCAACCGTTTAGTCCTAGTTTGGGACTCTTCGGCAGTACGCACCCACCACAGCCAGTTCGAACCCAGGACCTTCTGGTTACAAGGCGAGCTGGCTCATATACCATTCAGCCACTGGGACCCTATCCTTCGATAGCTAATCCATGAATTCTTACTTCTACCAATTCCCGACATTTAGCGCGACTGGTACCAACCAATGTCATCGATGGGACATCCATCCTCATACTTGACATCTGGATGGACCTCACTGGTCACGATTTTTCACTAGATGTTATGTACTAGCTTAGTGGTTAATAGAGTTTTCCCCGTCGCCACTTATGTTATGTACTCGTCGAGTAGATAATAGTCCTGACGCGGAAAGAGGGAAATCAGAAGACCACCAGGTTTACGATGATACTTGTATTTTCCAGACAAGGAAAATAATTGTCACACAAGAGTGTGAGTGAAATGGTACGCAATGTACGAAACGTGGGAACAAGTGTACAGTACAAAAGTATATACGAAAATGATTAATACACATGAACCAATAAATAGCCAGTCTTGACATGATTGGTTGTAATGTCATGTGACAACAAGGTCATATATGTTTATTTGGTTAGTGGACAGACAAAAGCATATTGTCAGTTATAATGAAATATCGATCCATATACACATAGCAAAATATAACAGACTGTCAAAAACAAAACACACATCATTTGGATACATATCACGAGAACTCCAGGAAACTCCGTCACCTGTAGCAAGTCACTAGAGAGCATCAGATTAGTTTATATTTATTTGCTAAAGTAAAAAAACTTAATTTCAACCCAGATTATAATTATACCCAATCAAAGTCATTCTCATTATAGCTCATCAACTTTGACATCCGACCTTTGGTCAGTGACAACAATAGGCTTTGAATCCCACTTCACCCTGTAAGCAACTGACGAAAATCACCAACTCGCATACAAAGAACTCTTAAATCAGTGCATGCTACTGATTTCCCACCACAGATGACCTAATATACAACCGAGGGTGAGTAGATTTCAACCTTGAAATGATCTCGTATGGCTACGCATTCACAACCACTAGCCAGTCAGATTAGTCCTTTTTTCACTGTCTTCACAAATCAGACGATGTTCTCACACTCACACACACACACAAGTAAAAGTACACATTCAAATGTTCAGGGTTTATCAACGAATTGGTGGATATGGAAGTCTACTTTTAAAAGAGTTGGAAAACCCTGATTCTAAACCTGTGTTTAACATCCTTTCCAAAATCTCAAACAATTGAATGATGTACGAACTTTTATATTATTTTTGGTCACAGGCAACCATTCGAACACTACTCTAATGCTTTATAGGTCAGATTACAAGTCAAAGGTTCAAGGATTCATCCCTTAAGACAATCACTCACTCAGACAGATACCTAGACTACTTACTATTCAGCAGATCGCTTTACCACCAAAGTAACTGTGGCCAAGAATCTGATCAATAGAGGCAAACGTCTAGTTACTGAGGTGGAAGAGATTAGCAAGGAACTAAAATTGGTTCAATCTACTCTTGAATCAAATAATTATCCTAAAGCCTTCATAAAAAAGACATTTAAAGTGTGAAGATAAGGATGGATCGAAACCTGCTACTAAGAATTGGGTTAGTACATCGGTGATTCCTTACCGCAAAGAAACATCCGATGAGATAAAGCAAATCCTTAACGATCATGACATAAAAGTGTATTTTCGTGCAACTAACACCTTACGTTTCTTCGTCACTCGTGAAGGTTAAGGATAAAAGAGAATAAGAAAATCAACAGAATTGTGTGTACCAGACAAATTGTGGGGACTATGACGCCGTATATGTAAGAGAAACTTTCAGACAGGTAAATATAAGAGTGAAAGAGCATAAACAATGTCTAAAGGTGATTCCAAAGACCTTTGCAGACTTAAAGAGGCTAGAAAATAAATCAGCGTTTGCACTGCATTCGAGAGAAACGGGACACAGAATCGACTTTGATAGGAATGAGGTTCTACAGAAAGGTTTTGGTTCGTATAATGAAAGCCTGACTGCGGAAGACCTACATATATGGGATATAGACACTGGTCCGCCGTCTGTAAGTGAGGTCACAAAAGCTATCAGTAATTTGAAACGAGGCAAAGCGGCAGGACCCGACGGAATTATTCCGGAGGTGTTTAAATATGGGGGTGACATACTAGTTTGTAGATTAACTGAGGTACTAGGCAAAGTCTGGGAATCAGAGACAGTGCCATCAGACTGGGGTAAGTCACTTATTATACCGATATTCAAGAAGGGAAACAAGTCCTCGTGTGATAATCATAGGGCGATCAGCCTAACGAACATAGTCTCTAAAATCCTAGGCTCAGTAATCATGCATAGACTAAGCAGAACTCGGGAGGAACAGACAAGGGAAAATCAAGCAGGCTTTAGACCAGGTAGAGGGTGCATAGATCATATCTTCACTCTTCGACAGATTCTAGAACATAGACACACTTTTCGGCGTCCAACAATTGTCATATTTCTTGACTTGAAGGCGGCCTTCGACTCCGTGGATCGAAAGGTACTATGGCAATGTCTGACTGTGAAGGGAGTGCCAAGAAAGTACATTGCACTAATCAAGGCACTCTATTCAAACTCACGTAGTCGTGTAAGGGCTTATGGGGAATTGTCATCTGAATTGGTAACAACCAGTGGTGTCCGACAGGGATGTCCACTTTCCCCATTTCTGTTTAACTTCATCATAGATACGTTGATGGAAGTATCCTTAACTGAACGTAATGACTTAGGAATCGACTTGTTACCAGGGAATAGTCTTATGGACTTAGAATATGCAGATGACATAGTCCTGTTAGGGGAGGATGCTGACAAAATGCAGAGTCTTCTGAACACCTTGAGCAGCAATCTTCGTATGTTTGGCATGCGATTCGCCCCTGCAAAATGTAAGATGCTGCTACAGGACTGGACCACGTCAACCCCTAACTTAGTGATAGGGAGTGAAGTGATAGAACATGTTGACCACTTCACCTATTTGGGAAGTTGTATTAGCACCAACGGACTGATTGGCGATGAAATCTCAGCACGGATCCGAAAAGCTCGAGCTGCTTTCGCTGACTTACACCATCTCTGGCGTAGGCGTGACATCCGGTTATCAACCAAGGGACGTGTGTACTGCTCATCAGTTCGCTCCGTCCTTCTCTATGGCTCTGAAACATGGCCAATACGCGTTGAAGACATGAAAAGGTTGACTGCTTTCGATCATAGATGTCTGCGATCTCTGTCTCACGTTAGGTGGTTTCACAAGATAAGTAATGTTGACGTTAGGCGTAGAGTGTTGGGCAAAGAGGGAAAATCAATCGACGAGGCTATAAAGTTACATAGACTGAGATGGCTAGGTCACGTGCTGCGCATGCCTAACCACCGCCTCCCCCGACGGGCATTACTAGCTGATATAGGTTCAGGTTGGAAAAGAGCCAGTGGTGGCCAAACAAAAACATGGCCTCATCAATCCATGAAATCCTTGACAGTTAAACTGAGTCAGTCAGGTAGGGAGATGCAGACTCCCGGGTTGGGGCCCTCGGGACTCTAGGAATCAATGGCTGGAGACAATAGGTGACATGGCTCAAAATCGTTGTCAATGGCCAGCGCAGATGTATTCAGTCTCTGTAATCTTTCATATTCCTTTCTACCATTACCCATTCTGTTTCACTCTTATACTTGTCAGACTGTATTGATTCTCTTCACTCATCTTCTTGTCTACCTCTGTGTGCTATTTGGAACGTGGCAACTGGAACTGGTGCACTTTGGTGCCAAGTTCTATGTTGAATCCAGACAGACAGACATATATGGGTGAATCCCAAAAGTTTGAACAGAAGTGAAGATGTGATGTATGTTAGCTGATGCATGGCAAATCCTGATTAATAAATAAAAATTGGATATGCATCAATAATTAATCATACTTGATCAAAATTCCCGATTGTCTATATCTTCTTATGGAGAGGCTAACAAATGTTTTACGACTGTTTACACATACACACACACACACACACACCATTGTATGCTGCATATACACATATATTTTCATATTCAGTTATCTACGACCATCAACTTTGAGTCGAACGTAATCTGATGAAAAGTACACTCTGTTTGTAGTGTTTAACAGAAGTAGACTAATTTTGAAAGTCTGAGGTCAAGTTTCGATCACAATTCATACAATTTTGTTTATTATACATGTTGATACCTGTTTCATGACTAATATAATTGGACAAAGTTTTTAAAAACAAGAGATGTCCTAATTTTACATATATAAACCTCTGTTATATTAATTTCGATTAATTTCCTTGAAGAAGTTCGGACCAGATTGCCGAACGCAGTAAATGTTGGAATTAATCATTTCAATTTCGCTGAGATTTTACAAATATATCCACTAACTTTAGTTTGTGCGTCCGTACAGTATTTCAGCCTTCACAAAACTTTGTGTGGCGTATCTCGCTTGATGCCTCTAATGCACCATGTTTGTGCTTAAATAATAATTATAATCGCGACAACACAATAAGAAGACATAGTGTTTATCTGAAACGCGTAATGTGTGTATTCGCGCAACACATTTCTGACATTCTGATCACACACAGTTCTTATAGAAGGCAAAAATAATTACAATACAGGTCAGGTTGTGTACAGGTCAAGGTCACAAACAGTGGGTAGGGAGATGACGCAAAGGTGTGAGTAAGAAAGATAAAAATACAACAACCTGACCTGTATTGTAATTATTTTTGCCTTCTACAAAGAGGATTTAATCATGAGCTGATATCAGTTAGAGAACCACTGGAAAACCTGGGAGTACTGGACAGCTGTTTCGTCCCGGTGGGTGCGTACTGCTGAGGAGTCCCAAACTAGGACGAAACAGCTGTCCAGTACTCCCAGGTTTTCCAGTGGTTCTCTAACTGATGTCAGCTCATGATTAAATCCTCCATGCAATCAAACAAAATCCCTACAAAAACCAATACTTGAAAAAACTGTATGACAATTATGTGTGTGTGTGTGTGATCAGAATGTCCGAAATGTGTTGCGCGAATACTTAGATTACACGTTTCAGATAAACTACACGTCTTCTTATTGTGTTGTTGAAATTCATAAAGGGAACTAATTGCTTTAAATAATTATAATAGTACATTAAATTGCATAATGAAAGAATTACATTATAATTACTACAAGTATTCACAAAACAAGCAAACACACATACACATGAATAAAGGTTTTTTCTATTTCCCGATGAATGAAAAACAAAACGATATTGTTGTCGTTTTTACTGACGTTTCGATATTTAATCCTGCTGCTAATAGCTTTATCAAAGTAGTACTATTAAACTGGAATTTACAAAATCTCATCATGTATATAGCAATCAGTTAAAAAGGTGAAAAAATAGACTACTTAGGTCAAGTTAAAAGGACATATTGAAAGTTAAAATAACAATGAAGATCACTAAGCCAAATAACAAAGGTAATAGTACATCTGTTATGGTATCAAAACAAAGTTTACTAACTTGATCATCGTTCGTCAGTCTGGGATCATTTTTACGTTGTTGTCAATTTGGCCAATTGGTAAAGATAACAAAACCAGGTCGGTGTAGATTGTTGGATTTGATCAGTGTGTAAAATCATACAAAAACAGTGTGTGTTTATACAGTGAACTTGCTTATCACATTCGGGTTGATTTTGTCACTTCATGGGGTGAGGACGTGGGTGTTGTAACCAGGTAAAATTCTGTTTTAATCCATCAGTCCTATTCAGCTCAGACAATTTGGATTCCATTTGATTTGAAGTGCTTCTGATGATATTAGACGTTCTTTGTGATTTCTAGAATGGTTTTCCTGGATTATTTCAATATTTTCAAAATCAATTTTGTGGCCTGATTCTATAGCGTGTAGACCTATGGCTGGCTGATGATTTTTCAAGCTTTTCTAGTTCAACTGCATTTCTCAGTGGTCGAACAGATGCCCTACGGTGTTCACCTCTTTTGATTTTGATTTCTCGAGATGATTATCCGATGTATATTGCATCGCATCACATTCCAAGCATTCTATTTTATAGACATAATTAGATAAAGAATCTGTAGGGATTGGGTCTTTTATATGGACAAGGTTGCTTGGTAGTATGTGTCTGTCTGATATTTTGAAGAAAACTCTAATGTCGAGCTGATTGAGTACTCCTCTTCTGATATCGTCTGATATCTCTGGTGGTCCATATGGAATGACGACTGTTGAGGTCCATGTTTTCCGAATATGTTTTCGGTCGTACTTTCAAAATGTCCTCCCTTTAACTTGACCTAAGTAGTCTATTTTGTCATCTCTTAACTCTTTGTTATATATATGCTGAGTGGATTTTGTAAATTCTGGTTTAACAATACTACTTTGATAAAGCTATTAGCATCAGCATTAAATAGCGAGACGTCAGTAAAAACGAAAACAATGTCGCTTTGTTTTTCATTCATTGAGAAATACAAAAACCTCCATTATAATGAATATCATACATATACCCAATGCCCAAATTTTTTCAAACAGTTAAAAGTGAACTTGATTTAAAATAAATAAATAAAATCCTTTAGAGAGCTTACTTGATCAGTTATTGCTACTAATAAGCCTTCAATTGTTGTAAATCTTCCGCCAAGAGTACCACCCATTGATTCAAATTCCAGTTCAGGGATTTTAATAGCTGCAGATTCAGAGACTAAAATGTCCCGTGACAAATCGTAGACATCTTTTATGCGTAATTTATAATGCTTTCCTTTCGGAGCTACACCAGTACCTGAACGAACTTCACAGTCTTTAAAGCCACAAGATGGACAGTTGAGTGCCATTAGGATAACCTCTTTGAAATGTGGTATGTCTATAACAAAGAATGGAAAATATGATAGTAATAATGATAATTATTATTTATTTATTTCTTTATTTAAACGCAGAGAAAACTTGGTACAATATGGCACTAATAAAGATGCGTCACACAATAATAATAAAACAACATAGATCAAAAGTAGAAATATAAGTAGAGAACGGATAAAGAACTTCATCTGGGAGGAAAACAGTCATACTTAACAAGTTCAAACAGTATTCGTTAACTATCATCGGGAAGGGAAAAAAGAAGGAAATTGCAACAAGTTTTCCATTGATTACGATTCTTGGTCATATCCGATAACGTTTCGAGCCATCGATTCGAGCTATCTCTCGGACACCAATCAGGGAGTCGTGACGGACCATCCGATGCTAGTCTAGCACAAAAATTCTTCATCCTACGACGCAATATCATGGACTGACCACCCCTTCGCCTTTTCCATCCCGTCCCAGGGCTAGCGAAAAGAGACATGTACGGAAGCCTCTGGGATGACATTCGCAGCACATGTCCAAGCCACCGAACCCGCTGTTTCCAGATGACGACACTCAACAAACGTTGATCTCCACTGTGTTCAGACACACTCCGCTGAACCTCAGAATTGCTCACGCGATGATGCCATCGAAGCAAGCAATCCTACGGAGACAGCGATGACCAAACACGCAGAGTCGCTGCACATCCTCAGCTCGGAGAGGCCAGGTTTCACAGGTGTAGAACAAGACAACTCGTACAGAAGCATTGCATACCTGACCTTTGATAGCCAGGCTAACGTCGCGACGGCGCCGGAGGTGGCTGAAGTTGATGTATGCCACTCTAGCCTTCATTATACGGTTGGTAAGCTTATCCGTCACCCCTCCACTAGCACTCACACAACTACCGAGATCCACAAACTTATCAACAACTTCAAGCGGTTCACCTGCAAGAGTGAGTACAGATAATAATAATAACAATAATAGTACATCACCAAATATATTTCAATATATCTTTATTACAAGTGATGCCATATGACTCATCAAAACTAAGACCGAATTGTTTTCATATCAATTTCACTGTGACTATGACTTACAGTTACCATGGTTATAGATACGCGTGATAGTCCGCAATTCATCAAAGGATATGTGTACTGCTTACTCTATCCCCTGTTTGCAGCTACGAGATATGACCCTTGAAGGTGAGGGATATGAAGATACTAGTCGATTTTATCTTTAAATACTTGCATTCTATTTCTTGAACTAGGTGGTGACTATTACTGGTGTCGGGCAGAGATGCTGACTATCCCCACTTCTATTCAATTTCATCATAGATGTACTCATGGAATCAAACCTAAGTGACTTCGGACACACCAGGGAATAATCTCGTTGACTTGAAATATGCAGATAATATAGTCGTGCTCCTAGGTGAAGACGCTGACAAAATAGAGTAGAGTCTTCTGAACACCTTCGGCTGCAATCTACGAATGTTTGTCATACGATTTGCCCCCGCCAAAATAAAATGTAGGGTGATTCTACAAGACTGGACTACATTGACTCCTAGCGTAGAAATAGGGAGTGAAGTGGTTGGTGAAGCGTGTTGACCACTTCACTTATTTGGAAAGTTGCAACAGCCAACGTAAACGGGTTGATCGCTGATGAAATTTCAGCACAGATACAGAAGGTTCGTTTGGCATTAATTAAATTACGCCATCTCTGGCGCAGACGTGATATCCAGCTGGTTATCGACCAAATGGAGTCTGCTCCACCCACCTTTATGGCAGCGAGACCTGGCCATTGAGGGTGAAGGACATGAAAAGGCTAGCTGTCTTTGATTTTAGGTGCCTGCGTTCGATCTCTCATGTGAAGTGGTATAATAAGGTGAGCAAAACTGAGGTTAGGCGTCGAGTGCTAGGTAAGGAGGGGAGGAAATCAATTGACGAGGCTGTGAAGCTACATCGACTGAGATGGTAAAGACATGTGTTAAGCAGGCTTAGTCTGGCCAACGCCTTCCTCGACAGGCAATGTTGGCTGACATAGGATTGATAACGTTGGAAAAGAGCTAGCGGCGGTTTAACGAAAATATGGCTTTATCAGTCAGTGAAATCCACGACAGTTTGAGTCACGTCGGGAGGTGTAAACGTTCTAGTTGGGGTCCTCGGGACGGTAAAAACCAATGAAAGCTGGAGACAATCGATGATATGACTCAAAATCGTTCTCAGTGGTGCAGATGCATCCACTTCTTGTGACTTATAATACCCAATGAAACCATATTGTTCTTCGATACTACTATTCTTTTTGTCTCATATCCCTGTCTACTGTCTCTGTTATGCAGTTCTTCTACTTTCTTCTGTTGCTTTGTGTGCTACAAGGAAGGAGTGTGGCGACTTGAACTGGTGCACATTGGTGCAAAGTTCTCTGTTGAAAACAGACTGACAGACAGTTGGTTTAATACGGTTAGGATTAATGAAGTCAGGTGTAAATAAGGGAGTAAAACCAACATGAAGTTGTCAAGCTGCATTGATTCACGTGGCTATGATATGTTGAGCAGCGTTGGTTGACACAGATTTAGTTTACCAAAGCATTAATGGTTGGTCAAGCCAAAACACAGAATCTAATCAATCGACGGGAAATACGAAACAATTGTCCAGTACTCCCAGTTGGTTTTCCAATGGTTCTCTAACCAATGTCAGCTCATGATGAAATCTTGTAACTTTAACAAAGTTTGAACTCAACCAGAACAGGCTTTTCTGTTTTTAGGTAACTGGCTTTAAGCCATACTCATCATTATGTGTGACTGAGGAATAATGATACTATCCAGTTGTCCACAGACCGAAGTAGGTGGAGGAGCAGACTCGAATCTGGAACTTATCGGCTAAATGTTGAGAGTACTTAAGAGTAGTCAATGAACGACATCTCCGCTAAACGCAGAATACAAGCAGCCTTGTCTTTTTACACTGTGAATTTAGCTATGATAAACATATATAATCAAGGTTAAGAGAATAATATAATAGTAAACAGATGCGATTCAGTTCACATGATTGTATGATGATGACGGCCTAGCCTTCAAATTTAGCCACTACCAACCAATCACATGACTAACTGTGTAAAAAGGAAATAAAAATAAATAAACAATAGAAATATTTCCATGCAAAAATGTATGTAATAGGTAGAATAAAACAATAAGTATAAATAAATACACCTGTGACAATAAGCCTGATTATTATCCGTCGTAGATATCGTGACACAAATTTTCGATAGACTACCTACCTAGCCCTTTCCCATACACACACACACACGCACACACACACACACACATAGGGAATAAAGACCACGGGTAATGGGCCCAGTGGACTGACTGTTTTCTCCTTCAAGTTGTCTCATTCCCATGCAACATCGAGTCTGTCTGTCTGTTTTCGACATAGAACTTTGCACCGATGTGCAGCAGTTCACGTCGCCACATTCCCTCAATGTAGCACACAAAGCAAGAAAAGAAGGTAGAAAATATGCATAATAGAGACAGTAAACAGAGGTGTGAGACGAAGGAATGGTAATAACGAAGAACAAAACAGTTTCATTGGGAATTATAAGTCATAACAAGTGGATGCATCTGCGCCACTGAGAACGATTTTGAGCCATATCACCAGTTGTCTCCAGCTTTCATTGGTTTTTACCGTCCCAAGGACTCCAACCAGTTAGGTAGTCTACACCTTCTTAAGTGGCTGCCTTAAAATAATTGTTGTGGATTTCATTGACTGATGACCAAGTCGTGTTTTGCTTTGACCGCCGCTAGCTCTTTTCCAGCCTGACTCTATGTCAGCTAACATTTCCCATCGTCTAGGAAGGCGATGGCTAGGCTAGACATACGTAACACATATCTTAACCATCTCAGTCGATGTAATTTCACATCCAACTCGTCTATTGACTTCCCCTTCTTATCTAGCACTCGACGTCTAACCACAATATTGCTCACCTTACTATATCACTTCACATGGGAGATAGAGCGCAGGCACCTATCATCAAAGACAGCTACCCAAGCTTTTCATGTCTTCCACTCTCAATGGCCATATCTTGCTTACAGCCATAAAGGAGGACGGAGCGGACTGATGGGCAGTACACCCGCCCTTTGGTCGATAGCCGGATATCATGTCTACTAAGCCAGAGGCGACGTAAACTGGCATATGCGAAATTAGCCTTCCCTTTATCCGTTCTGAGATTTCGTCAGAGATCAACCCGTTGGGGCTGATGGTACTTCGCAAATAACAACATCGAAACACGCAACTGTATGCATAGCACTTGTATGGATCATCTCAATATTGAGCAGTTTAATTTGATTTTATACCCTGTGTTTAAGCTGAGGCTTTGTCGGTTGTAGGTGACGGAGTTTCAACATCGAATCTTGCACAGAATCGCAATACTTCAAGTTGCCACAAAAGTAGAGTAAAGAGAGGAGAAAAGAAAAAAAATAAAAAGAAGATAATCTATAGTTTGGTTTGTAAGGATTAGTTTTGTTTTAACGAATTGATCACGGATTGTTATCAGTTAGAGAACTATTGAAAATCAGCCACAGGGAGTATTGGACAGCTGTTTCGTCCTAGTTTGGAAATTATCGGCAGTACGCACCCACTGCCAGGGGTCGAACCCAGGACCTTCCGGTTACAAGGTAGAAGTTAGAATTCACGAGCCATTGAATCGGGTTCCAGTGGCTGAATGGTATACGAGCTTATCTTGTAACCGGAAGGTCCTGGGTTCGACTCCTGGTTGTCGATGCGTACTGCCGATAATTCCCAAACCAGGATGAAACAGCTGTCCAGTACTCCCTGGTTTTCAATGGTTCTCTCACTGATATCAATCCATGATCAATTCGTTGAAAGAAGAAGATTCACAGGAACTAAAACGAGCAGAGATGGACAAAGTTCAACGACAGCGTCCTAGGGGATACGAACGCACGAGTGTTCTTCAGCTGACCAATCATAAGAATAAGTGATTTTTGCACAAAAATTGACGTATATTTACAAGAAAATGCATTAAAACACATTAAAAAGGATATCTTTCTCTGACATGACTTAAAAATACATCCCAATTATAATGAGAAGTATTAGTTGGTAAATTAGACTAGTTTCTCTACATCTATTCACCGAGTTGACTGAAGATAAGCTGTTTTTTGTGAATCAATTATCTCTTTTTTCCTGTTGTGCAGTTTTCCTCAAAAGCCCTCAGTTGAATTCCTATGGTTTGTAGTAAGAGGATCGATGACTACTTACCAAGGGAAATGTGGATAATAAAACAAGTTACAATAAATGACATCAACTATAAATCTATCCTTAATCTTCACCCTAATTACAACCCTTATCCTAAAAGTAAACCTAACCGTAACCCTAAAGAGCTATTATCACATTTTCCAAACAGTACTTAAAAACGTAATCTGGGTGAAATTTGCTCCGTAGCTGGTGAATAGCATTGATATTTCAGCTATGATAATGACAGGTGGTGTTAGCCGACGACTAGCACACGTTCAAGGTCATTTGAGTATTCGCACTCCTGGGATGCCTGTTGTTGAACTTCGCCCAGAAATGAACGGGAGAAAGAAAAGTAATATGAGAAACACATGTGAGGATTTAGCTGACCTCGAAGATTACAAAGACTGAATGAATATGTGGACCAGTGAGCACTGATCGATCTTCAGTATAGAGTGAAGACAGTTAGTTATTAATAAAGGTCTGCAACAGGCTGTTGAAAATATTCTTTGTGACCCGCCAAGCTTCTGATCCGTATAGAAGAACTGACTGACTTGACGTTGTTTGTATTGAAAATCCGATAATAAGGAGTCCAAATCATCAGTAGTAATTTCATACAAGGAAGGAACATCGGAAATCTTACGCAGAATTCTTAACAAGGCAGGTAGGAATAAAAGTGGCTGGCATTCAAACCAACCAACCACAAACTCAATTAGAAACAAGCTTTGTCGGTTAAACAGTCAATCCTGCGGAGCGTTTAAAACAAAACAATTTAGTTTATGTAATACCCTGCCTGCAATAACTGTCAGGTCAAATACATAGGTCAAAGTAGTAGAACAGGAGCAGTCAGACTAGCCAAGCATAAAAACCTAGCAGTAAAATTAAGATTATTTGACCCGAATAAGATAAGAAATCTGGAGAATAGTTCAGCTATAGCACTACGCCACATGCAATTACACACACACACACAACCATACAATAGGCTGGATGGGATAAGATGACAGTTTTAAAATCTAATACAACTGACAGAGTAAAGGGAGCTTTGTTTATCGGATCAACTGCAAAATCAACATGTGTAATAGGGATAATTCAACACCTGTCCACCCAAATATCTGGAAAATCCTACTACTACTACCTCCAACGACGACAAATAGGAGAGAACAAAGAAGACTATAGCACTCAAGTTTCGAAGTCGTGTGATTATAATTGATGATGAAATGATTATGAACAGTAATAAATATTGTTCGAAACTTTGTCATCATCACTGTGTGATGATACATCTAATAAACAAACTAATATGAAATGACTTACTACCACAGTGGACAAGTTTTACACATATAGTAAATATGAGTATTGAACAATCAGAGGAAAAAGAAGAAAGAGAAAAAAAATAACTAAAACTCAACTCACCGACAACTTTCATTTTATTCTCTGCTACAGCATTACACGATGGACAATTCATTGTGATAGACATCACTTCATCTTTTTCAACAGGTTTTGTAGGCTCATCAACTGGCTCCTAGAAAAGACAATTTTTTTTAAAGAAGAAAACATCAATTACAAAAGTTCATTAACAGTCAGTTGCTTTCGCTAACTCGATAGTGAATATCAGATGACCGGTCACAAAAAGGATTAGAAAGTGGTATCCGTCAGGGATTCCTAACAATGTCCCCATTTCTCTTTAGTTTTCATCATAGTTGTACTAAAGGAATTCACCCTAATACCCTTCAGACAGCCAGGGATTGACCTATTACCATCAGAGAATAATCTCGTTGACTTAAAAGACACGAATTAGATATACTCCTGCTCCTAGGTGAAGACGCTGACAAAATAGAGTAGAGTCTTCTTAACACCTTCAGCAGCAATCTATGAATGTTTGACATGCGATTTGACCCCATCAAATGATTCTACAAGACTGGACTAGCTTAGAAATAGGGAGTGAAGTGGTTAGTGGAGTGTGTTCACCACTTCACTTATTTGGGAAGTTGCATCAGCCCCAACCCCAGTGGTTTGGTCGTGGACGAAATCTCAACGCGGATAACAAAGGCTTGTTTGGCACTAGCTAAATTACGCCGTCTCTGGCTTAGTAGACGTCATATGTGGCTGGCTGCTCAGCAGTTCGCTCTGTCCTCCTTAAAGTCTACTGTGAGATATGACCATTGAAACTGGGAGGTACAAAAAGGCTAGCTGTCTTCGGTAGTTGGTATAATAGGGTGAGTAATATTGAGGTTTAGGCATCGGTCGAGTCTTAGGTGAGCAGGAAGGGAAATCAATCGACAAAGTTGTGAAGTTACATCGGTTGAAATGGTTAGGACATGTGTTGTGCATGGCTAGCTGAATCTAGTCATCGCCTTCCTCGACGGGTAATGTTAGCTGACATAGGATGGATCAGGTTGGAAAAGAGCTAGCGGCGGTTTAACGAAAACATGGCTTTATCAGTTAGTGAAATCTACAACAGCTAGTTTAAGTCACGTCAGGAGGTGTAAACTTCCCGGTTGGGGTCCTCGGGATGGTACAAACCAGTGTCTGGAGGCAATCGATGATATGGCTCAAAATCGTTTTCAGTGGAGCAGATACATCCACTCCTTGTGACTTATAATACCCAATGAAACTATATTGTTCCTCGATACTACTATTCTTTTTGCCTCATATCTGTGTTTACTGCCTCTATTTTGCATTTCTTTTAACTTTCTTCTCTTGCTTTGTGTACCGAGTGAAGTATGGCGAGTTGAACTGCTGCACATCGGTGCAACGTTCTATGTTGAAACCAGTCAGTCAGTTATAAGAAACAAGGAATTCTACAACAAACCAATCAAGAACCTTTCCTCCAACAAATATACAAAATGAAATGGAGATAGCTAAAGAGATGTATGCGTCGGTGGCACGCACAGAGGTAGAACTCTCGGGAACCACGCCATACATGGTCCGGAGTTCGATACCTCCACTGACGCACTCGTTTACCTAGCTAAGCCAGTAATAAGACTGGTAAAGAAGAAGGAAGGTTGACCATGAGACCAGCAACAACCTCATCCCGTGAAAATAAACAAGCACCACTGCTACCGAAACTTCAAGTCTCTAGCCTGAAGCCCTATGCTCCACGGAGAAAGCAAAGGAATTTAAAAAAAGAGAGATAGTAGAGTGATACCCTGTGCCAAGCCCTTGGATAGAATCCCAGTGAGAAACAACGAGTTAGGCGGGTGTCCGAGGGTAACAACATGAAAGAGGTGAAAGCTTTTAGGTGGCAATTGTGTGCAGTCAGCTAAAAAGGACCAAAGAGAATAAAGTGAAATAGAAATGCGCTGTTGATGCCCTATGTCTCACTCAGAACCGAAAGGGATAATGATAATGATAATAATAACATAATGACTCATTCACTTACTTCAGGAATTGTTTCAGGGATATTATTCGCCTTATTGAATAATTCCAAAGGTGGTTGTGGTTGAAGACCAAGTAAATCGTTTTGTTCTGGAGTACGTTCATAAATGGAAATTTCAATTTGAGGATCATCATTTGGAGCTAGATAATTTTCAATGAATCCATTTCCAGACGGATCATCAATAATCTAGATATTTTTGTATTCATATATCAAAAAAGATTGGCAGTTTAGTGGGATTGAAGAAGTTCAATATAACAGTGAAAGAAAGGTAAGTGAAGCAGTAAACTAAGTCAAGTAGTGTTAAATATTTAGGAATTAATCACATCAGCTGACATTGGTTAGAGGACCATTAGAAAACCAGCCACAAGGAGTACTGGACAGCTGTTTCATCAGCCTAGTTTGGAAATCATCGGCAGTACGCTCCGACAGCCAGGGGCAGAACCAAAAAAAATTCCGGCTACAAGGCAAGCTCGTATACCAGCCAGCCACTGGGACCCGGATCCTTTAATGACCAGTTCATGAATTCTAACTTCTACCAATTCGTGATTTAGCGCAACCACCAACCGATGTTATCGGTGGGACATCCATCCACACACGTGACATTTAATTGGACCTCACTGGTCACGACGTCTCACTAGAACTCCATCCTGTAGCAAATCATTTTGCGTTCCACAGTGGAACATAGGGGACTTCAAGCTTCAACTTTTAGAAGTTTCAGAAGCAATTTTTGTCCTTTAACGGAATGAGGGTTGCTAACCCCCCCCCAACCTTCCCTATTTACCGGAGCTTAATTCCGGCTAAGTGAGGTTTAGCAGTGGTGTCGACCGTGGATAGAAGCTCAGGCCACATAAGCATGGTTCGGTAAGCATTCATTCTACCACTGAACCACCGACGCAGGTGGTGTATGTTGAAGACGAAGTAATCTAGTTGGTAGGAAGCTATGAATGACAAGTCTCACTCTTCTCGAAGTTCACATTATCTATTCCAGGAAGGAAATTAACACAGCGCTATCGAGATTTGAATCTCCAGACTGAAAATATACTCTTGTTGATATGAATGCCCGAAACCAATGAAATTACTCATCACTGTTGTCCTATATCATAATATAGTCTCTAGTTTAGATAGAGGAGCTAAATACGGTCGGTGTGCCTTCCTTGATTACACATCTGCATTTGACTCTGTACCTAGGTCTCTCTTGCTAAGTAAGCTTGCTGTAACACAGGCTGAGAGCTGAACAAATAAGTGGTTGCATTCCTATTTTTCTGATAGGAAGCAGTACACCATCTACAATGGAAAGTCCTCCACTACCTCACTTACTTTAGCTGGTATTCCTCAAGGTGCTCTTCTTTCTCCTTTTCTGTTTTCTTACATGACTTGCCCCATTCTGATGTGGCCACTTTTGATAAGTATGCTGATGACATCTCTGTTTCTATGCCTGTCAACTCTCAGTCAGATTGTTCCAAATTAAATAAATTTCCGTTGGAAATTAGTCAGTGGTCCTCATCAAACGGTCTTAAGCTGAATCCATCTAAATGTCAAGTAGTCAATTTCACTTTCAGACGAAAACGTGACCTACAACAAATGGCTAGCTCACATGGCCCCACTATCATTGACGGCATAGAGGTTGAAATTACATCTAATGTCAAGTACTTTGGACTGAGTATTTCCTCCAATCTTTCCTGGTCCTCCTACATCTTGCTAGTTACTAAAAAGATGCTTCGCTTAACCTTCTACGTTAGGAAGTTAAGGCACTCTGGTATAAAGCAGTCTTTGCTTTCTCAGTTTGTCAATTCTTGTATTCTACCCATCCCTCTTTACTGTTCCCCATTAATCTTTCCTGGACTACTTAAGAAAGACTTTGCTTTGCTGAGAAGGGCACTAAAAGCCGTTAGTAGGGCAAGTGGGATATCGTTAAACCAACTGGTTAACACTATTGTGGACAGACATATAATGTCATGTAAGAAACTAGCGAATACTATACTGTCAGACCCCAAGCATCCTCTCTATACGCGGCTCTCTCATCGCTTTTCATTTGATAGAACTAGAAGCAGCTATAGGAGGCTATATGCTAGGACTACCAAGTACAAAAACTCCACAAAACCATATCTGACACAGCTGTTATGTGATGAGAAATCCGTTAGGTATGACACGATAAACTTACTGCGGCACTCTAACAAATAGTCCCATTAGCTTTTGTTTTCCTTTCTTCGTTACTATTACACTGTTGTTCTCATCTTCTATTACACATCAACTTTATATTTCATATCCCGTGGTGCATTGTTTAAAGTATACACGCAACGCTGTTCTTTTTATTTCATTTTATTTATCTTTTTTGGTTGTTGCTTTTTGATTTTAAAATCTTATAGAATTTATGAGGTAATTAGATGCAAGATATTGTAATGCACGCTGAAAACTCCATACCTGTACCACAAATACTGTTTGGAATAAAGCTGTTATTATTATTATCATTTAGATTAGTGTGACCAAACTGCACGATTGATAGATTTCGATTAACACTGAAGACCAACTAAAAATTGGTTTCCAGAAGGACAGAGCACTCATCCAAAGACCAGAACGATATGTAGTTTCGCCTGGTAGTGCAACCACATCTACCTCTAGCAAAAGAAATGGTTAGTTGGCTTAAGCACTCGACTTTTAGCCAACAGACCAGGATGTCCGATCCCCCTTCCAACCCCCGCCGTCTACTCTCCACTTAATTCGACCTGAACAACTGGGTAGAATGGCCAGCGCTTACACACTAAGTGCCGTTTATAGCCCAGCGCATATGCAAAATTTGTTCTGGACATCTGGATTCTAATTTAAACCCCCTAACTAACGTCTTTATTGGTTACTGCCTGTCTGTCTGGTGGTCGATTCACATGAACAACTCCCTAACTTCTTGAAAGATGAAGTACCTACACTAGACTAACCACTTCATATTGTATCTACGAATTCAACTGAGCTTGTGGTGGAGCAAGTTATATTGGCCGTTGCTCTAGGAACTTGATTTTTCGCTCTCTCTCTCTCGAGAACATCTTCCACTATGGCTAAGTAAAGGTGTAGTGAAAACCATTAACAGTTCGATATTGGACCATCTGGTGCAAACCGGCTGGCCACAAAGCCAGCCAGCATTGAAGATTTCTTCTCTATCATCTACCGGGTGCCTAATAAATTGCCAAAATCATCATCGAAGCACAACATGCTCCAAACAGCAGAGGCTATTGCAATTCGCCTCAAATAACCAGTGCTCTGTGTTCAAAAGAAGCAAGTCCAGCCAGCCACTACTGCCCTGACCAACAGAAGAGACTATAAATTCATGAATTTGTAATATTATCTTTCCTAATTTTTCTGTCTGATATTCAGCTTATTTTATGTTGATGCTATTGAGTTGTAATCCATTGATGTTATTATTGATTCAATGTTATTTAAACAGCATTAATCTTTGTTGTTCATAACACTAATTCATTCATTTGTTTACTATAATGTATAGATAACTGTAGAGCCTGATGATGAAGGGGTTATCGAAAAGAGTACTCTTTGTTCAGTATCCATTCTTTTGAAAAACTTGTGAATTCCCAGGAGTGACTGATGAGTTCCGAATAAAGTGAAGAAAAAAGACATGCTGACTCCCTACTGAGATAGTCCAACTATATACCAAATCAAGCTTCTCTAACTGTTTAAAAAAAGAAGGCAAAAGACAAATTAGAAAAAAAAGGTATAATTAGGTTAGATTAGTGAATAATCTACAAATAGACTTACAATTGTAAATGGCTTGTCTAAATTTAATAAATTACACAATTGACGCATAAAACTTTCAATTTTCTCTGCCAAGTCTGGATCAGCTTGCTGTTAACACGAATATATACATACAAAATTACAATGAGAACATACCTTTCTTTCAGGTTGTAAACTGTTTAAATTGTCTACCACTGTTGTAAGTGTTCCTTCAACAGTTGATAAACCTTGAGAAGACAAACAGAGTACAAATTAAAGACATGAAAGAATCAACACAATTAACTCGCACTTATTATTATTATTGTTTCCTTTAATTCCTAGAGGAACATAGGGGGCTTTAGCCAAGCAACGTCTCCACTGAGTTCGGTTCTCTCTCTACTAGAGTTTTCACCTGGTTCCAAGTCTGCCCACATGCTTTCATCTCCTCTTCACATGACCTCCTCCAAGTCACCCTCACACTGATGACCAGCTCGCCGCTTCCCTTTCGGACTCCACTCAAGAGATTTTCTAGTGATGTCACTTGATGGTTTGTTTCCTCAGAATATGGCCTCTAATCCACCTCCATTTATTCCTGTAGATTTGTTGCACAATCGGTTCCTGGTTGGTTCGCTCCCAGAGATCCCTGTTGTGGATCTTTTCTGGCCATCTGATCTTGAGTAGTACTGAGCGAAGACATGTTGACGAAGGTCTGTAGTTTGTTTGAGGTGTTCTTTATGGCGCGCCAAGTCTCTGATCCGTATAGTAATTAGCACTGACTTCACATTGGAGTTGAAAATCCGGATCTTATTTTTTATACTGAGTGCTGTTGACCTCCTCACATACTTGAGAGTAATGAAAGCTTGCCTTGCTTTCCCGATCCTCGCTTTGATATCCTCGTCAGTTGCGTCCACCTGTAGTTGAAACGATGCTTCCCAGGTAGGTAAAGGAGGTTGTTTCTTTCAGGTTCCTTCCATTTATGCTGATTGTTGCTTTTGGCGTTTCCCAGGAATCCTAATCAACTCTGTTTTCTCTATTATTTATTTATTTTTATTTTTTTATTTTTGATTACAGCTTGATTCCACACCGTATTTTTGGTACAAGTGTGGAATTTTCAGCATGGATATCGGTAGCCCAAATTTTGCAGGCCGACCATAGATATCAGGTGTGCGTCAGCGTGGGCTCGAACCTCGGACCATGTGCATGGTCGGCGAGAGTCCTAACCACTGTGCCACCTGAAGTCCTATCTTTGATGCTTCTTCTGCCAACTTTTTGCTTTTCACTTGCATATCTTCCAGTTTGTGGGAAATCAGACATATATCATCGTCGAAGTCCAGATCCTCCAAGTATTCTTTTGTGTGGGTTCATTTTATGCCTCTCTCCTCGTTGCTGTCTGTCGCATTATCCAATCTACTGCAGTCAGGAAAATCATTGGAGATAGTAGGCAGGCAGCCAGCCAGCCTTGTCTTATTCCCGTCTTCACTTCGAAGGATTCCGTAAGTTTCCCGTTGTGGACTACTTGGCATTCAGCATTGTCGTACAACTGATGGATGAGATGAATAACTATCGACGGTACCCCGTAGTAGCGAAGCAGTTGCGAAATCACCTCTCGATCGACGCTGTCGAAGGCCTTTTCAAAGTCTATGTAGTTGAGATAGAGAGGTGACTGCCATTCCAAGCTTTGTTCAATGATGATCCATAGTGTGGCAATTTGATCGATTCATAACAACTTGTTTCTCGTGAATTCAGCTTGTTCCGGTTGAAGTTTTTCATCCAGGGTGGTGTGTTTGATTCTCCCCATGATGATTCGGCTTAGTATTTTGCTTGGGATGGACAGGAGAATAACTCCGCGCCAGTTCTTGCATTGACTTATGTCTCCTTTCTTTAGCAGTTTGAATAAGTAGTCTTTCTTCCAATCATCGGGTACTTTGCCCTCTTTCCACACCTTCTTCAGTAATGGTGTCACCAAGTCCGCTGTTGTCTCTGGGTCCATTTTCAATGCTTTTTCTGGGATTCTGTCTGGTCCTCGTGCTTAAAGACAGTATCAGCTCATTAGGTGTGTAACACATTACAATGAAGGTGTGAACTGTAACCATCTCTGTCTGTCTGTCTGTTTTCGACATAGAACTTTACACAAATGTGCAGAAGTTCAAGTCACCACACTCTGTGTAGCACGCGAAGCAAGAGAAGAAAGTACAAGAAAAGCATAATAGAAACAGTGAGCAGAGGTGTGAGACAAAGGAGTAATAAAGAAATACAAAACAGTTTCATTGAAGATCATAAGTCACAGGGAGTGGATGCATCTGCGCCACTGAGAACGGTTTTGAGCCATGTCACCAATTGTTTCCAACCATAGATTTTTACCGTCCCGAGGACCCCAGCCTGGAAGTCTACACCTTCCTACGTGGCTTAGACCAACTGTTGTGGATTTCATTGACTGGTGAGGCCAAGTTTCTGTTTGACCGCCGCTAGCTTTTTTCCAGCCTGACCCTATATCCGCTAACATTGCTCGTCGAGGGAGGCGATGACTTGGCATACGTAACACATGTCCTAACCATCTCAGTCTTTGTAGCTTCACGACTTCGTCGATTGATTTCCCCTGTTTACCTAGAACTCTACGCCTAACCTGAATGTTGCTCACCTTATTATGCCACTTTACACGGGAAATAGAACGCAGGCGCCTATGATCAAAGACAGCTAGTCTTTTCATGTCTTCCACTCTCAGTGGCCAGGTCTCACAACCATAAAGGAGGACGGAGCGGACTGATGAGCAGTACACCCGCCCTTTGGTCGATAGTCGAACATCTCGTCTACGCCAGAGTCGGCGTAAACTGGCAAATGCGAAACTAGCCCTCTGTATCCGTCCTGAGATTTCGTCAGAGATCAACCCGTTGGGGCTGATGGTACTTCCCAAATAAGTGAAGCGGTCAACGTGCTCTACCACTTCACTTCCTATTTTTAAACTAGGCATCGATGTAGTCCAGTCCTGTAACATCATCTTGCATTTAGCGGGAGCGAATCGCATGCCAAACATTCGTAGATTGCGGCTCAAGGTGTTTAGAAGACTCTGCATTTCGTCAGCGTCTTCGCCTAGAAGGACTATATCGTCTGCATATTCCAAGTCAACGAGTTTATTCCCCGGTAGCAAGTCAATCCCTGAGTCGCTGAAGTCACCTAGGGTTAAGTCCATTAACACATCTATGATAAAGTTGAATAGAAAAGGAGATAATGGGCATCCTTGACGGACACCACTAGTCGTCATCAGTTCAGATGACAGCTCGCCGTAAGCCCTCACCTGGCTGTATGAGTACGAGTAGAGTGCCTTAATCAGTGCAATATATTTTCTTGGAATTCCCTTTACAGCCAAGCATCTCCAGAGAACTTCCCGATCGACAGAGTCGAATGCTGCCTTTAAGTCAAGAAATATAATGACTGTTGGACGCCGGTAGGAATGCCTATGTTCTAGAATCTGTCGGAGGGTGAAGATATGATCAATAACCCTCTTCCTGGTCTAAAGCCTGCCTAGCTCTCTCGTGTTTGTGCTTCCCGAGCACCACTCAGTCTACGCATGATTATTGAGCCTAAGACTTTAGATACTATATTAGTCAAGCTAATCCCTCTGTGATTATCACAGGAAGACTTGTCTCCCTTCTTGTATATGGGGATAATCAGTGACTTACACCAACCCGATGGGACTTCTTCTGATTCCCAGACGCTGCCTAGTACCTCAGTTAATCCGGACAGTAAGCTGTCTCCACCGTACTTAAATACCATCTCAGCCTTACAACTGTTTCATTACAAATATAAAGGAAGAAAAGGGAAGCTTTTTTGTCAATCGAGTGCTTGATATAACTTCGGTAGTATATTCAACTGAATATTGGTGGTATAAATAAAGGCTTGTGTCTTGTGAACACCTTTGAACAGAAATCTTCAAATGTTTGACAAGCGATTTGCTCCTGTGCAAATGCAAGATGGTGTTGAAGAACTGGTGTGCACTAATGCTTAGTCTTAAATATTGGTAGAGATGAAGCAGTATGGACTGTATGGACCACTTCACTTACATCAGCTCTTATAGACTGGCTTGCTAACAAAATCTGGGCATGGATGCAAAAGGCCTATGTGGTATTTGCCAATTTACGTCATCACTGGAGCAGATGTGATATCCGGTAGGAAACGAAAAACAATAAAATTTAGAACAACACGCATTTAAGCGAACAATATTGTGGTTTCAATTACATTTCATCAGGCTTAACTCTAATATACCTACAGAACTTTACAAATAAAAATTCATATATAAACCAGTCATGGTATTTTGTCTATAGGATATAAATTGTGCAATTAGTCATAATAGTAGTAATGACAATAATAATAGTAATAGTAACAATGCTGTTATCAGTAATAAGGATGAAAAAGTGAGGCAATCTATGACACCACGAATAATGAAAAACAGCATGATTAAACAAACAAATCTTCAGGTGGAAGCAGCCAATAAAGGCTAGTAAAAACAAATGAACCGATTAAGTAATGCTAGACTGATTGTAAGGGAAGTAAATGAGACACATTTATAAACGAAGATGTGATAAGATTAAGGGAAGATAAGAAAGGGGTTGAAAATATAAACAAGGAGTGGTGTGGAAGTCATCAGTTCGTTATGTCTCAATACCCCAATAAGGGAGGGATAGTGGCTGTTCGAACTTCTTTTGAATGAGCATAGTTTAGGTTTATTAGTTCGAATGCCTATCGCCTGACTCAGCTGTGTACAGTAGACGAATACGAAGTCTATTAGAAAGATTCGGTGAGATACGATGAATTACTTTGAAAGCTCTCGTTTTCTCCACTACATGACCACTATCAACTAAATGTGACAAAATCGAGCTGCGGATTGTTTTTGTCTATCCTTTGTCAAACCACGATGGGAGATGTTCAATAGTGACACGTTGACTAGGTTGTCTAGTTGTGCGCCCAACATAACTGTCACCTCAGGTGCAGTTGACTTGATAAATGCACATACATGTGGCAAAACTATCTAGCTTATCCTTCGTTTGAGTCCCGATCATTTGTTGGCTAGAGAATGACAAACACAGGTATCCTGCGTAAAATGTTCTTCGTATACTCCTGGAAGAGGATTTTTACGTGCAGTCAGAGTCTCAGGTTTTTCCTCTGATGTTTTCATATGCTTCTTTATGAAACTACTCGGATAGCCCATCTCCGTCAAGGAATCGTGAATATATTCAAGTCCCTTTTGTAAGAGGTCATCCGTACATATATTTCTTGCACTGTTCGTAAGACATTTAACCACATTCCTTTTATATTTAATACGCACGTAACTAAGAAAGTGTGTGTATTGCCCTGTGAATGTGCTTTTTCTATACACGCTTCTCCCAAGTGACCCATCTTCTCTCTTAATTAGCAAGACATCCAGAAAGTGTAGTTTATTCTCCTGCCCTTCTTCACAAGTTCATTACTACTATTATGACTAATTGCACAATTTATATTCACCGTCGTAATATCCTATAGACAAAATACCATGATTGGTTTATATTTGAATTTTTATTTGTAAACTTATGTAGATATATTAGAGTTAAGCCTGATGAGATGTAATTGAAACCACAATATTGTTCGCTTAAATGCGTGTTGTTCTAAATTTTACTATGGGAATATTTAATATATTGAAAAACAATAAAACAATTGTTAGTCGTATTTTCTTTTTCTATAAGCGGTAAGATGCGTACCTTGATGTGGACGGATGTACCAGTGAGACAGATCTCAACACAGGTATACACATAAAATTAATTGCAACATTTTAATTAGCATTATTACATACTAACTTTAATGAGTCTAAGGAATTACATAAAAGTCTATTTAGACAAGCTCTTAAATCTGTTCGACATTTTTCAATGACTTAAATTGATGTTTCCGGGGTGATTATCAAACAAGGTAAGTTGTATTCACTGACTTCATGCAGCAAAGGGCGTTAGCACAAAAGTGGAGTTGAATTGGTGAAGATGAATTTGAACTTAAACGCTTTGGATTAGACTAACGCTTATGTGAGTGGTTCAGTGACTACCTGATGGATAGGGGCAGAAGGTAAGGGTTAACGGTGAACTGTCAGGGTGGAAAGCAGTAACAAGTGGAGTACCCCAGGGAACTGTACTTGACCCCCTGCTATTCCTATTATACGTAAATGAAGTGCCGAAAATTCTTACCTCATCTTCCCTACTATTTTCAAACGATATTAAGATATGGAAAACTGTAAATAGTAACGATGATAGCTTGGTACTACAAAACGATCTAGATAAATTAGCCGAATGGGCTGACCTTTGGAGTCTGGAAATTGGTTCCAAGAAAAGCGTGGTAATGCACCTAGGTCAGAAGTCTTACACGTCGTACTCCATGGGGGACACAGAACTGCCAGATGTTAGGAGACAAAAGGACTTAGGAATTATTGTAAGCCATGACTTAAAAACAGCGGCAAATTGTAATCGAGCCACAGCTAGGGCTTTTCGAATTCTATGGGCACTTCAAAGGGATTTTAAACGATTAGACGAGGGTATGTTTCAAGTACTCTATACAATATATGTCAGACCCCACCTAGAGTACCGCATACAAGCGGCGAGTCCATGCTTCAAAAAGGAGGTACATATCCTGGAAAAAGGACAGAGGGTAGGAACCAAATTATTTAGTGGTATCTCACACCTTCCTTATGATATGAGGAAGAGCATTTAAATCTCCTCCCATTATCATGCCAAAGGAGGAGAGGCGACTTAATTTCGGCTTACCGTATATTCAAGGGTGATTTAGGGATTGACCTTTCAAACCTTTTCTCTCCCTCTAGGATACATTTACGAGGTTGCCACAAGAAAATGCTCAAACTGAGGATGACTAAAATACGTGCAGTAATTAGATTCTCTCACAGAGTGGTCAACGACTGGAACTCCTTACTTGATTCAGTAGTAACAGCTCCATCGGTGAACGCTTTCAAAGAGAAGCTGGATCTCTACAGAGGTATATATATCTCGAGATTAACATAGGCAACAAGAGCCTTCTATCCTTATAATCTGAATCTGGACATTCATCTAGAGGAGCTGGTAAACCCAGATTCCAAATCTATGGTGCACAGCGGCTCCAAAATGCGAAAGAGACGAACCTCTGTATTTTTATCAACGGAAACCGTGGAGGGGGGGTTAGCTTCTAACATCACTCTGATGTCTTGTGAATCAGATTTCAAGTCAAAAGTTCGAGGATTCACCCCTCAAGGCAATCACCTCTTTCGGTCTGTGTACCTCACGCCTAACAAAGGCTTCGTATGACGAATATCCAGACAGTCATACTGTGGTAAGTTTGCTTAATTAATAATCACAATAATAATAATAATAATGGGCAAAACTAACCTCCATCAGAAAACGGGAATGAAGAGTCTAATTCTGGAATCTCTAGTGTTGAACCAGGCGGTATAACAAGACGTCGATTGAGATCTTTTGCATTTTTAACTGTAAGTGTTAAACGTTGGCCTTTATCTTGAACACGAGAAGCTGGTGTAATTAATCGATTTTCATTTCCACAATGTGTACAACTGAAAGATGAGATGATAACCTCTTTAAAATATGCTATTTTTGTCAACAACAGGAATGTTGTGCCCTTATATGAAAAAAACAGAACAAGAAAAGATTAAAAATGAGCCGACTGACAAAGTAAGACGTATAAGTTTGTAAAGAATTTATATATATATATATATATATATATATATACTTCCATAATGTGCGTTAACACTCAACAACCACGTGCATTCATACTTAGTTGGCAGGTTTTAGACCAGGAAGAGGATGAATTTATCATATCTACCCCACCCCACACTTTGACAGATTCTTGAACATAGATATACTTACCGGCGTCCAACTATCGTCATATTTCTTGACCTGAAAGCGTCAATTGGTTCCGTCGACCGAGAAGTATCATGGTGATATTTGATTGTGAAGGGAATGCCGGGAAAATGCATCAAACTGATCAAGGCACTCTGCTAGAACTTATGTAGTTAGCTAGGTGAGAGCCTATAGAGAGTTGTCATCTGAAGTAGTAACACCCAGTGGTGTCCGTCAGGGATTCCTAACAATGTCTCCATTTCTATTCAGTTTCATCATAATTGTACTAATGGACTTCACTCTAACTGACTTCAGAGACTCAGGGATTGACCTGTTACCATCAGGGAATAATCTCGTTGACTTAAAATACACAAATAAGATATAGCCTTGCTCCTAGATGAAGACGCTGACAAAATGCAGAATCTTATAAACACCTTGAGATGCAATCTGCAAATGTTTGACATGCTAACTGACCCCACGAAATGTAAGATGATATTATAGGACTGGACTACACTGACTCCTAGCTTAGAAATAGGGAGTGAAACGGTAGAGCACGTTGACCGATTCAATCATTCGGGGAGTTGCATCAGTCAACCCCAGTGGTTTGGTCGCTGACGAAATCTCAACACGGATAACAAAGGCTCGTTTGGAATTAGCCAAATTACACCGTCTCTGGCGTAGACGTGACATGTAGCTGGCTATTGATCAATCGACTGATGCACTGCTCAGCAGTTCATTCCGTCGTCCTTTAACATCGGCTGTGAGACATGACCATTGAAAGTGGAAGGTACGAAAAGACTACCTGTCTTTGATCGTAGGTTTTTGTGTTCCATCTCCCGTGTTGGGTGATTTAATACGGTGAGCAGTAATGAGGTTTAGGCATAGGTGGAGTGCTGGGTAAGTGAGGAGGAGGGGAAATCAGTCGATGCGGTTGTGAAGTTACATCGGTTGAGGTGGTTAGGACATGTGTTGTGCATCCCTAGCTTAATCTAGCCATCGCATTCCCCGACAGGCAATGTTAGCTGACATAGGATGGACCAGGTTGGAGAAGAGCTAGTGATGGTCCATCGTTCTCCTATATTACCATTCTTTTTGCCTCATATTTCTGTTTATTATCACTTTTTTGAATCTCTCTTTACTCTCCTCTCTTGCTTTGTGTGCTACATGGTATGGCAACTTCAGCTGTTGCACATTTCTGCAATGTTTGGCGTTGAAACCAGTCAATTAATCAATCACTTAGTTGCCAATGAGCCCCACTAGCAATTCATACAACCTAGTTTCTTAAACCTTGATAGGTGAGACGGAATTCGATCGCATAACCCGGTGGTTGGAAGTCAATCGCCTAAAGCCAATAAGACAGGATCATTGATAGCGTATGAATTGAAATGCATTATTACCATTATTAGGATTATTTGACAATATTAAAAGCATGATAGCATGTGTTGTGACCAGTCAACTTAACATACAGAATATTCGACATTAAGATTATATTAAGCTAGTTAACAATAATTTCAAGAGCTCAACTGGTCACTAACAATACTGCAGCTCAAAAATTTATGACAGATTTACACATTAAATGTCCAAGCATAATTGATGCAGTTAGGATTCTATTAAGAGGTGTGTTTGAAATCAATATCTAATTCAAGTTTTTACGCTGATAAACCACATTTCAAAATCAAGTAAAAATAAATGTCTACTATGCATTGCACATGAAGTCTTCTGTATAACTATTATGAAAACACCACTGATACGAGACATTTCGTATATTGAAATTGTTTCACAATTTAAAAAGATGACACTTGTATAAGCATAGTCTACCTGACTAACTTGCTGACGAATCAACCTGCAGTTTTGCTCAGAAGTGCATCATGTAAGCTCTTGGCACTTCAAAAGAGAAGAACAGAATCAGTGATACTAGGTAAAACAAATGTATGACTGAGCGAATAATTAAATGAGAATTAGTCTAGCTCTTAAAATCTAAAAGATAGTGAGGATTGAAAACCTCTGCCACTCCGACTATTGACTCTTGAGAAATACTATCACAGTGAATAAAGTGAGAGCGTTTTATACCAGTTACAACAAAACACATGTAAATACGCAATATGATTGAACTGAAATATGATCTGTAGGCGGAATTTAATGCACCAACTCTTGACTAACAAAAATAACTGCAGCCTTCAGACAAAGAAACATTTCTGGGATCTAGGTAGAGTGTTCGAATACTCTTTGAGTGCGGTTGATTCAATCACTTTCGAAATAATGATAGAACAATCATCTAAGTAGTAACTGACGGTTAAAAGAAATTTTAAAAAGTTGTTCAAGCAATTGATGTTAAGGTACTTAGGGAGAATGACACAGAGTAGTTTTTGAATTCGATAAACGAAATTAATAGCTATAATACGGAAAACAAACTCGATACTCTAAGACTGACGTCGTTCGTTAACAGTGTCTCCTAAGAAGAAGAGAAATCCATTTGTAATAAATAAAACAATTAAGTTAAGTAGGCATACTACAGGTCTGAGCGCTCTTGTTTAGCCAGTAAGTGTGGAAACTAGTAGTAATAGTTTGCCATCTGATACTATATTTTCTAGCTTCAGTAGGACGTCGAAATGCCCCACCGAGGCTGACTACGTACTATGGGAAACAAAGGTAAGAAGTGAAAGGAGTATTAAATGGAAACCGGGGACTAGTTGAATCCCATAAAGCACTGTTCTATGACCTCAATTAGCCCCCACTGAATACTTCTCATTCTCTAGTTGAAAAGTAGAAAAATTTACCCAAAGACTAATTGGCGTGTTTAAGGTCACCCTAGAATCTTCTAAAACAGACAGCATTCGGTATTCCTGTCGCAAAGCTCACTTAGGCAACATGCCTTATCTATCCAAGCTATGAAGTTAAAGTAATCCCATTGAATCACAATAATGTGGATGGGATACGTTTCACCTTCAGTGTGAGCTTATCTCATGATCTTTGTTTTCCTTTTCACTCTTCTGTAACAATCTATACTTTCACCATTTCTCCGGTTAAGTTTTGCATCAAATAGGATGATGTGAAAACAACTCCACATACAGGAAATCTTAAGGGAGTTCGGGAGTCTTTTGAAGGAAAATTATTTCCGCACTTCCCCCCCCCAGACATTTTTTTAATTTGCTCAAGAATTATAATATCTGGTAGTGTCACTAAGCAACACTGAGTAGTGCACGTTCATCTAATTTTGATGAATTAGGAAACAAAAAACAGGAATAAAATGGACCTAGCAACCTTGATTATGAGGACAGGGTCTGCCGAAAAATTAGACGCATGTGAAGGTAAAAGAAGAGGTTAGATGTTGAAGAACAGACTAACGAAACTGGAATATACATGAACTCGTAACAGTAAAGAGTAAACACTAACTTTGGATGACGTTGAAACAGCCGGTCAGGTTCTTCTACGTAAAAAGTAGTACTTATTTGTAAAAAGTGTACCTATGATATATGTGCAGTAGGAGTGAATCATGCAGGGTACACATCTCATATGATGCAAAAGCTGGCTCTAGTTTCCCATAGAAGTGGTCACAGACACATCAAACCAATTTACTCTTTATTTCTGAAGCTGCAGCAGCTACTGGTCGCATATACGCAATATATTACTGAGGGAGAGTATCGATTTCGAGAAGAAAATGTCAAAAAATCAACATTTTGTACGGCTTACCAAGTCCTTCATATAAAGTGGTTGCATCTGAGTGAATAACCATCAGTAGCCCAGTAACACTTTTCCCTCTACATGCGCATGTTTTAGCCCTCCCTATCAACCCATTTTGTACAGAGTAGTGAGAAACGAAATCCAGGAGACACTAGTAACGAGGAGTATGACTAGCATCCATTTGTAATGGTGAGCTATCTGGTTGGTTAAATCAAGGTCATTTGACTTTGGGGTGTCAGTTGTTTACTCTTGGCCATGAACTTCTAAAGTACATATGCAAAATGGCTTCACTAAAAGTCTTCTCATATTTTCTACATCAGAAAACATCTCCATGCAACGACTAGTTTCAGTGTATGTTTGCCTACAGCACGTAAACACAACAAACTGTATTATCTGCTTACATTTTTTAAGCATTTGACACATAAACTTTCTATCTCAATCGGGTTCGAGTCTTCATCAGCACTTAATTCTGTAATCATGCTTAATTGCTGCGTTAGATCTAAAATTGGCGCGTACAGTTCTCAATATCCAATACGTTTTTCTGACTCTGATTCATTGGTTGAGGATAGAAGCTTCTGAGCCTTTGTTGATCCGTTTCTGAGTAGATTTCTGTGCTTTTTCAAACCCTTCTTGAATGAATTAGGTGGAGAGTTCAATAACTCGGTGTGAGAACCAGTATTCCACAGCAATATAATTTTACTTTTTTATATTTTTGATTACAGCTTGATTCCACACTGCATTTTTGGAACAAGTATGGAATTTCCAGCATGGATATCAGTAGCCCGAATTTCGAAGGCCATCCATTGATATCGGCTGTGCGCTGGCAGGGGATAGAACCCCAGACCATGTGCATGGTCGGCGAGAGTTCTGACCACTGTGCCAACGATTCCCATATATAATTTATTCTTGACATTCTGCTTTGTCCTCTAAGGTGTTTTCACCATGGAGAAGGAAAAGAGAGAACACGTCAGGTGTGTAGACGTTATTTAAAATATTAAATATTGTCATTAAATGTTCTCTCTGCCTAGAGTATTGTAGCGGTAAATAATTCCTCAAAATTATTGACCACAGCAATCACTCATTGGATGCTGACCACCACTGTTTAAGTCGACTTGTTTAGCTGAAGGCTTCCGGTCAAGCATCCCCGCCATTTGGTACTCCGTCGTGTCACGTGCACGATCACTAGCTAGCTAAGCGTTCGTCTAACGGCTTGTTTTGGTTCCAAAATATATTACGAAGTTTGGACGATCAATTATTGGCTTTTGCTTTGTCTTTGGTACGCGAGAATAAATTAATTAGAAGTTGCTGAACGAGATATCCGTCAACCTTTAAACTGGTGAGCCCAACCGCGAACTTCATCCACGATAAATCCGCAGATAACCCCGGTGAGTTCGTTCCATTTTGTATTTGTTCTTGTACCATACATTATTCGACTTAATTTTCGTCATGAGTGATCTTAGTCCCAAGGTTATCCGTATCCGCTCTACTCCTAAAACCATTCAGCTCCTACCATACTGGCCAGATAATGCTGAAACTTGGTTTCTGCTAGCTGAAGCAGATTTTTGTGAGCATGGGATAACCGATCAACGTCCACAGTTACTTCCAGTTATTCACGCTCACCGCGCGAATTCAGCAAGCACGTAACATCACAGATGTTGAGTCCCGAGGCAAGTAACTCGTACGAGTTGCTCAAAGCATCCCTCCTCAGGAGACACGTTCTCACGGACCGACAACGTCTAGATGAATTATTTCGTAACATCGAGTTAGGAGATCAGTCAGCCGTGAGCATGCTGACAAGAATGAAGGAAGTCATCGGCCAAAGTCAGCTCGACGAAGGACTGTTTAGAGAACTCTTCTTAACCAAGTTGCCACAGTCTGTACAGACCGTACTTGTGACACTTCAGGGTACTGTAATAGAGGACTTAGCTATTACTGCAGATAGGATTCTAGAAATAACTAAACGGCCTGTTCCCGAAATATGCTCGATGACTAAGCAGACTTCGAGTAAGGATCCTGCAATGATAGAGTTATGCAACTCCACCCAGCAGATGTTTAGGTCGAACATGCATTCTAACTCCTCCGAGCGTCGTCCTAAGTCTCCTCAACGCAGGAACTCACGTGGTCGATCTAAGTCCAAACCACGTTCTCTGAAAAACCCTGACTGGTGCTGGTACCACAACACCTATGGCCAGGAAGCGAAGTGTTGCCGTAAGCCTTGTAACTTCGGAAATGTCTCAAAGTCTGTGGGAAACTATCCCGCCGCCACGCCTTAGCGGTAACCGTCGCCGGTGGCACTAGCCGCCTACTTAACATTCATGATGTGATCAGCCAGACTTAATATTTAGTCGACGCAGGCGCCGAAGTCAGCGTCCTTCCTGCTACAGCAGCAGATCGACAGAAGGAACCTACCTTCAACTTACAGGCTGCAAATGGAAAACCAATCGCAACCTTTTGGTAGGTTTACGCAAACCTATTCGATGGATTTTCCTTCTCGCTGACGTTACAATTCCCGTCATTGGCACGGACCTACTTAATCATTATGATTTACTCGTAGACGTCCTCCGAAAACGACTGATTGACAATACTACTAGTCTGTCTATAAAAGGCATCAGCTACATAGGCCCTAGTTTGTCACCCGTTAAGATAAAGGCAATCCTTGATCCAACTTTTCAACCTATTGTTGACAAGTATCCGGAACTTAATTGCCCGTCGAACGACCTACCGTGCATGACCAGCAATGTTATGCACCACATCATTACCACAGGACAACCTGTGACATCTAAAGCACGACGATTAGCTCCTGACAAACTGAGAATCGCCAGGAATGAATTTGATCATATGCTTACCCTTGGCATCATTCGACCTTCGAATAGCCCATGGGCATCCCCACTTCATATGGTTCCGAAAAAGGATAGCAATGATTGGCGACCCACCGGTGATTACCGGCGAGTGAATGCCAAAACAACCCCCGATTGCTACCCGTTGCCTCATATACACGACTTGACGGCAACCTTATCCGGCGCGACTATATTCTCCAAAATCGACTTGGTTAAAGCGTATAACCAAATCCCGATGGCAACAGAAGATATCCCGAAAACGGCTATCATTACGCCTTTTGGACTTTTTGAATTTCTACGTATGCCATTTGGTCTTCGGAATGCAGCCCAAACATTCCAACGCTTCATTGACGAAGTATTTCGCGGTCTCGACTTTGTATACGCATACGTAGACGACTGCCTCATTGCCAGTCCAGACAAGGAAACTCACCTTAGGCACTTGGACTTGGTATTTGAAAGGTTACGCCAACATGGTGTTACCATCAATATTCAAAAGTGTCAAACCGGTGTTGACTCACTCGACTTCCTGGGTCACACTATTGACTGCAAGGGCATTCGCCCACTGGCTACTAAGGTTAAGCCTCCTAAGAAAAACCGTTCTGGACGCACCGTAAGGTTCTCAGAATATCTGCACACTTATTTGACTTACCGAAGTCGTGTGATTCACGCAACTCATTCGTCTGTGGTACTGACTATTTTTTGACGTATCAATTTTCTTTTATATACAGTACCACCGAAAACAAAATTTTTTTCCAACGGTTCATGTAACATACACATAAAAATTAATTAGATGTATTTTTTTCGATGTTCTGAACTTAGCATTATTTTACTGTATAGTAAATGCACACAATTGTTTTGACCAAAAAGCTCATTTCGTACATTTTCCTCGACATGGTTCTTAGCGTTCTTGTTTTCTTTTCCAGGTGCGACGGGCACTGGACAGGAAAAAAACGAAGCACGGAATCCAACGAACAACAACAAGGAAGCTATGTATAAACACCCTATTAGCATAGACAGACAAACCAGTAGGCATACGACCAAGGCTCTCGGAAGATTTTTTTCACCCGAAAGGGAACCATCGAGTTTTTTTTTACTTCCGGCTGGTTCTGTCTTAGGGTCCTCACGACCCCACTAGGGGGGGAGTTAGCTGTAGCGCTAAATAATTCCTCAAAATTATTGACCACAGCAATCACTCATTGGATGCTGACCACCACTGTTTAAGTCGACTTGTTTAGCTGAAGGCTTCCGGTCAAGCATCCCCGCCATTTGGTACTCCGTCGTGTCACGTGCACGATCACTAGCTAGCTAAGCGTTCGTCTAACGGCTTGTTTTGGTTCCAAAATATATTACGAAGTTTGGACGATCAATTATTGGCTTTTGCTTTGTCTTTGGTACGCGAGAATAAATTAATTAGAAGTTGCTGAACGAGATATCCGTCAACCTCTAAAGTATGATAAAGAGAGGAGATTTAAATATCTAGTCTTTGATATGAGAATAAAACTTGTGCACTGTGGGTAAATTTTTGTTTTGATAAAGTCTCACAGTGTTATACAGTTATGTTTATTGATGACGTTTCGAGCACAATTTATTGCTCATAATCATATCAAGGTATGATTATGATATGAGCAATGATATGGTATGATTATGAGCAATAAATTGTGCTCGAAACGTCATCAGCAAACATTACTGTATAACACTGTGAGACTTTATCAAAACAAAAATTTACCCATAATGGTATCTAGTCTTTCCTCCTATGATATTTTAGTAATGCTAAAAATCATACGTTGTCAATCACGTCTCATAAACCGTCAATGCCCAGCTCTTGCTACGCTCGGGCCCACGCTGTTCCTTGCAGTTTTTCAGAAACGCTTAATAGTAACGGACGCGAAAACCAAAACACCGATTGGCCGCTTGGGAATTCTTTATTGTAACACCAACATATAAAAAATATTTCTATTAAGGTCTGTGAACAAATATTACAATAATAAATCACGAGATTACTTCTGACGGTTTGCTACTGACTTCTTTCTGAACAGCGACCGATGAGACGATGACTGTCGTATTGATGCCTCCGCGAAAATTGGGGAAGTTGGTTTTGAGCAAACAACCGTGAATTGATCGTTCAATCTTCAACTCCATTGACACTCCCCGGCAAAAAAAGAATCCAACCCTTTTTTCCTTCACGACCAATGCACGTTGACTTGAATGCCATTGCGAGAACCTGGGTCACACGGACAGAGCTGAAATGGAAAACAAACAGAAAAGCCAACACACCAGAAGCATACTCACAGCACAATCTCACATATCGCTGACGACCTGCGCCTCCAGACAGAGACCTCCTCTTGACATCTTGCAACACAATCGCCACTTGCTAGAATGACTCTTGCAGAATGCAACGTGACCATAGCACCAACTCATGATACTCTACGCACATCCTCTTATCTACTCACTACCAATTACCAATGCAATCGCTTGTCACTCATTCTGCCTCAGTTCTAGTAGCGGTGACGCATGCGAGCCTCAGTCGTTTACACTCTTTCTCCTCGGCGTGTCGGACCGCAGCTAACAATTATCTCCGTGTGCATTTCATTCTCACCAATAGCCTCCCCGGCGTATACGACCCATCCGCTGTCCTTAACATCAATCAATTCATTCATGGATGTAGAAGACTCGAAACAACTTCAGAAGTAATCACGACGAAAATTTTAACAAAATTACGCAATAACAACAAGGTACAAAAACAACAAGTAAACACAATGAATCCA